AGGCTCGAGATGAAGAGGGAGGATGCCAGGTGGCACATCGGCGATGACTGCGCCGGAAGTTAGTGATACCCAGAAACAGGCAATGGTCTGTGCACAGTTGCAGTAGACGGTCCCCGTTATCTGTCCTGCGACCAACGAGTCTCTATCGGCCGCCTAAACGACTCTCTTCTGTGCCTAGACACCCGACCTGAGCATTCAAGTCTCCGGCTAGTACTACAATATCTGTCGAACGTACTTTCTGGAGAAGCACAGTTAACTGGTGGTAGAATTCATCCTTAATTGCATCCGGGCTGCAATCTGTCGGGGCATAGGCGGAGATGGCAAAAAGACATTGTTTCTCACGCCGATTTCTTCTCACTTTGATGGAAGCCCTAGGGTCCCCGGATAAACGCACGTAAAGCAAGATTTTTGAAGTGTTAGATGGAGATCAAATTTGTAGTACTTCACCAGAGTCTTGAATACGGGCCTCGGGTAGACAGCAAACATCGATATTAAGACTTTTCAAAAACATAGTCAGCCCTATCTGTTGTCTGACATGCATAAGTGTTCGAACGTTGAAGGCAGCCAGTTTGAATGGTGCACGCGGTTTCAGAAAAACTGCTTCAGTATTCGTGTTCGGTGGTAGCATACAATTTTCAACTAGAAAATGACTCCAGAACGTTCAGACAGAACCGAATTTCTTCCATAAGCGAGCTGCTGTATAAATCGAAAAGTGAGGATAGACAGAGTTGGAATAATAGAGAGTGAATAAATGACTAAGTAAATAATAACAATAATAACAATAGTAGTAATATAATTAATAATGTGAATCTTTGACTGTTAATCGATGCAAGAAAAGTATTTTCCATAATTATCGATCGTTCATCATATTTGTGTGTGGGCTGTGATACTGAGCGGGTGCCCAGACTGAAGCGGGTGGTTCTCTTAAGGGGTCACACCCCGGGCCTTTGACCTAAAGGTCTAACCGACAAGGCAATGTAGCATCGTGAGGAGATGCAGTCCCATGGTAGCCGGTGACCAACGATTGGTTCATACGCCATTCGTTCCTTCAGGATACTGGAGTCCATGTGCACCATTGGTTTGGGATCCGGTTAAAGCGCCGGACATTCGCTTTTCGTCCTCTCATTTTCGTAAACAACACACCCGCCACGAGAAGGCAGTGAGTAGGACTTCCCTGGCAGAGGCTGTATACTCGTGGCCGTGTGAGAGCATTTCGAGAGGGAGGGCGGACCCACCCCACTCTCGGCCATACCAGGGCATTTGGGGGCACTGTGAACTAGGAATTTAGTCTCATTTGCATTGTTCAATTAGGTTTGGAGTCATGTTGAGTTTCGCACCCACTTGGTTTTCCGAGATCTTAGTAAAGTCAAACCTAATTTGGTCTTCTAAATTGTAAACCCGATGACGGGACCAGCAACTTCATTTGCTAACGGAATGCTTCCAAACAAGACACTTTTTTTCGTTTCTGTCGATACGATGAAAGTAAGTTGAAAGCATTTTATGGCATACGAAATGGCGTAATAATGATTGTAAATTTAGAAATTTAACGCTTTAAAATGGGAAGAAGGAACGTAAAGTTCAAGTACGAACATCTAATCATTAGCCTTGAATTCCGTAAACTACCTTGGTGTTTATGCAAGACATCTATGTCTTTTGTACGTCTTCAACATAAGATTGAACATGTAAAGTCTACGTGTACCACCACATATTTGGTGTTATTATTGTCGTGAATCATGTGTTAGAAGCCTCTGGCATCTGTGATTATCGGGGTTCAAGAAGATGGTAAATTTGAAGTTATGATAAGAGTATATACTAGTTCTGAGTCATTTATTAGTAAATCATCTTGATAAAATGTATGTATGAACAAACTATTGCCTGCAGTAGTCATCGTTATCGAATGTTGAGGATAACTGCGAATTCGAACTTCTCTCAGTCATTTACGTATAACACCGACATTACTGAGCTTACTATTTATGACTAGTATTTATTGTGGCCTTGTGAACATGTACACTTAAATTCACTATATAATGCTTCCAGAAGAGCTACTTCTCATAAGCTTCCAACTATTAGTACAACTAAATTTATCAAAAAATGGATAGGATTTTTTCTTTATTATACTTGAGTATATTATGTATGTATGAAAACACAGACCCTTGAGTATTGTGAAGCCTAGAAGTAAGTACATCAAACCTGTACATAATTAGTAGAGACAGTGAAATGAAAGGACAGCTACTCGTATCAATCCGTCGATTTGGATGGAACTCAACTGTAGGCTAGATACAGCAACTTCAAGTGTCTTAAGTTTCAGTCATTCACATGGCTTGCACACGCAATAATGGTCAAGCTCTGAATTGTTCTCGAACACACAATATTCTGGCTACATATTTTTCATCCTCTTCACGGATAGAGGGAGCCGATTAACCTAATCATCAGGATAGACCAGCCAATTATCGTGTGCTATAATCTCCAGATATCAGGGAACAATCATGCCATTTCGCCTGTGATCTTGAAGAAGTGAATTTGGAGGTTCAACATAGATTTCAGAATGCTTCGCTGGTGGCTTTTATAACTTTCATCATTTATCAACCCGAAAAATGACTAAAAAGCCTTGGGGTGGTCATTTAAAAACAAGTATTTCTACTAAAAAAAAAGCCATATTAAATGTAATGAAGACTAGTATTGTGTAAATTACCAACGTAGATGATCTGTATCGAGTGATCGATAGCCTACTCGAGTTAGACGTGAATGTTGTGAACTCCTAGCTAACGTCAAAATCACACCTCACTATATCTATTTTGATGACCGTACAACACAAACGACGTAATTACTGAAATATGCTAGTAATGGTATGTACAGGAAACAGTTCGCCACCACTAGTGCGTGGGCCATGGGGTTAAATTAACTGATGCCGCGTTAGTTGACTTTGATTTCGCCGACGATTGGCTAACTGTCTGATATTCAGTGACCCGACTGCTTGATGGTTTGGCTAAGGCTGAGTGACATATTAATGACCCTACAAATGTATTCCATAGCACCACACACGTGGGTGAAAATTAATTTCTTCCGTTCTTCACAAAGCCATCGTGCAGCTTTTCATCACTCATGAATCAGACAAAAGTCATCCAGATTTTTTTGGCACCAGCGCATAAAACGCAATCTCATGAGAGTTACTAGAAAATAAGTTAATTTTATGCAGTTCTTTGTCTCCTAGTGACTTAAATAGATATAGATGGACTTTAAAGGATCGAATTTTAAAAGGATCTTATAATGATTATCTAACACTTGCTTCCTTAGACTAGTGAGAGGGTAGAAAAATTTATTTTTTTCTCTCGCCTGGATGAATTCCGTGTTGACAGACGGCGAACGTGAAGGGTGAAGATGGCACAGGTATTCAGTGTTTGACAACGCTTTAACTACTAACACCTATTACAACTCGTACCCACCAAGAGAAATCAAAAGACAGAATCGAGGAGATCAAAACTTGTATTTGACGATCGCCAATATATCGGAATTATCTGATCTAGTCTAGCTAACGATTGCAGTAGATGTTGAGCACGGCGTTCCCACACGTGATCTGGTACGGATGCATGACCGAGCGCCTTCAGCTAGGTGAGTCCACTAAAACTAATCTGGTCAGCATCCAATGTCGAAAACTTACAGAGCTATTTATTTTGGGGATTTATTTACCGCTACAAGGTCTTTAGTTGAGTTATTAAAATTGATTAAAAAGCTTGTGTGAGAGATAGTTTGCCTAAGTGAACAAATCAATAGATTTTCAATACTAAGTACTAAACTCAACTTCAAAGTTGGGCAGATAACAACGGACTCACATTTAACACTTCAAGGTTTAAAGTAGTCCATCTGAGACATGTTGAAGACTACAGTTACAGCTTAAGAAACTCCTCTCTAGAAGTATCCCAAGTCGAAAATATTTAGGAGTGTTGATACCATACTATTTGAAGTCTTACGCTATGATAAAAATTCCTTTCGAGCAAACCTTGCACTGATAACACTGAGGCACATTTTTGGTCAGTTCGACGGATGAACTTTCCGCATAATCTTCAGCAGCTTCATTCGATCCCATTTAGAGTACGGAAACATAGTACTTCCTCCTTCACTCCGAAAGGACAAGGACACTCTGGGACGTATCCAACGGTGAGCTGTAAAATCAGTTCGGGGACCCAAATTCAAGCCTTCAATCACTAAACCTTTAGCCATTAGAGTACAGGCTTCTTAGAGGTGACCTTCTAATGATTTGCAGCATCTTTAACACTTCTGGACAGCTCCTTACACACATACTTAAGTTTAGCTCCAACACAAACCTCAAGGGTAATACTCAGAAACTGGAGACACAACACAGCAGAACTGACTGTATACACAACTTAAACTCCTTGTGAGTTATCAAATGCTGAAATTCGCTGCCGGCTGAGTTAGTCCAAGTGACTCCACAGGAGTCATTTCAGAGGAAACTTGGTATATTCTTAAGGACTAAGGATAGTATCTTACTATGATTTACCAACTTCTTTTTCTTCTTTTATCGTTAATATACCTAGGTTTGTGCCTGGAGGTATTGTTGATCCACTGCGGGTAGACACGAAAGCCCGTTAAGCGAAAGCTTCGTTTATTCCGTCCACAACCATTTGAATTTGAACCATTTGAAACTGGTCAGGTTTCTAGTAGTAAGTATACTAGAAATATGCAGTTATTACCAGTCAACTGATGTATCTCTGTGAATATCATCAAGATCTTAATAATTTTTTTGTCCGCAAATAAGTCTCAAATGACAACCTAGACTTTTAACATACCATAAATCATGTTGTATACTGTGTTCTAGTTGTTGAAATTTGTATTTCGTATGCCCCCGCTCGAATTGGTGGGGCGAGAATGGTTGTATTGTATTTCCTTGTATTTCCTTCAGAAATGAGCTGAGTTCGCCGACTACCAATCTCCTTACTTGTTATTGATTTTCATATTGGCTACATACTTGTCAGTTATCTACGATGCGTCGACAATTGGATGGTTTTGATAGCCCTTGCATTTCAGAACGGGAGTATGTAAAGCTCCAGTACGGCCGTAAAATCGCTCAGGATACTTGTCTCCTAGCCACTATGAAAACTCCAGACTGGTCACATGGTTTTCCTGCATTTATTGGCAAACACAATATAGTTCCATGCACTGTGACCAATTCTGGCAATTCCACTCTAAAAATGTATCCCTACTCGGTGTATTCATGTGAGTTTAGATTTTATAAGGTTGAACATCATTGGATGTACTTTACATGTTTCGGCATTATCGTTTTACTACTTTCACTAGCGATGTGCGATTAGTGCTTGTCGTTTCCGCTACATGTATGCATAGTGTTTCTGATATTGTCTTTATAGGATGACGAAGTCAAAGTAAGCTGGGTATCAAAAGGCCATGAAACTACAATTTATGGGCGTCCTTTGGGCAACGCTGAAGTGACTTTAAGAATATCCACACCAGTATACTGGTATCAAATGATGGATATAAAATAGTGCGGGAGATCAGGATTAGAATTCACGGTTGGGCGTTATGGTTAAGGGTTAGATTTAGGGTTTTAATTACGGGGTGACATCTGTTATAATGACAAAATGCTATTTGACCGAATGGATGTACAAGTTCCACTCGAAAAGCCATGACTAGTCTTAAAACATTGATTCGTCCATAAATTATAGTCTTGCCCAAACTTATAAATACGCTACTGTCTGACAGAGTCGATTATATATCTAGCTTTTACAAGTTGCTTTTTGGCTTGGTTAAAGTAAGTAATCTGCTTGGTTTAATCCGTTCTTACTAAGCCTACCATGACACTTGCTATCGCTGGACTGACAACCTAAATGTATCTAAACATCCAAGTCTTATAAATAAAAACCAAATTAATTTGGTTATTTATTCTCTGAAGAAGTGACTTACACTAAGTCACGAAACATCAGAAAATCTAATTTTCTACTCATTAGGATATTACAAATATATTATTTTTATTTATAACAATCAACCCAATGCCCAATTTATTCGAAATTATCAAATCAAACCTTGGTAATGGTACCTATCAAAGTCCTATGATGCGGTTTCTAGTATGGTAAGCGCTATATTTTGAGCAAATCAGTAGTCATCTAGGTTGGTTTGCTCGACTTTCACTTGGATAAGGGTAAGCCATTCCATCTGACCTGTTGAACCTGTTTAGTTATGATTCTTTGCTGAAACTATGTGTTGGTAGTTCTTTTCAATTAATTGTGTTTCCCTTATGTCGAGACACGACTTAACCTTTTATTTTGTTTTGTTATCCTGGTCCCAAAACCATGCACCTCTGGGTGATGCCTTGTGTTAACAATTTGATTTTTTACAACTTCGGGTAGATATGGGCTTTTGTTCGAACGAGCTCCTAAAAAACACATGTTTTCAGTGGATGATATATATATATATATATATATATATATATATATATAATAGGATGTTTACTGAGCGACAGGTTGTCGAGACTTATTTGTACTTTCGTTTTCCCATTTTATTATTCAGCCTTCAGACCCCAGGAAACAAAGTTCCATCCTTGCTTGGTGAGACAGGAATGTCGCATTAATTAGTATGTCGATATCCAGACATCGTTTTTCTACTCGTAATTCTCCGGTTTATCATATTTCCTCAGGCTAATCAGTTGTCGTGACGGAGACTTCCCATAAAGTGTCATGAAAAATGTTAATACAATTATTCATTTACCTTTGTAGGTGCTTGTCAGTCGGATCTCAGTCGGTGTCACAAATATCGGTCGAATTACTTGAGACATCGTTGCCTGTCTGGTCCAACAGTTGCTATGCTACTTCCAACAACGGGACACGAATCCACACGCACTACTGTCCACTCCTCAGTATTTGAAAACTGTGGTCGCGGAGTAATAGATCAATCTATTCCGTTGTCTCATTTAATAATTTCACACTCTCCAGGACCGAAGATGACGTCTAATTTATCACATCTGAATGTATGTCCTAAGCCGCTTCCTTTTTTTGAACCTCACTATTTTTCCAGTACTGAATTTCATTCTACTCACGCATCTCATTCACGTTTCGCGTGTAGCTAGAATTATTTTTAGTGCTGGCATAGTTTTAACAACTCAATGCATTTCTGATGAAGCTCGCCCAGTCAATTTTATAGTCTCGATTCCCGTTTGTCTCGTCCTTTGCATTTAACTACTGAATAGCACATTAGTACAAATCCTTTGTCCCTCATCACGCAAATCTCAGTAATTTACCACCCAGTTATGCGAAGTTTTCACTTTTTCATAGTAATATTAAGTGCAGGATTTTTATCATCCTTCCCAACTTACGTTTCGTTCATTCCACACTAACTTTGGAACTGCTTTTCTTTTTATGTCAGAAACTATTTATGCACTGGCGTATATGTCACGTTATTGATAGTTCAAATAACCTTCCTTGATTAGGTATTGAAACTAATTTTGTTTTATTCCAGTTCTTTTATACATACGCTTTCTATAATTATGCTTTTTGTTTATATTTATTTATGTACTTCGTATGTATTGTGTTTACAGTTTTTTTACGGATCTCTATGCTATTTATTGCTTTTAAAATTATCTATTTACTTTATGGTCACACTCGACCACATTTCATTTTAATTATTAAGCTGATTACTATAATGTCCGTGGGATTGTTTTTAACGTGGCATGTTCATTTTATAAGGGTGGTGAGCTCTTATAGTAGCAGCTACTTACCCACTGTGTGCACAGTGTCCTACTACTAACAGCTAAAGGTATGAATAAAATACCTTGTCATACTCTGTAATATCATGTAGATGGTCAAGTTTCAGATTCAAGATTACTTCGAGCTACCTTGTCTTCATTCGGACATCGAGAAGTAAAATCCCTTTTTCATAAATTAGTAAGTAATGATAGTTACGATTCTAAACAGATGTGACTGCTGTAAATGTTTTAGTGCTGTTGTCTATTTTATTGTCAAGTCTAACCATTTAAAGGCTTCTTTCACATCGTTCATTCCGCATGCGGTCGCTACGTTTTTTTATTTAATCAGCATGACTGTCTGATTACTTCACATTTCACACAGGTGGTTCCCTTCATAAATTCAAATGAAGCAGAAACGACAATTGAGGCGTAACGTAGATTTGTTTTATTCCTTGGTTTTTCATTAGCTGCTTACAACCGTATTAGTATTAAAGTGTAACAAATATAATATGGTGTAGAGTACTCGACGTTTGCTCGGTTGCCCACACTTAGCTTGAGATCATCCATGATACCACAGATTTTCATTGTCACTATATTGATTAGTTGGTCATGTATTTAAGGTCGTGAATAACAAGAATTGGAAAAGCCACTGATGAGAACAAAGGTTTCGGTCCTCAGGTGTGGTACTTGGGATTATTAACACTCATTTACTGATAATTCCAATTACCACTTCAGACTTTGTAAACGAAAGTGGCATGATTATTCAGTCTGTTTGTCAATTTTGATATACCACACTGATCCTCAGTATATACTGTCTCAGTCAGTCAGTCGTGCGTAACGTAGGATCTAGCACGCGTACATCAGTCCAAGACGTCACCTTGTTACAGCGAATCCCAGAGTTGTGGAGATAATAAGAGTATTAGTTGTGATGGAAAAGACTATTTATCGAGGATGCAGTTTTAGGGGAAAACATAAATTAGTGGGGTGGCAAGAACTTAAGATGAGACAGGGCAAATGCTCCTATGCCATTGCAAACGATCCTCAGCCACGTCACCCAGTATTCAACCGTTAGTTGCAATGATCAGGTAGTCTGTACATACCCACATGGCTCAGTTCAATTAGCGTCTTCATCGCCTGACACCATGTCTTGATTTGAGTTCCCTGTTCTCCTTTTCAACCAAATCCGTTGTCAGCCATAATCGAACGTGGAGGTAGTGAATGAGCATATGTGATACATGTTTGGCCATCCTTACTTAGTGCCTTGCTTCTAACTTCTAAGATTGAGCGAACTGCTGCTCAGTACACTCGTCCTTCAGTTGATTGACAGACATATCGCTTATCCGACAAGTGATGCAAGCTGACAAACGCCAACTGAGCCTTCTAAATCAGTGTCGAGACTTCGTCAAACCAACCCACCAGGGCTGACGAGGTTTACAAAATAAGTGAAGTAACTGACTAACTTATTTTTGTCATCAGTAATTTAGGCGCTGACCTAGACCGGTCTTGAAGCAAGCTCCTGCGTTCAGAAAGAAATCACCCCATATATGCTAGGATTGTTGTTTAAGGCGGTTAGAACAGTCTTAATACCATCTTCATCTGCCTATTTGGAGTCAGCAAGTAAATCACCTGATAGGAGACCGGTTCTTGATAAATAAAGGAATGAGTGTAGTCTCTAAAATGTCTGGAAAAGTTAGGTGGAACACTCCTGATGAACATTTTGAATTATCAATCTCCTTGGCAGTTCGGTATAAGCTTTGACCCCAGTAGCTTCCGAGTAGAGAGCCTGTGCAATGTTGATATAACTCTTTGGTACATCTTTCAGTGATAGACAATGCCTTAAAATCTGCCTATCTACGGGATCAGATGCTACCTTAAGATCAAGAAGTACAACTGAAGCTGGGAGTATGTAAGTATATTCGTGTTCCAGGGCCTGTTGAAGGGAGAACATTTGGTCTACACGTTCACGCTGATACCTAAAACCAGCTTAGTTCCCCCGAATTACTATTTGATGGTAGCTTATTCATTTACACTTGATACAAGTACATAGGTAAGTACTTCATTGGTGGTAACGAGTTTACGAAATTATTCTTAAGGCGATTAGTTCATATTCGAATCTATTCAATTATGTACTGATTACATCCAATGAAATAATGGTCAAATAAGGGTTGTCACTTTGTGTACAAAAGATCTCGAACGAATGATTAGTCACAGTAGTTAATTTTAAAGTAGGTTACTAGATAGAAGGAATATATTAAAAGTAGGTGAGTGGTTTCATGATGTTTCTTTTCATGTCTGAACTAGTATGCACGTTAAATCTAGAAAATTAAGCTCGGAAACCAATAAGTCGATGTGAACGAAATTTAGAATCGTCATTAAGATTCTGTGTATTTTTCTCAATTCTAATCACAGACAAGAAGGAAGCGAATATGATAGTAATGTTTAAATATTACTCTTATGAAAATATCAACTGGGGAAATCCAAAAAAGAAAGGAAACGGAAGTAGTGCTCAGAAATCTAATAATGTTAAAGAAAATACTAGATGCTCACTTCTTGATAGTTTACTCACATTAAAAAACAAGATGACATTCGTGAGTCTTACTTAAATTTATGAATTTTTAGTGAATCTTATTTAAAAAAAAGATAAATGTATTTCAGACGTAATTAATTTTAGATTTTCCCGAAATCATTGAACTAATTTTATCCCCAGTCATTTGTACCACCCTTGGAGCTTCTGCTAATGTTGTCGTTTTGGTATTTGGAATGTTGGTTGTAGCAACCACAATCGATGTTGTTATTAGTGATTTTGTAATATCCCTCAGTTGATCCTTTTCATCTGGAGATTTTTCTTCTAAGTCTTCGAGTTTCAACATAAAATTCCCTGTAACTTTATGCTCTACTTTAGTCTGATTCGATTGGTACTTGGATTTCTGTTGAATCGGTGATTTTTTATCGTCGTCACCGCTTACTTCTGGTACGAATGCAAAGTCAATTTCGGTTAGCTTTTCACGTGAATTCAGCTTGGGTGCTGGTATTTTGACTAGGGAGGCTAATTCTTGCCGGGCTCGTACTCGTGCATGTAGATATGGAGCACCTAAGTAGTGATGAAACAGATAATTAGAAAAATTACAAAGTACCATATATAATCTGGTTTTTAGTATGATGAAATATAATAATAGAATGAAGTTAATGTACTAACTACGATCCTCAATTATGGGTTAATTTTTGCTTGCTGCTGATTGAACGGTTTTAGGTTTTCATTATTAGGATCATGTACATGATTTGTATAATCAGTATATAGAAGCGGTAATAAACTCAAAATTTTATGTAAAACTCTGATTACTACTCATATATTGCTTAGAACTATATCTATATTGGAACCCGAAAGCCTTCTAAAATCGTCTAAACGAGAGAGAGAGCACTTTCGTTAAAACACTTACTAGATTAGCTAATGCTAGCCATATCAACACTTGTGTTGTACAGCATTAATGAAATACAAATAATCGAACTGTTATTTTCATATAATAATCGAAAGAGCCTTTCAGCAAATTTTGTCAGGACCACGGCTAGCGCATACCAAGTACTACTGAGAAAATTCTTTAAGATATCTAAAATCATATATTCGACTGACAGATGGTAATAAGACCACCGTTAATCGGCTGTTCATGTGTCAAATTTGCTTCTGAATGCTTATAGAATTATTTACCACTTTACTCGTTCTGTCCAAGTACATAACAAGTATTTTAGTTTCACAAGGTACTGATCAAATACTATTCATTTCTTTCTTGACTTGATTAATTTTGTACATCTAAAACTTATTACATTGAATGAGTTCATAAAAATTATCTCACCAGATCCATAAAGTGATGAGGCGATTGCGGCAGCTGCTGCTGGTCCAACTGGTGTTATTAACCCTTCACTAACTAGTGAATTTTCACTTTGATTATCTGCATTTGAATCATTAGATAGTCTGGCTTGCAAAGTATCCGTACGAAGATTTTTATACATCTGAGCATTCCCAGTCAGCTTTGTCTCCCTAGGAGTTGATAGAAGAACGAAAGTCTCAAATATATCAATGTAAGAAAAAAATGAAGCACTTGAGATGAAACTTAAACTAAAAAATGGGATTTACTATTGTTTACGTGTTATAAATTCTACACAATTAGTAAATCTAGTAGATATGTAAGATTTAATCAACCAGTCAGTCATCTACAACGTAGGAACAGGCACATGTATGCATCGGTCCAAGTTGCCATACCTCATTAGCACAACAAAGTGAACACTAAGTTCATAGAAGTAGTTACTTCAACGGTAGTAATATATAAAAGAAAGATTGTATATGAAGATATAGTATAGGAAGAAAGAATTAGAAAAGAATGTATAAAGTAATTTTAATCTCACGGTTTAAGGAAAGACAAAGTGTGAACCATGTCACCCAGAGTCTCCAACCACTGGTTACGATAGTCACGCAGACCCCAACCAAATAGTGGGCATCTACCAACATGACTCAGACTAGAAGTTGATGACTTCAAGCACATGCCATGTTTTGGTTTGGTCGCCCCGAACATTCTTTCAGCCGTCTCCAACACTGCTCAGCATTGTGCATCGTGGTAAATGGTGTTCAGGCATACGTAACATTTGGGCCAACTATCTCAGTCGATGCAGATTTACAACTGATTCACCATCATTCCCTAATACCCTGCGTCTAACCTCACTATTACTTATCTGGTGATCCCAGCAGATGCGAGCGATATTTCTAAGACATATGTGGTTAAATACTAGTAGCTTACGAATATCTTCTGCTCTTAATGGTCACGTTTCGCAGCCTTAAAGTAGAACAGAACGAACTGCTGCACAGTATACTCGTCCCTCAATTGATAGACGGATATCTCGCCTTCGACATAGGTGACGTAAATTGGTAGAAGCCAAACGAGCTTTTCGAACCCGTGCTGAGATTTCGTCAAACACCAATCCATTAGGGCTGATCAGACTGTGTCTGATGTGTGTCTGGAATGTGACCAAGCCTCAATCTCACTTATCTAAACATCCGACCGACATAATTAATTAACATATATAATTCAGTTATGATAGACCAAATAGCAAAAAATATTTTTCTAAAGTATTCAAATATTGTCATAAACAGCACTCACTGAGTTCTAATCCTTTTATGTCCTGTTTTTTGGCTTTTTCTTACTAGACTTTCTGCAGAAGCTGTTAGAAAAAAAGTCGATAAAACTGGTCTGACTTTAAAATAATACTTTATAAACTAATTAACTATATGCAGACATAATGGATCCTGATAATATTGTCTGTAGATGGACCAATCAGTATAGCGTAATCACCATGGGGACGAAGAGTGAAAAAGCTACCTGTCTAAAAACCTTATTATGAAAATTTCGAGGGATTGTCACTATTCTTAATACCGATCAAGATAAATGACACATCCCAATCATGTTCCGACCAAATAATGGCTATCTTAAATGTCGTAAATGAACGATTTTCTGAACCGAACTGCATATTTTTGAACGAACGTATCAGAAGACTTCAAGTTTTAGGTATATGGATGGGTAGTGGGGTGAGGTAGATGACGGTGTTAGGTACTGGTGTTTTATCTGGTTTTCAGCTGTTCCATATATAATGTGAGTTAATAAGATCAATTTAGTCCATTGTAATGTCGGTTACCATATCAAACCCACATAGGTTATTGCAGCCTCTGGACAGATCAATTTATTCATTCGTAAATCACATTTTGGCCTTGTCACTTAACCGCTTATCAACTCGGCTGTCTTTATATGAGCGTATGTGTGCACACTTCTAATCATGCTCATCACATATCTGTAACTTATTTTTGATCTGACTATGAATATCGATTCACGCTTGGCTAAATTGACTTGGCTCACTCGCCTTCATTGCGCGTTATTTGTTTTGCTTCGCTTTCTGATCAACAATTGTATGAAATATACGTATTCAAAGATCCATCCTCGTATTTGATTCCGTTATTCACCAACACGATTCGAGTCGATGGTTGTATATGAGGATAGCATGCATGTATATTTCAACAACAATCATTCGATAACGATCATTCATACGATCCAAATGGAGTCAGATGTAGGACTACAAAATCATAAAATCATTGAAGTGTATAATATGATTATCGATAACATTACCCATATGTCTCATTATTGCCTAATATTGGATGTGTCTTATATGTTGGGTGTTCCTGTAACACACAAGTTAAATTATAGATCTTCTGTATCGAAGATCTATCAACAATCAAGAGTAACGTTTCTAACCGTTACTAATGTGGCACCTTAAATTCATCTACTGTAGTCAGTCATTTTATGATTTTAACAAGAAAGTTGCATCAAACTACTTGTAGATTCTACAGGGTTATTTGTCCTTGATAGGTTTTATAACTGAATCCAAGACATAAGTAGTGAGCTAATTAGCTTTGGGGAAAACCTCGTAGTCGGGAAATTTTACGTTCTTCGCCAAAATTTCCCCAAACTTTACTATGACGGCTTCCCCAAAATTGGTCAAATTATCCCTAAAATTGGGAGATTGGGCAATTATGTTATTCTTGCTGCATGTACCTTATAACTTGAAAAAGAATTAGGTGATTATACAATTAATGGCACTGTTTGATATTGTGATTGCATCTATTATCAAAGAGGAATACTGACACCTAGAAATTACAAATAAAAATCCGTATTTTGGCAAGAACGAAATAGGCGGAACTCTTGGATTTTAAATACCACACTTACCAGTTAAAATTGGATCCGCTTGACCATAATCTCTAGTTCTCACTAGGAGACAACTGCCCTCATGTGCATGGATACGTTTTCGAGGATCTCGTACTCCAGTAGTTTGTCTAAACTCCTGATTGAGGCTTTTTCTTCCAAGTAAATGCCTGTCCAAATCTAAAATGGTACTTTGTTTACAAGTTTTCAAAAATGCAATATGGACTGCAATAATTAGGTTCCTCATTATATCTACCCAGTTGAACCTTAATTCTGATGATCGTTGGCGATTATGAATAAGATTCTTGAAATTTATTTGCAAGCAAAATCTACCTGGTCATATTTATTACCGGCAGTTGTATAAAAGCAAGAAAATAAACTAAAAATATTGAAATAGGTATTTCACGGACAAATCATGTCCTTCTTTTCTCACCTATTTTTTATAAGTTTGTAGTTAGAAGCAAAAGTTGTAGCCTGTTTTAAGAGTTCGGAACAAGTGACATAATGAACATCAGAGTTTAAGGAAATAATAACATAGTATGGTAGACTTGGTCTATGACTTTTTCATATCAGTTAATTTAATGAGTCGAACTAACAATCGTATAATATATGTAATGCTCGACGCAGACACGTTTAAATCACAACTTTGCACTCATTTTGAAATACAAAATCTGATCGAACATGTGACCCTGTTAATTAACTTTTCCTAAACTTTGTGACTAACTGGAATGCTTTATATATGTGTCCTTATAATATGCCTCCGTTTGTTTGCTTATCGATCAATTTATCCGTCAGTCACACTCCGTTTTTCTATTGCTCTATAAATGTTTGAGATTCGTTGGCATCCTGGATCGTTTGAACGCATTTCAGTAAGATGCGGGCTAGATTCGCTGATGTGATCCTGTATTTATTTCAGCATAATACAATCCCTAATATTATTTTTATTCTAGCGCAATTGCTGGTGATTCTAGTGCCGGTGTCGATATAAATACAATGCTGTTACCATGGTGTTTTTATTTCTGGTTTCAATTCTATTGTTATTTCTCATTACGATTTAATTCTGTTTGGTTTTATTGTACATGTCAATCAATTCAATTACCTAAATATACGTTCAGGAAGATTGCTATTCGGCTTCTTATGCCTTCAGTTCACCATTATTCATCGAGCTAAATATAACAAAGCTATAAAGTGCAGCTCACTTTCATTTTTCATACACCCAAGTTACTCTTGGGTTAACTTCAGTCAATGTTTTTGAATCACAATCTCTAAATTAATGGTCTAGAGTACTTTACCAGACCATACAGTTAATTAAATCCAAGAAATGTTAAATATATTTTTATTCTCACTCGTGATGCCTTAGTAATAGACATTGTCAATCTTTATCAAGATCCAAATATATATATATATATATATATATATATATATATATATATATATATATATATATATATATATATAGTGGAGTATAGCCTTTTAGTCAGATGCTTGAGATGCTAGTACGTTACAATTCGAGATATTGGATTTGGGACATGGAAGAAGTAAAATACACAAACTATACTGATCCTTATGGAGAATGAAATATACTCTCACTATTCACCCTTAAGCACCTCCATCTGAGGTAAATATCATTGATGTCGAGCTTCTGAATAAGAGCAACCATTTAATATTTGGATAATAGTAATCCGTATTAAAAAGTTTTCAATGTGAGGAGAGTGTGCAATGAACAACTTTGTCAGTCAGAAGTAAACTGGATTATTCTTTCGTGTTTGATTCAGCTAAACTTTGTAGTTTTACAAAAACTTATGATTATTTTGTCTATTCTGAAGAAGGATGGATTTATCTGAGAAGTGAAACTATGTAATACATTGTGCTAACTAGTGAAAATACATTCGATATTCTAAAACAGAAACTCTGAATACTTGTTTTTATTTGTTATGGCTCGCAGAAATATGTTACCAAAAGATATTGGGTTAGTGATGCCGCTAACGAAATTTAAACCCAAATCTCTCAACACCATATTCAGATATATTTACTGGAGTAACTAAATAAAGTCTGAAGTACTGCTATGATAAACTGTACAAATGTACGCTGTATTTATTACTAATCATTGTTTTGATTACTTTCAATGCCGATTGTAGCCTAAAAAGTTGCAACTGCATCGTAAATAGGTAACAAAACTTATTTTTTGAGGTATATACTGGATTTAAATATTGTCACAACATGATATCAGTTGATGGACTTCTATAAAGCTCAAGGTTTAAAATGTTGTATGTTTGGATCACTAGAGCATAATTCTAAAACAAAAAGCAGATGATTATTAAAGCATAATTGTAATGCACATTTTGAAGTTAAAATTTGTTTGATGTGAAAACTTTCGAAGCGATATAAACTTGAAATATAACAAAAAATTAGCATGATCAGTTTTTTTCTTAGAAAAATTTCCATTTTAGGTCGTTGTTCTGTTTATAATAAAACTAAAAGACGCTTCATAATAATCATTAGAAAGAACTATATTATATTTAGTAACATGAGGCTCTTTAAGTAATGAAGAAAAATGCCAAATTTTGCATGCTTACTTGATATTCCAATGATATTTTCATCACGGTAATCTACACTACATGTAGAGTTCGATGTAACTGAAGCCAGAACATGTGATTGTAGTTTCTGATTTACTTGATCTTTTGAGGACACTTTGTGAGAAGACTTATGTGTATATTCATTTGTATTTTTCGATACAACTTTAGTTAATTTAGTATGCTTGTTACTACGAGCGGAAACGGAACTTGTATTATCTGATGAACGTAAACGACGCAATGAATCATGTAAACCTGACGTTCTAGGAGAAGTTATTTCGTTGTAAATTCGTTTACTAAACGCCTAGGGAACAAATTGAACAAAAGTTTGGTAAAATTTATCTCATGCTCTTTGGAAGTAACAGGTTATTACTGATATTTATAGGATTATTACAAAGTTTTTCCTTCAATTGTATTTCAATATTTATACTGTACTAAATAATTGCAGAGAAATTTGTTTTGCCCCTTAAATTTCGTTAAAAATTTCCATCATATCAAAAGACACAGATATCTAAACAAAGAATATTCCGTTCAGTGAGTTCTCATCTGGTCTTACAATTACAAATCCATATTAACATTCCAAAGGGATAGTCACGTTTAAAGCGAATCATCATTTAAAATCACACTACATGAAATTAAGATTATTGGTGAAATAAAAGAAATTGTAATTATTGGAATGAATAGCGTGTGATGTTAACTCGAACAAGCTTCTAGGTCAATTGAAATCATCAGAAAAAATACAAAGAACCGTCGTGATACAAGTCATTATCCTAAACCGCTCAATAAACCACTACGTTGTAATCATGTGTATGCTTACAGGAAAACACTAAAAAGTTGTTCTTAACCATATTGATTAATTTGGTTAATATATAAATGAATAGAAATGATTATTGATCACTGACAATTTGCCATTGATGAACTAACAGATGACTTTAAGCTCCCGTCTATGGATTACGTTACAGAAGTGACTAAACAACATGCACATGAAAAACTTATCAGATTTCTTAAAATCATAAAATATCAACCAGTAGAAACAGATTTTCGAAGGAATCTGAGAGGAATGTTAATAATTTTCTAACCATTGAGTAATTGAAGAAAACTTTGAAGTGATGGCATTGCATTCAAAGTTCTGTGACGCATCTGATTACAGACATTTCTTTTGAAAACCTCTATAGCTAGATATTGCATTTCGTTCCAACCTTCGTTTAGAGACGCAAACGATTTAAATCAAACCTAGTTGATTGTTGCTATCAGTATAATAACAATAAATATAACTACATAATCATTTAATGAAAAAAAGGAAGCCAACCGCGAAAATATTAAGGACAAAAATTCGATTGGTATGTAGCCTGGGAAGGGGGACAGAAATTGTTCTACTCAATAAAAAAGCTGTGTCGACAAAACTAATAGAGTCTTGAATGATAAATCAAAATATAAGAAACTAAATTACCAGAAAGACCTCAGTAATGCGATAGAGTATGGTTCTATCAGATGTTTAAAGGAGCTTGAAGATCAATAGAAAATTTCATGAAGTATGTATGAAACGATTAATCCGATAGGAACTCATTTCAATAATTACAATTTCTTTTATTTCACCATTAGTCTTATTCACTGAACGGAATATTCGTGGTTCCTACATCTGTCTTTTGAAATTATTAAAATTTTAATATACGTATAAGCAAGAAGTGGTAGCATACTTTTATATCAGAGTTGATAATTTGCAGTTCATTCGACAAACTTCTTAAAATTGAAGCGACTGTTTGTGGGATAGGTAAATGTAATCCAATTAATTTTTGATTAACAATTTGTTGATACGCTTGTTCCCCTTGACTTGCACACTGAAGTAGAGCCATCTAGAAAATTTTAAAAATTCGAGGTCTCTGATGAAAATTAGAAAAGGTGAAGAAAATTAAAATCGACAAAAGACATTTTAGCTGTTAGCTTAATAAATAAATCACACTTGCTCGAAAAACAAGCTTTCTTTACATTGATTGTTAGTTGTAAGGAGTTTCGGTAAAATAAAAGCTTTATCTATATTATTTACACCTAATTTGTCAGTCAGTAACAATGCAGAACTTCGTACGTACTTACATCAGTTCGAGTTACCACACCACATTAGCACACAGATGTAGTGGTCGATTCAAATCCCGTAGTGGTAGAGGTAATAAGTGTATAAGCAGCAATCGGGAAAATTAGTGTTTGGAGATGTTATTTAAAGACTATAATACAGTGAAATAAATTTGGGAAGAGAAAAAAAAGAGACAAGGAGGAATAAGGAGATCAAAATTTGGGAGAACGCAAAGAGTGTATGCACCTGCGCCATTGCAAACGATTTTGAGCCATGTCATTCAGGGTCTCTAACCATCGATTGGTATCATCTCGCGGTCCCCAACCAGGTAGTCTACACCTACCAACATGACTCAGTCCACTTGTCAGTGACTTCATGGACTTGTGCCATGTTTTGATCTGGCCGCACACTTAATTTGTGCTCATAAACTTTTATTAACATGTATAATATTTTGATAAGTGCAGTTGACTTTACTCTGAAAGTGAAAGACTAGTCAATTGGAAATAATTCTAACCCTATGACATTGAAAATGAATGAACCAACAAATCGATTCCTTAAGTGTAATTTAATTAAATGCAGTAAATTAAAAGTTGATGAAGTATATGCTGACATGAACGTATAGGTGTGTACCAGGATTTCTTCATTCGTCGAAACGCTTTAGGCATTAAACTTTAAGAATATAAACAACGCTGTAGTCGGTTAGTTTATCAGTCATATAACTATCTTTAAAGTAAGTTACACTTAAAAAGATGAACCTTTGTTGTTTCCTATATGATGAGATTAGAATTTTTTTATTTTATCAACACTGACTACAAACTAAAGGACAGATACATAAACCCATTCATAAAATAATAAGCAGTGAATAAGATACACTTACTTTGAATCGAATAAATGGCAGTAAGTGTACAAATAGTGGTGGTCTATAAGTAACTAAGAAATCGAAAAATTTCCACAGCTGGATACCATTTTGACCATTCAAAGCTAATTGTGTTAATGCAGCTACTAGCAGTTTCATTCGAACAGCCGCATGACGCGTATACGCCACAAGAATTAATTTCAAACCCAAAAATCCAAGCCTAATAAATCAGAGGATTAATGATAGTTATGCGATAAATAGCGTGCATTAGGACAAAACTGCAAAACAATTTATCATAACAAACATAAAAAAGATTCTTTAAATCAACTACCCGAGACCACTATGAATATAATACGGTACAGATCCCTACAGAAAACAAATCAACAGTTTTGAATCAGACTTCATAATGAGGATAATAAACCATTCATATCATCAGTACATATTAACAACGTATCTACGAATATTACTAGATGAATTTATACTCCTATTTCATTATTTCTTTTCGTCCGATATGTGTGGTATTGTTGACCTTCTATTCAAAATAATAGTCCTATAAATAATAACATATTCATAATATCGAATAAACTCTTATTTTATGACAGTGAGCGTTTTCAGAAAAGATTATATAACTGTAGTTAAATATTTCTGAAGCTTTACTTGATCATATTCAGGCTAAAAACCACAAATACTTTTATTACTTCATTTCTGATCAATGTTAGTTGTCCGATTGCTATTTTTAAGATTAGATTTTCTTTTTATTACATTCACAGGTTGGTTTCAGTTGACTTAAAATTAGCATTTCATAGCTGATATAAGTGTCATAAGTAAGGGTTCAGTAACATATAGGGGTTGTAATTTGTGCATACCAAAGTACCCATAGTAGGAGTGTCAGTTTTATCACCCGTAGATATAAGCCCGATTTTAACGGAATAAATTACGAAAACGTGGTAGATATGGATTACTATTGAGCCTCTGAATAAAATAAAAGTCTTAGTGGCCTCTTAGTGATTGATTAAACCATTTGAACTTGCAAAAGAAACATCATTATAAACTAATCAATCTGACCATCTTGAGCTTTTCGCTTAAACGAAATCACTACAAAGAAATATTAAACGGTATTTTAAGTCATTCAAAAGCATGCGAGACACTGAATACATTTTCTTCTTACCGGTGCGCAAACTCAGCCTTAAAACTTTTAATTTTATCTATGGGAAACCCAAGATTAATTGAAGTTGGATCTAAAAGTTTAGAATAATATGCTTGTGGACGACTTTTCTGAGTTAATATACTTGTTTTGTTTAAATTCGGTATTACAGAAGGACGTGATTTTAACTGAAAACTATCTTGTTTTCCTTGACACTTATTTGAAATGGTAATTTGTACTGAAGTAGTCAAAGGTCCGCTTTCATCTGGCAGGATTTTAACCAACGATGGACTAAGTAAACGTATTAAACTGGCATACGAGCCACCTTCGCAGTCTGTTGATAAATTTGATAAATTAACTAGCTTTATTGAAGCAGAGTTATTATTTGAAGTGGTAATAGTGGAAATATTGTCTTGTGCAATGGATCCAGTTGCTTGTCTATTAAGTGATATACTTGGATTTGTGCGTAGTTCAAATCCTGTAGTTTGACTTTTATTACTTTTATCCTTTAATTTACCAGACAGGGGTCCTGATTGACTCGATTCACATGTTTGTTGCTGTTGTTGAGTTGAGTTACTTATGGTGGTCAAATTGTATATAGATCTTTGTCCATCAGTATTCGATGAATAATCTGTTGCAAACAAGGCCGTTATACATACATCCAGTGCATAGAAAACATTGTCTCTTGAAAGAGTTGGTGAGTCTAAGGAAGTAAAAATAATCAGTTAAGAAAAGTTAGTTGTCCAATTTGAGTCGTTTCATACCAACAAAAGTTTACGAATCTGCATAAGAACCTAATTTCTGAAAGCCGACACATACTAAGAAATAAAATGGGCCACTATGTAAATATTTGTTACCTAGATTCTTTAAAAAACTTACACCAATTCGAATAGCTATTCAAGTAACTTCTGAATTCTATCGATTGAGAATCCAGTACGAAAATGACAGTGTATGATACGACTAAAACGTCAATTAAGCAATGCCTGACTGGCACTCGTCAGACGAATGTAATTGATTTCATGTTGGTGTTGACACGAAAACTTGGACCTGGAGTCCGTAAGTTCGATTGTTAAGGTAATGGAGAAGGCCATTGAGCTACGATTTCCTGCTAGTCCTGGGTTGACTCTCAAATGAAGCACCATATACTGGAGGTAAGGTATTTCCGGTTGACGAATTTTGGTGGAGCAAAACAAGCCTTCTGTGTATCACTGCTAATATATTTGAAGTTAGTATTTTAAGTGTATTGATCTGTGTGTTTCTCATGCAAACACAAACTTCCGTATAAAAAGTCTATTTGATACTGAAAGGCGATCACTGAGGTCCAATCTATGGAAATAAAAAGTTCTGGTTTTTCTGAACGCAAATGACAAAATGTCACCAAACTTCTACGTTTTTAGCTTTTCATTGTTAAGTTAATTAATATTAAATCATTTTATAAAGCTAAACCAGTTAGTCAATAGAAACCCCTAAGTTAAAAAATGCTTTTGAAACATGGTGAACTTGTTATGGACCACATTTAAGTACTTAAACTAAGTTTATTTTGAGAATGTCATAAACTGGTGAAACATTTAAACATGAAGTGCTCAAGTAAATAACTCCAGCCATTTTCACCACAAATTTTTTCTAACAAGTGATATTCAAAAAAGTAAATACATCCGTTTATAAGACTGTCGATAATCACTTGAATCATTAAATCGACTGTAGACTCCTGTTGATAAAGTATTCAGAAATCCATTTGATCAATTAAAACTTTTAGATGATCCTGTATTCACGTTTGTGCACTATTAACCTAAGTTTATTTCTCTTATTATCTAAATCCGTTTAATATATTTACTGACTAGTCCATCAACATTGTAATCAGCTTTTTGTAATATAGATTACTTTAGTATTTGAAAAGACTGTTATCATTAATTTGTTTGAAACTCTGTTTATAAACAGTCTTGTGATGAAAACCCACTTGCAGGCTGAATAGAGTCTATAAATAATTGGAGGTTCACTGCAATAGTTACGCTTGAGGTATTAAAGTACATATAGTTTCTCTGAAATTTAAAATACCTTTTTTTAGCGTCATAATCAATAGTTTCTAAATAGAGATCAATTTGTGTACGATTGCTTACATAATTTCATTCTGGAATATAAAATTTGCAATAAGTACAAGGATTTTAATAAAGCTTCCTTCATATCTCTGATAGGATTGTTAATATCTCGATTAATTGACAATATAACAATATCTCTGAATTTTACTCAGTTATAGTCATGATAAGCAAGAAAAGAAATGAAATATACCTTTGCGTCCAGCACAACCTCGAAATAACATTGGTAGTATTAGATTGTTTAAGTAAATTACAAGCGTCTGAAATCCACCTTCACGTAATGTTGGAAAACGAATGTTGTACTCTGGTGAAATTCGTTCACATAAATCTTTTAAACTGCAGTGGGGCTAAAATAAAAAGCATCAGTAGAGAATATATATATATATTTAAAATCACACAAAGTAACTAACATTTAGTGTATGGGTACCATAGCTTTAAACAGCTTAAATCGTGAAATACATGAATAATCTAAAGTAATATTTGCTTGTTTACAAATTCATTTTTATTATCATTTTTAAGTGATAGAAATATAGCTAAGATTTGAAGAATCATGATGCGAACTAAACACAGTGTAAACAAGATCAGACAACTTAAGATATAATCCTTCATCGCTAGACTGATTTATTTTGCACAGATCAACTTTATTACTTAAATCTGTCAAAACACACTACATGAAACTCCCCTAATTCTACAGAGCATTCGACATCATTTACTCGATTTGTTTGTATATTGCATGAAATCCTGGAGTTAATCGAGGTTGAACTGTGAAAAATGATGAAATGAAATCTATGGAGATAATAAGTTCAATGGTATATTTTAACTAGATTTACTTATGTTTTATTTTTTAAAAGTACACCTCTTGTATAAACTTCTTTTTGATATTGAGTAGTTAGACCTTATCATTCACAAATTTTAAGGACCAGATAATATATACTTACTCCTAAAATCTGTAAGAAAAGGGATAACAGACGAATCACTTCAGTAGTGAACTGGTAGGGATATTTATCACTCTCGTCAAGGTCAGTTTCAGGCCAATTTTCTTGATTGCTGTGTCTAGGTGAACAATACGATCCGGCATCGCCATTTAAAGGAATGTGTTTCATTTTGTTGGATTGTTTTGGAACTCCTACAGAAGCACTTATACTGCTTGATTCTTGTGATGTAATTCCGAACAAAACTTCTCCAAAGCTTGGTCTACCATGATGACTAGTCGCATGATTAGGTTGAATATCTAGACGTGATTTAGGAAAGCTAGATAAATATCTAGATATGTCAAAAACGACAGCTTTCTTTAAAATTTCAGCTAAAACCTAAATAACAGACACAGAAGATAACATATGGAAAACATTTCGATAAACTATTTGTTTATAGCTAATTAGCGGCAAAGAGTACAATAAGGAATTTCAGAATTATAATGCAATAAATGTTTCGAGCAAAAAATTAATTTTTCTAACCACAGATAACCTCAGGTAATCTAGGTAATAAAACAGTTAATTTTCAATAGATCTTCACAACAAATTAACCTATGGTAAAAATCATCTTTAAAAATGGTTATTTCCGTAAAGGTGGAACATACCAACTACGGCATTGACCTTGAGTCAGAGAAGTATTCATACTTCTCATACAAGCAAGACTGACAAGTATAGCTGTTATGACCTTGGATGTCTGGCTTTTCTATCACACGAATTATCTACCAATTCGAATACGACTTATACGAATCTTCACACTAGGCCAACCAATGATGTTCAACCGGTGTGGGCAGTTTAGCATCCTTATTGGCCCTATTTCCTCCAAGCCCTTCCACTTGAGTCCAGAACACAATACCAACCTCCGTAATATGAATCGAATCGAATCAGATCAGATCGTTTATTTCAGACACACTCTGTTGAAATTCATTTGCCCCACGGCAATTTTTTTTAAAAAACCCCCACCCACCCTTTTTAAAAATGTTTTTTCAACCCAAAATTGCAATATTTTTCATCCCGTTTCGTCCAATGAAATGGCTAGTTTTGAAGTTCGTTTTTAATTTGTTAGTTATGTTTTGTCGGATTGCTATAAAACATCAGTACTTGTCGACGAAGTACATTTTAATCATCATTATGGAGGACAGTAACTTGCCTAGTACAAGCGCTGTTGTTTCTCACGTAACAGAAATAGAGGAAGTCTTTTTGACAACGTTGTTTCTCGTTGCGTTCCCATCGATTGAAGCGTTGAAGTCCGCTATCGCAAATTATGAAAGATCAACTTACTGTCATTATGTAGTTCGAGATTCGCATTTGTGCAGAAATGAAAACTCGTACATTAAATTTGTGTGCTGGAGACATGGCCGTATAACATCTAGCGATTCGTCACAGCGGATTAGACGGAGGAGATAATTTTATAAATGTTATTAACATTTTTTGTCATGAAGGGCTTCCATGAACACTGAATGTCCGGCGTTCATGTATTGTAAGATTATCGACGGCTACTGGACTGTTGTACGTGGGAATGTGCATCACAATCACGAGTGCAATTCCCTAAGGTACCAAGGAAATTCATGGGTGCGCAGGTTAACAGAGGCCGAGTTTGAAAATGTGCGACCGCTGCTAATATCTGGTACTGCTTCATTCCACATTAAGAATTATGCTTACCATTCTTATGGGAAACTACTTACTGATCAAGATATCTATAATATGCGGTACAAAGTGTTCTCACAGGCGAACATTCCTGGTAAGCCATTTGCCAATTTATAATGTAAACGATAGGTGATTACGGGAAATTGAAAGCGCACATAACATCTTTGGGTGGGCGATGCGAATACGAATTAGACGATGAGAACCGTCTATCGTACTTTTTCTTCAGCACTGGTGATCAAAAGATTTTCGCAGACCGTTTCGGTGATGTTATTGGTTTGGACGGAACATACAAGACGAATAACGAGAATATCTATTTATATCAGGTCGTAGCCCTTGATATGAATTTGAAGGCGATACCCGTCTGTATTGCATTTATAAGTCGCGAAACATTGACTTTGATTTCTCGATTCCTGTCGTTCTTCCAACGGTTAACCAACAGTCGACAGGTGATAGGCATTGTGACAGATGATTCACCTGCAATAGCTGCTGCCATCATGCAGGTGTATCCCGATGCTCACCATATCTTGTGTCGCGTCCACCTTGTTCGCAATGTTATAAAGAGGGTAAGTGTTCCGTTCATTAACATTAACCCAGTAACCGTAATTGTAGAGGGTACGATCAGAAGTGATACAACTATTTTTTCGCCTGATGTTTACTCAAACGTACCATAAAATAGAAAATAACATGTGTACACAAATAAGCCAAAAAGTGGCTGTGAACGAGGGGGACAGTAATTAATAGACTGAGCATAGCTTAAGAACCGTAAATCGTACAATAATAAAATATAGGTCAAAATAAAGCTTATAATAAGAGGAATATAAATATTCATAATCTAATTATTCAATAGTTTTACAATAAGAATATTTATAGTCCATTAATAGGCCTCGGGAGTTACCTGTAATTTAATCTTCACTGGGTTATAACAATAGCATTCCAATAGGTGGGTCGAGCATTGTCTATGCTATTACACTAAGCTGCTGAAGCGAACTAAATATTTTGGAGAATTAACTTTTGTTGTATACAATATCAGACTCAAATGAATACATTTCTATTGAGCTTCATTATCACTGATTGAGAATACTAAAATTTCAAAGTGCTAATGAAATTTTTCTCTCAAAAAATAGTGTTTCTGTCAAACTGCATATTTTTTTCTGCATCACTTTAAGAAACCAAACAAGTGTAATTAAAAACCGAGTTGATATTTACAGTGACTTTCAGAACGCGTGAATGATGCATAGTAAATGTTATGACTTACGCGAATTTCTTTCATATGTGCTACAGATCGATTCCTTTTCAGTATATAATAAACTGATCGAATCAACTTCACAAATTCATCCCAATGATGAGTCGTCTAAAAAAAAGAAACGTTTCCAAGATAATTAATTGGAGAATTATTAATTGATATGGATTGATATGGACTTTGTCAATAAGATCGAAATAATTTTTTACCTTCTGATGTATGTATATTTAAAAAGGGTAATTAATTTGCATCTAAAGCAATATAAACCATAAAGGTGATCCATACGCATTTTATTTTATGTAGGGTGTATACTGAATTTTGATATAAATATTTCTGGCTGAAAATCATTACAATTTTAAAGGTAAAGCTTGTTGAAATACATACAATACTGAAGAGCTTTATAACAAAAAATGAAGGGTAGCTAGCAGTGGAATCCAGGATGCACGTTTTGTCCTTTTTGGGACTCGTCGGCTGGATGTTCACCTAGGGACTCGAACCCAGCATCGTTCGCTTCGAATGCCATCGCGTTATCCACTTACCTACTGAGCCCTGTTAGCCACCTGCTTGTGCACAAGCAGCTGACGAGTACCAAATAAAACGAAACGAGCGCCCTCGGTTCCATTGCTAGCCTCCATCCATCTTTGCTCATAAAGCTTATAACTTAAGGCATTATCGAGGCAATCCGCACAGGATGTACATATTCCAACAAGAGACTGATCAATTACAATCCTAAACAACAATGGGAAGATTCAAACACAACATTAAGTGAATTTAATACTGAAAAACATTTTATAATACATTGCTTTGAAATATAAGTGAAAGATAAACTATTATTTAAGATATTAGTTATTCAGATATATGTTAAAACGAAGCTATGAAAACCTAAAACAAAGTGTTCAGTGTTATCTCAAGAAAGGTGATTTCTTTGATGGTTGTTTCGCTTACTGAGCTGTTAAAAAGTGTAAGCTGAAACGTCGTTTGGTAGAATGGAAGCGCAAGCATAATATTTTTGAAGACAGATCTGAAGGATTTATTATTAGTAAACTTATGTGTTTTCTTAACTCGGAGATTAAGCGCATCCTAGAGGTTATATATTTGCTTTGTTCAGCAAATATATTTGTATAAGAAAAAGAGAATTCACCGAGGAAAATTTTCTTTTCGAACGAAATATATTTGTTGGTAGTTTGTGGGGAAACTGCAGGACGACCGAGATGTGGATTTTGCTTTGTTTGAATCTATCAAAAAAATATACCCGCAGTCGTGATTTAGACGCATATTACTCAGCACTGGGTTAAAGGATATCTTTCTTCAATACTGCATATAAAATATTTTGGCGGAATTTAACAAATAAGTAACTTGTATTCAGAAGTTCCCGTTAATTCGATGCAGTCATCTAACATGAACATACGGTGAAAAGTAATATCAATCCATATAAAATACAAATAATATTAAAACAATACTGAATAATAAATAAAATACCGTTACAAAATATTCACTTTTAGGTAGAACTTTGGACTACTGATTAGTTAAAAAATCAGATGTTAATGATAAAGCTGAGAGTGGTTGCTATCTGTTTCTACTCATTACATGTTCAATAGTAGTATTAGTATCAACATCATAATCTAACATTTTTTAAGCATTCTTTTAGTATGAACTTTGTAAGCATAACAAACCATAAAAGGGTGTTAGTTGCCTCGTTTAAATTCACAAAATTCAACCATCAAATATATTTTTCAACAAATGAATATTCATTTAAAATAGTTACATACACAGCTGGTTATCATAAGGCATTAGATAGGTCTAATAATGACTTTCACAAGAATAATTAAGTTTGTAAGATTTTATTTCTTACTACTAATAAAAGAGGAAACAAATTTCATTAAAAAAAGACTAAGTAATCAGTATATGATATAATATGTCGATCAGAACACTAAATTCGAGATAAATGGATTTGGTATGCCAGTCGGTGTATAAAATTTAATTGTTTTCTACTTATCACTATTTAAGATGTAGATAAAAATAACAAGAGGAATCAAAATAATTCTTTGAAAATTTGATTCGATTTGAATATTCGTCAATATTTGAACGAATAGTGTAACAGAATTTGAGCACTGAGAGAGGAAGCATTATTTGTGAAAACAGTTCTGTTTAAAATTCGAGCTTTCTGAGGGTGATAATAGTAGCTTTGATAGTTTATATAAATTCATTTCAATTTTACTGAAACGATTGCTGAAAGTTTAAAAATTGCAAGCAAATCGCTTTACTGTTAACTCAAATACTTTTGTACTTCATATTAATATAATGTAAAGTGTTCAATGGAAACTACATTAATACTTATTTATATAAATGGTGAATATTTGACCACGTAAAACCATCAATCATTCATGATACCATGATATAATAATCATTCCGGTGTTTATTTCTCCATGAAAACGTACGAAGTAATCCCTTTTAGATAAGTGTATTTCTTGTGTACATGAGAACCACATAGCTGATCAGACATTTATAATTTTTAAGAACTGATTGACATCAATATACAAAATAAAAATTGAATAGGCGGCAATTAAAATATATTATTTACTTATAACAATCTACCCAATGCTCAATTTACTCGAAATTATCAAATCAAACTTTGGTAATGATACAGGCAATTAAAATGTTAAATAATACATACCTTGGATCTAATGGCGAATTCAAGCATCTTTGGTAGCGTCCTATTCAGTCGACCTAAAAGACATTCCAATGCTTTACATGATCTCAGTGATTCATGGCTCCAATCGATAACTGGCAGCACTTCCAGAAAATAACGTTGTAAAGCTGAACTAACTAGGAAATCTGGGCTGTTAGAAACTTGTTTCAGCATGAATTGAGCTATATCGGCTAATCGCTGTGTAAATAAATTTCAAAAATTCATTTGGTCAGTTTCATGACGAATTTTAAGCTCATAAATAACACTAGTCAATAAATCTTATTCTAAAAAAAAATTATCTGTAACCTAGGTACCAGCAATAAGCACTCAATCAAAGTTCAAGGTTTTTTGTTTAAATTAAGCAAAGGCAGTTTCAATGGGGAATCTAGTGGTTGTGTAGAGAACAATATCCATAAGACTATTGATTAGTAGTATGTAACGGAATGTAGAATCGTAGTTGCTACACTTGTTAGACGAAGCGAAAACTTTCAGTGCATCGAAAGCACGGCATTGGCATAACACGTGGAGACCAGACGAGATGTTTTAGACTTCAGAACGCACCGTAAAATGCAAACGGAAGATTGAAGGTTATGTATATGTATCACGTAACTGCTTTATAACTTCTCAATATGGCTTTGCTATACAAGTGTAATATTTAGCTGAAACAAAACACTTCAGATTACAACATTCACTCACCTGGCGATTCAAGCATTTCATAATGTGCAGAAGCTATCAGCTTATCTTCAATATCTAAACTGACTTAATTATTGATTTGGTAAATAAGAGAAACTGAAATCATATATTTTTTTCATTTTCAGTCAAATGGATAAGTAGTTCATTGGTTGTTATAATGAGCAAGTTAGTCAGATGTATCGGTAAACATTATATTTAAATAAATAAATTTAGTAGAATATGCACGAAAGCACAGTCTAGCTTGTATATTTCAGTCAAATAAGGGAGACTAGTTGTCCAAACTCTGTCCAATTTGTATGGTAGGAGACTTGGAACACTTGAGTAATAGTAATAAACTAGGAAGCAATACTAATTTAAGGATTCTGAAGTGTTATGAACTGCGCACTCTATGTTGGCTTGAACCTTGAATTATTTGTAACAAGTTGTCTCTGAAACTGTTGCTCAACCTATATTTGCTTTTTTTTTAAACGTCATTTCGATGATCTACTAACAATATACTTCAATTCAAAGACTTGTTGGACTTAATACTTAATACTTACTGGCAATAAAGATGCGAAGCAATCGACAGATTCTTTTTCGTATCCTTCTTCATCCATCCAAAAATTAAACTTTAGTTCATATAAAATATTAACTCGAAAAATCACTAGTTTCAAATAACAATCCACAGTATGTTTTCGTAAACGCGCACTACTTTTAAATGAATAACAATAATTAATGATATTCTGATAAACCTTTTGAAATCTAATAAACTATCAAAACTATTAGAAATATTTGTAAACCATGATGACATCGTAGAAATTTTATTTAGTTCTGACTGTAATAAATTATTTGTAAGGCTAAGAAACAAGGTTAACGGAATAATGATGTAACAACTGATCGACGAACGTTGAGCTTTGGTGAACAAACAAATGAATGCTTATGTAAATAAGCTTAAAATATTTAGTTAATATGTATGAATAGATGAAATCAATGATCAACCAAGTAAGTCATATTAAAAATTTACGGAGTAGGTTAATTAGTTAGGTAAACTACTTTATAAGATTCGCTTACAAGATTTGTTCCATCGAACTCATGAATTGATCAATATTAGAGCACTATTGAAAACCCAGAAGCACTGAACGACCCGAGACCTTCGGTTTAACTCATGAACACTTAACCTCTAGGCCACTGAGGCAGGCACCAACGGCGTTAATATCTAACTTCAGTCAACCCATTGCGCGACCATGTTCCACTGTCTTCGATGGGTATTTCCTTTGTTTTGTATACGTGGTATTCATTGTTACTTTTTTCTGAATACAAGTTATTCCTTATCTCTGATTTTGGATGTATAAACATTTTAACCTTAGTCTAAAGGCTGTAACATTTTGAGGTTAATACATGCACTTATGAAATATTTAGTAAGAAAACTGTCGGTAGCTTACCATGTGTGATTTAGCGTCTAAAAGATCAGATATACGTTGTTTTTCTTCCATTTCCAAAAGACGCCCGGAACAGGTAGATAAAAATTCGCAAGCCAACTGTAAAACTGCTTCTCTGGGTTCATAAGCTGTCGGACGGTGATGACCACTTGTTACTGCAGCAGGATTTCTCAGCATTTGATTCGACTGAATCTCCCTTTCACGTGATGTATTTGAACTTACTGATAGAGGAAAACCTTTATTTACAGACAAATTGTTGATTTCACTACATAATCCACTTCTTGTTGTTTTCTCAGCTGTTTCGTTATATTTTGTTTTATCTAATGACTTGAAGTTACTCTTTGCAGCCTCATAATTTACTAGCCTGGTGGCTACTCCAGTCAACAAGAGACCAGGTGTTTCCTTACGACATTCAGTTGGACCACCTGGAGCAAGGTAATTCAGTTGACGAATGTCTTCAATTCTTCTAAATGGTAAAATTTATGATGATATCAGTAAATAATTTAGAATGTAAAGTTGACGTTTAGTGAAAATCTCCTTAAGTTTATCCTGGGTAACATGGTTTTTGAGTGGGGACTTAATTACCAAAGAGGGCTTCACCATATTCCGCGCTGTACGGATTTCTAAACGTCAAAGTCCTACTGAAGTAACAAAATCAATCAACTTGAAAGATGTAAGGGAAGTTACAATTAGTGATCAACATCACAAGCCTAGACTTACTAAGGTTTAAAAACACGAAGTTCAGCGAAGGAATCTCTTTTCAATGAATTTATTATCAAGCTGTACAATCGTATGTATGAAAGTTTTTGTATAGCTACTAGTACTAAGGTTTGTCAATCAAATATATTACTAATAAACCCACAACAACATTGACGATAAGTTTTTAAAGCTATTGGTCGTACAACTACTGTCCATTGACACTATATTTCCTGGCGCTAGATAAATTATTTAGTAGGCACGTCCTAGATGAAAACAGCCAAAATAAAGTTTTCGTGATAAAACTGAGCCCATATCTTGCCAGTAATCAATAAACTAATGTTGCAAGATTGCGTGACACTAGTACTTAATTCAGAGACAAGGAGCGAATAGTATGAGTACACAATTGCTTAAAAGAACCGGCTTAAAAACATACTCAAAATAAACTGCAGGTGAAATATGGGTGAGCCTATTAAAGATCAATCATTCTACAAGTAATCTAATCGGTCATATTATAAAAATTTCGCATCAGCAGAAACTTTTCCAAAACTCAACTACACCACTGTCCCCTGAAAACAATTCGCTAATTCGGAGGTACATTTCTTATCGTGTTTGTGTCTAATCACGTGAAGAGGAAAATCTATAACTATTGTATTGCACTGAGAAATATTGTATTTTAAATTAGGACTAAACTCAGGTAAGTCATCAGTGCGATAATTTTAACGATGTTTAATACATGAATTTGGAACATTACTAGGGTATTGGATGTATTGACAAATAAATCTAATGAAATCTTTCATATTTTTCATCATAATAATAGCAAATGTTAAATAATTACAGTTTCATGGAAGTAACACACCTGCTCATGAACTCGGCTGTTGAAGTAAGCTGACGCATTGCTATTGAAATTTTCTGAATAGCTGTTAACTCTGCCTTTTTTGGATCAGTACCATTGCCTTCTTCTGCACATATGTATGGCAAGTCTTTAAGAATTAGTGGCACTAGAGCTTGGAGAATAATCTGAATTTAAAAGAGTTAAATATGAATTATTATAATTCATTTGCTGAAAAGATTCTTTTTTATATATGTGTGATGAATGTGAAGCTAAGTGAATAAAAATGAAATTAGTTTTAGGCCTCCAAGTCACATTTCTTGTTTTAATTATACTTCTGTCGATGTGGTTTTAGATTTAAATAAAAGTTCCAAGAAATATCCGACCAAATGGTGGGCATCAACCTGCTTTTTTCCCCAACGTTCGAGTTAAAATTTTGGTTGTAATTAGCTTTGTTTTACATTTAATGATAGTGAAATGTGATGCTGAGATATAAATATTGCACTAAATATCGCGATAAAAATTCGTTAACTAAAATGTTTAGCAGTTAAACAAAACATTCTCTGATAAATCGTATTCTCAATAAATACGACTATCGCTGCTGTTCAATAATTATTTCGTAATTGTATCATGAGGTCAATGTGATCACATATTACTAGAAATAGAACATCAATTGATGATTTCATAATTAACGTCAAATATCTTCACTTTTAATTATCTTATCTTCACTGCAGAAGATCCTGAGCACTCCCTTCCAAAGAAACAATCACATATACGAAAACATCTAATTACTTACCAACATTTGCCTGGATCTATATGAATCAGGAGCATAGACTATGACAGCTACACAGAGATTGATTACTTCCAAAATAGACCAGTTAGCCTCTTCATCGTCATAACAAAAATCCTATGAAAAGATCGTTTGAAACGTCTAATGAATAAATGTCCCTTTTCAAACTTAATGACTTTAGAAATGTCGGTCAATTTAAATTTCTAAGATTAACTCTTGCATACCGATTAATTGTAAAACTAAACACTGCTTACAAATCAGTCAGAAACACTTCGAAATTCATGATTTATCACAATTTCGACCAACTGTTATTTACATATAAAAGTTAAACAAATTATTATTCATTGAATAGAAAGTATGACATTTTATGGTACACAAAAAGTGAAACTAAGCATTATTTATTCAAAGGTCTATATAGTTTCAGCCATTCCAGGTTCTATGAAATAATGAGTTATATATACCTATAGATTTAATAGAATTACAACTTTCATATCAGTTTGTCTTATCTACTGTGATTAAGTAAACTAGAAAATGTTGCAAGATTTTTCAGTGTACATCTACGGATCTAGATATATTTGCCCTGAGTGATTACAGAATCCGATTCATTGTTTGCAAAATACGTGAAATGTAAGCAGACAATATTTAGGTTTATCCTTGAAAAACAGAAACGTATTCAGTCTGAATCGCTTTAGAATATCAAACTGTAGGAAAAACGCTATCACAATTATTCAAACGGAATCTATTGTAGCAGTATCAAAAACCATTACGTGTGACTTTACTAATGCAAGTTTGTTTTCCTTGTTTCAGGGCAACAGAAAGGGAACGTACTAAAAGAAGAAGAACAAGCCTTGCGCAAGTTAAACCTGCGGGATAATGAGTAAAACCATTTTGTAATAGACTTCCCTTTTTTGTACTTAAACCGCGTAATTCAATTTTTAAATATATCGCTGTTGTGCTCGTACGCTGTGTTCTCACTTGAGTAGCATCTGTCGGTCCTGACTGTTGTGTTGTGTTTCAGATCGCTACTGCTTGCAGATAAACGCTAATAGTACGTGCTACAATATATATATATATATATATATATATATATATATATATATATATATATATATATATAACATTGATGCTATAATATTTTTTCTGTAGCTTTTAGTCTTTAATTTTTTGCGTCATTGTCATGATAAGTAAGGTTGATTTTAGGCAAGAAAATTATTGGAGTATGCAAATTTGGTAATAACACAAGTTGTTCAGTGTTATTACTCTATACAACTAACAGTTTTTCATTTATGTGAAAAAGATCTAAATAACTACTCTGTATACATTATGATTACAATAAAAATGTTCATAATCTTTATGTGAACAATCCAAATGTCAGTTGATTGAGTTGTAAAATAAAATAATTCAACAAAAGTGGTCTTAATAAGGCAAGTTAACGTGAATTTAGAACAAATAAAAGCAAAAGCTATTCTAAAGAGTTTAAGTGATATATTAAAGGTACATTCCTATATTAACAGTAGGAACATAGGATTTTTAAATAATAATATCCATTGATTGCTTTCGAGTTATTAAGTTGTAATTAAAAATCCATCACTTATTGTACAGTTTTTAGTTTTTCAGTCAATTAAAACTTAAAGGCATCTTGGTTGTGAAACGATTTAGAGGGTAGATGAAAAGAGATAAGTCGAAAATGTTCATGATGTCAGTATGAAAAACAAACTTACCAAAGCTTCCAACGGCTTCTGAATATTACATAACTCCAAAATACGAAGGTTATCATCTAAAGGACGGCTTATAACACGTAATAATCTGTATACAGCCCCTGGTTGAATCTGTGGTAAAATGAAATAATTCATCAAAGAGTAATACATAGTCAATGTTTATCAATTTTTTACAAAGTAGGTTACTCAATTTACTCTCCTCATCTAAGCGACCGTAAAGATTCTCGATATTGATTAACTTTATATGCATCAACCATAGGAAACAATTTTTATGTTTCACTAAGTAGGTAGAAAGGAGCAGGTAAACTACTGACCGGAAGGTCAAATTTTGTTACAACAATCTTTCTGTAATACAAATTAACTGAAGAGAGGTCTCGTTTTCAAACACACATTACCATACAAAGCATAAAGAACCAGGGAGACATAGACAATTTCCTATTTTGGTAACTAAAGTGAAGAAATTCACTAATAATAGAATACATTTTGATATAAACGAAGACAGAATATCAAATTTAAATTATAAAGATTCTCAATAATAAGAATAAATAAATTCCCCAACACTGGATTGTCAATCTTTCTCAACAAAAATGTTTTTTCGTAGAGGCTCGTGTAACAAGTAATAACGTCCAGCACACTGATAAGTTTCTATTATCAGTTTTATTAGACGAATGCTTTTTGATCAATTCAGATAAATTCATATGATCGATATGCTATTAGTCCAATTTTACTAGTCTGTTATGGTGAACCGACCAATGAAGAACATAGTATCGATCATTGCATATGATATTTAAGATGAATATTCAATCTTGAAAGTGATTAGGAATATCGGATTCTGACAGATATAATTTTATTGTAAATGTACATGATCTGATATAAGCATACCATAAGTGAATAGTCATATCAGACTATTGTAATTATTAAATTCTAGCAATATCATGAGTTTATTCTGATCACATAGATGAATGAATTTTCACAAGGTTTCATCAATATACCTTAATTTAATGTGAAATATATGGTATTCGTTCAAGTAACCTAACAATAAATAATGGTCGATGTACTTTGGCGAATAACAATTAGAAGTCTTTATACATTACTATAGAATGATCACAAAAATTCTTATCATGTGTAGCATTATTGTGATGAAACCACAATGGTGGAAAATAGTGTTAAAAGAAACACTATATACTCACTTACTCGGTAAAATTCATCTCCCACACCAATTATTTCATTATTAGTCGTTACATAATTGGCGATGCATCCTAGCAGTTGTAATATAAATGGTGTTCTATGCATTACATAAAATTGTCTAAATGTAAATTCAATAGCTTGTGTAAGTACTGGATTATGTGTATTTTGGTTATAAACACGTACCAATGTCGGTACAATACCAGAGTAGCCTGTGGTTGCAAATACTGTTTTGAATTGATAACAGCACTAATAAAATAAAATAAGTTATACATTGTTATGAACGAAATATAGTTTATAAAGTCATTACAGATTTGTCGATCAAAAGAGAGAAATTGTAGTAAAGTAAGAGTAACGAAAACCTTTTAGGAAAGAGTATTTTGAGACTATTTGTAAAACATGATGATAACCAATTATCGCTCTACTAACAATGGAAATAGATTGGTAAGAATTGAAACTATTGATGGCAATTGACTTGAAGATAACATATAGTCCATTTTCAAAATAACTTTGTATTTAATATGAGTATTATTATCATCATAATTATCTAGCAAGGATTGTTAATGGAGTATGAATCTTGATGGTTGGCCAAAAAGAATTTCATTAAATTACAATATTGCGCTTTGGCTGAGCAGCATAACTTTGTTTGAAATAAGTTTGGGTGGAATTACAAGTATTTTTTAAAATGACTATTTAGTAGTAACTGATACAGTACACCCTTATTTTTGAGCAAAAAATTAATCTCTGCAGGTAATCCAAACCAATAATAGACGGCGTAATAACACTTTAAATTTAAGTGTGTCTAATTACTTACTTAGACGATAAACAAAGTCAAAGTGTTAAGTTGAAATTATTCTGCGTTGTAAATTTGAGAAAGCCAGTGTTAATTATTGAAATAAATTTCCAGTTGATCGGTCATTTTTTATGAAAAAACCTCTCCTTATTTTCTAATGTTTAGTTTCCGTAACGAAAAACTGGAGATGGGTTTGACAGTGTCATCCGAAATTTTCTATCCTCAACGGCAGTTATGGAGTAATAATATCACAGCACTGATTTTCCTAAAGATGTTAACAAAATTTTTAACCATAAAGGATTTCTTGTTATAGCTTGTTGTAGAGAGTATTTGATTTGAATTTTCACATTGCACGGACTGATCTTAGTTAGATGTTCATCGCAAACCAGACAGCACTAGACAGTTGTATTACTCCACATTTCTTTCAGCGAATAATGTATTTAATCATTTGGAATGTGGAATATTTGTTTTAGGCTAACTGTGTCATCCTCACATAGGTTAAAATTACGCACATATATTATTGTAAAGCCTTTACAGAGAGCCACTGAGGACTTGGAAGTTCAGCAACACTTTTGCCTATATCCTTTTCTTTTCTCATGCACACATGTATATCCTTTGATCAGTAAGAGGAGTTTCGTTTCTGCTGATTAACCCATGATCTTCAGTCATATTTGTAAACTGTAGCGCATTTTCAACACTGGTTTTAATCTAACTGTAATAAGATAAAACTGGCTACTGAGGTCCTATAATTAGGTGAAGTTATCAAGCGCTCAATGGGTTTTGATGGTTGAAATTAATTCCTAAAGTGAAACTTAAAGCCTTTTACATTCAACACAGCTTTGATATCTAATATTGAAACAGATGTTTGCGATGGGACTATTTAATTAGACTAAATTGGATATTGAAGATGACATTTGGTAATGTTCTATGCTTGTGTAACTGGACAGACGAATGAAACTTAATTTGCTTGACTATATCTTCTCTTGAAATAGAAGTTCACTGACTTAATGAAATATTAACTCACAAATAAGATTTGTTATTTATTTGAAACTGACCTGTATGAAGAATGCTAGACACTGTCGTAAAACTGATGAGTCTTCTGCATGTAATATCAGTGTACCATTGTATACATTCAAAAATATTTGTAAATCCGATGACCATGGATACGTTTTAGGCATCATCATGAATAAACTGGATATTAAATGACACCAAGATAACTTGTGTATTGTATCTAATGCAAATAGTGGACGCCCATATGTAGGCCAGTCGTAAAGATTGAAGTCGGATTCTAATGCTTTACGTGGAAATGATGGTAGTTTAGTTAACTCTTCATGTAAGAAAAAAACGTGATTGGGAATCTAAATTATGAGAGGTGGAGATAAAAGAATCAAGTCAAATCTTCAGCATTTCATGGTTAAACTTGAGATAAGGACAGATAAAGTACAACGCCAATAATATATAAGAAAATATAGATTTTCATGAATTTTTTCTGGAGATTCAATAACAATATTCATAGTGCTTTGTTAACATTCTCAAATATTATTGGTGAGTTTTTTTCTTTATGTCGAACTCATTTAAATCACGATACCATAAAAACTAACTTAGTTGTTTGTTGGACATTATGATACATTGGAAATTTTTTTTCGGAAATATACGCTAATGTTAGTAAGACACATAAAAGATCAAGCTGAATTTGCGGTCAATGAATAAAACGCTCGGCATTTTATGGCAGTAATCACAAAATCGTTTGCTTTGTTGTATAAATAGGTTGTTTACAAGATATTTCTCAATTAAGTGCTTTAGTGTAGGTTATTTAAATTAAACGACAAATAATGTCTTTCTCTCATGAATCAACTTAGGTATAACTGAATCCAACTTCATGTAAAATATCTGTTTGCTGGTATTTGAGATTCGAATAGTTCAAATATGACATGGCAATTCATAATAATGTAATGATGATGATTACTTTTCTTTGCTTAATCTGGAATTACATTTCTTTCCCATACGCCAGTAGTGAAAGTCTGTTGGTTATTCCGAATAAATTTGCAGTATTAATAAGACAAGTTATATATCTCTCATATCTATATTTATAACTAAGTTAATGACTGAGTTGAAGATCAACTTAAATGGATCTGATTGTTGCTGAATTCGCAGCAGCTAGTTTGGTAGTGGCTAGAAGTGGGAGTAGAGACAGTTGATACGCTCTCATCTGATTTGATCGATTGCAGCCACACGGGAATTCTAATTAATGTTAATGTTCCTATTGTAAACCTAATTATATCACCAACCACCTCTTATGCAGAAGCGTTATTTAGTGGCTAAGTAAGTAGCTATAAAATTACAAATTTGTTGACATTCTATATTTACTGATTATTAATGGCAGATATTTTGAATAAGTTTCTTTTCCTAATCAATAAATACAAAAACCACTGACGAATTCATATACGCCTTAGATCTTGGAACATTTCATGATCATATTCTGAAAAATGTAAAAGAAAACAGTCAAATGAATTATTATATATGTTTTAGTTCATTTCATATTGGAAATATCGCTGTTCTATCTACATACCTGTGCAGTTGGCGTACATCGAAGTACTGACAGCGTAAATGATACTTTACCAATTTCTTGAAATTTCAGACTGAGAGCATTTTGTTGCAGTAGATACATGCCGTGTTTCTTGTCATACTGACGCAAGCGTAATTTAGGAGTATGATTACGTTTGAATGAATAGAAATCACGAATGTAATGGGAAGAGTTTCGTATAATATCTGCAACATGGTTAAAATGAAGTCAATCAAAGCATATACAAAACCATTTAAAAAGCAATAGCACAAATCCAAATAAAGATTACTATCAGAAAATTGTCTCATGTTTCCTAAGTTGTGATATTTACCAGTATCCTTGTCATTTGCACCATATGAGTTTGTAGTTTTTATACCACCGAGAATGAGTTAAGGAAGTTTCTCATTGACGTAACATTTATTTACCCACCTGACAGATCAATGGTCCCTTATCTCTTACAATAATGTTTTTATTCAAATAATTACCAAAGAGGTCAAATATCTAATAGCCAGCTTATTTACCAGTTTACGGTTACTACCCCAGCTTAAAATTTTGCAAGCTTGCAAAATTTGGCTTAACTGGTTATAACATAAATCATCATACTATATAATCACTCCATCTGTAAACCACGTACTCCTACGTTTTATGCTCAAATGAAAAATGTCCCTTAATATATGTAACGCATTTGGGTAATCATTATACATATTGGCTCATAAATGAGCTAACAACAAACATCTGCCTTGGGCCACAATAATTGAGATTTACAAGTTTACTTTCCGTTGTTAAGCGAGCTATATTGGCAACACAAAGTGTACTATTTTGAAAAGTGTCTCCTAGCAATAATTTTCTTTGCTGTCAAAAAGAGTAATATAATTAATCAGTAACTCAAATCCGGAATATCTTGTAAATTTCAGTCACGCTTTTAAGACCATACATACTTAAAAAAATGAATAATAAACTCATGCACTGAATAGGTTTTAACCATTCACCGATTCAAACCTGTGTTTTGTAGACTAAAGGATTATTCCAACCTCTCGTTCTACCACAATCTTTAGTTACCTTAGTATTTTAAATACTTAATAGTCAGTTGTTATTTATTCTAATTTTTTTTTCAGAATTATTGGTAAACTTTTATCATAATATCCAATCTTTTTCTCCTTTCCATGCTCACCAGGTGTACAATTACCTCATCTATACACCACTTCTTATTTTACTAATCTTCATCAGATCATTTATCGACTTGATTCGAATCATTGAAATTTTCAGCTGAAGACAAACATACTTTTCATTCAACTAATATATATGATGAGACTATAATCTATGGACGACTTTTGAGAGACACCAGAGTGACCTTGAGAAGATTTAACTACCTACTAGGATTAAATGAGGGTTACAAATTAATTTGAGAATTCAGAATCGGGATTTAATGTTAGAAGTTAGAGTTTGAAATTGGAGTAAAGGTTTTGATCACGAACTGACATCAGATCCAATACTCACTATTTTAAATCTGGTTGGTTCTTCCATAAAATATAGTCTCGCCCTTTAACTGTAATAATAGATACCATATCGATGCTATGGCTTTACGTTTAGTGTGAGATGACTTCAATACATAGTGAGGAGCTTCTTGGTATATATTTCGGGCTTATTTAGTCCTAGTCAGTGACTTACATTGTTGGGTTTTTTATTTGCAGACGTACATATATATACTGTATGGAGATTCGTACTTACGATGATTACTGATAATTGTAAAATAAATTATTTTAAGACAAACTGTGAAATATCTTGACTCAGATGTTTATTCTGTGTGTTTTCAAATTGAGCGTTGAAAGTTTCTGACTTGCTGCATATGATAATACCGTTATCAACAGAATCATAATGAGATAATCAAATCATATGGAAATACATGCATACAATATCGCGAAGTTGTTTGTTGATTTTTTGTAACAAGCAACTTTCCAGTTGAACTTGACGATTAGGCAAATACCAAATATTAGGTGGTTGGTGATAGTCAAGTAAACAAATATGATTCTAAACCCCTTTTAAACTGAAATATACAAATATAAATGTTTATGAAACGGTCTAAAAAAACTGTGCTTACTAGAACGTTCGTCACAAAGGTAGTAAGAACTTCTTTCATCTTCGAGTATGTCACTCGCCGACAGAACATCTTTCAGAATGTCTTCAAACTGATAGTCCTAAAAATTTTTAAAGAACATTTGTATGAAACAGGTTAACAATGATGATCTTCATAGATAAACTCTGTTAGTCGGATCTGCTGAATATAGTAGTTCAAAAAGAACCTGAGTTGGACTGAGTTAATATTTAAAATAACACGAAAACTTCGTTCATTTGTGAAATAAACATGCTTCTTATTAATTTTAACCAGAATAGAGAAAATATATCACGTTAACTAATCTGTTCTCAAAATCAAAAAATCACAAGATCATTGTCTTGTGTAAACTGTTGATGTCCATTGAATAAAAGGGTTAAAAATTGTGTTCATGAAGTATTTGTGACAAATAAATAAAATGCATAATTCGAAGACACTGTTAAAGTGTTCATGAACATTCTTTTTATCAAATAACTATCAAACGTCAAATAAATCATATGTGAAAACATTTATACTATTATGAATAGTCGAAGCATAGACATTAGACAGATTGAGTCAAGAAGATAGGTTTTTTTACAAGTTGATCTGTAGGTCTACATCTACGAGACTAATTTTAGTATCCTGTTGAGATATATATTTCCTGGAACCAATCGTCATCACAAACCTCAATTACTTGTAGGCAGTAGTGAAACGTTTATGTGATATAATTACGACTATTTCAACCTATCTTCTAATAGTCTCTGAAAATTATAAAAAAACTGTTTACTGAAAGTTAGACTAAACGACAGGGTGAATGATAAAAGATATTATTTGATTATTATTGAGATTCAAACATCTTAAGTGATGATTGGGGTGAGATAAAAAGTTAGTTACCATATAATAAGAGGGTAACCTTTTATAACCCGATAAGTGATTTCCTATTTGATAAGAAATAAAATGCCGTCAGATGATAGAAAAGAATGTTATAAATCCTGAATTGATTTTATATTTGGGTTTCTGAAATAAGAAATCAGTGGTTCGTTGATTTATATATTGAATTGTTAATCAAAGAATAATAAGTTCAAACCCTAATGCACCTGATACAGTTAGAATATGTCGGTGACATAATGGCCTAGTAAACGAAATCGTATATCATTTTCGGTGCCATTGTATGTATGTTTCTGTAGAAAATAAAATTGATCTCTTTCCACTGTTTGCAATGCGTCAATACATATTTTTTTGTTCACTGATCGTTCCTCACCTTGTTTTCGTCTTGTAAACGAACTAGTTGAGCGACACCAATACTATTATCAAACACGTTGAATTGTTTAGCACAAGGTAAGTTAGCTGTTAGTAAAAGTGTAGACTAGAAAAAAAGGAAAAGAATTAGATATAAACATCTACGTATATTGGATGAGATGGTTTATTGTTTGGTTAGTTACAGATAGAAATAAAAACATTTTACGAATCGTTTCTATTAAAGTAAAAATTGTTTCGTTCTCCTCTCGATAAGCTTTCATTTTTTAATTATTCATGAAGCTAAAGATACATTTCCTATATTTATTTACATTGGCTTAAACATTCAATCAAACCATTCTACCCTGTTTTATACTTTGTTATGCACTTGCATGATCATTAGTGATACATATTGCTTCCAAGCATTTAGTCAGAGGCCACAAAATACAATACGACCGTCAGTACAAATGATGCCATTCCATGGTATAATGTTTTGGTACCATGATTTCAATTTTAAGGTTAACGTCCTCCATTTGAGTGGGGAGAATAGAAATATATTCTCATTGAGTCTTAATCAATGATCAGAAAAAAAGTAACAAGACTAATTATCCCATTGATAGAGTAAATATGAGATTCTGTTCAACTGTATTTCTGTACAATCTGTTAGATGATCGGTTAATACAATGATTCAAACCCTATATTAATACCGCCAACATACAGTATTAAAAATTATTGAAAAAGAAACTATTCGCTAGGTTAGTTATACCTGTAATAAAACGACACCCAAGTACTTTAAACTATTTCGGATCAATAAACAATTAATACGCTGGGTATATCGTGACTTTAATGGAAGAAGAATATGTTAAATCAATAAACAAGTCATTGAGCATTGTCACATATGGCTTGTAACCATATGACAGTGTTGATGCTAGTTTCATCACTTATTCCCTAAGTCTCTCATCCTTTTGTGTAATTGATAGTAATCTGATTTCATAAGTCACCTATATATTATGTTGTAATTGATGTCATTAAATAATTTATAATTAGTTTTAACTATTTGAAGCCGTGAAGCATAACAAGCATTGTTTATTTTCTAAGTTTGCAGCTGAGACAGCGATCAAGACTATTTATTATAGAAGTCAATCCCAGAATTTGTAACAGACGTTTTCTTTACTTTTGCAGGTAAGCTCAATGAATATGAATTGAAATTTCTTTTCTATAATAAATTGTTTAGACCATTAAAAATGTATCAAAATGAACTCAAGCCTTAATGAAAATGATCGATGCAAGTTGACTTGCAAATCCAATAATTAAAACGATTGAACCTTATACTTTTAATTGTCATAACTTGAAATTTACAAAGTACAGAAAATCTATTTATGGTTGAATAATATTTTCATTTTGGAGATAAAATCGTTTACTTGATCAAAAGTTGACTTTCTATACCTAAACGTTGATTGCATATTTTCACGTTTCAGAAAATACTCGGATGATATGCAGATAAATATATGGAGCTAATCATTATTTGAAATAATCTTGAATCGAAATAAAGGATAACGATCTAATGATCTCCTGGATACAAAAAATCATTGCAGGATCAAAGGTTTGGCGAAAATTTTCTTGAATACATTCATGGAACGTTTACGTTCCTTTTTCTCCGTAAGCCTTTACAGTATTTATGTTTTGTGTTTTTTGTAGTGTCTCTTATCACCTGTGGTGGCAATTATTCATTTAGCAAAGTTAAATATAAGTGAATGATCAATAACATGCTAAAAAGTATTTAAACAAGTATCCGCTCAATCCATACTTTACAAAGAACTTACATCGATTTGTTCTCTTCTCATTGTCTGTTTCAAATCCTTAAAGTAGATATTTTGAACGTATGGAATAATCTGAAGAATCAGTAAAAATACCAGGTTGGTGATTGCAAATTATAGTTGGCTCTTCATTACTAGTAGCGATCTCTGTCAAGTTAGTTCTTAGTATTTAGGGAAATCCGTAAGGTACTTCGATGTTGAAAAGTTTTTAGGTTCGATATAAATAGATTATGAAAAGTTTTAATAGTTAGAATGATGATATGTTCATCGTAGGAAATCAGAATCTTTACTTCAACTTCAAGAAATGAGTTAGTCTCTCAACACATTTCTGAAATCGTCAGATCTAAGGCTACAGATGTTTCATAGAGGTATTGACCTTTAATAAGAACTAATTCTGATCATATTAGTAAAATATAAAACACTAAACAAAAATTGGTTATTGGTCAGGTTCAACTATATTGTTAGTCATCAACTCCCACTGATTGTTATGCTTCATACTAAGGCCAAAAGCTCATAATCTCAATCTCTGGAGGGTTCTAAACATTGCATACTGAATAGACTCAAACGAAGATGAAACAACTGTTTGTTGCTTCATAGTTTTCAATTGTTGCATTGCTAATCTTAAACCTTGTTGTTTTCTATTTTCAGGATTCTGTAATAATTCACAACCTAAGGTTTGTAATTTACACTCACATTCAAAATTTCTTCCATTAATTTATATCAAAGACTTTTGTAAGTTAATAAATATGAATTAGCTTTAACGTTGTGGATGAAATGAAATACCGTGTTTTAGACATAATGCTATGAATGCATGTCTAGAAAACTGTATGGTGATAAAGCACTTTGTTGACAGGATGTGTAATAAGTATATTACATTCATTTACATACCATTGTTTTCGTAGAATTTCCGGAATACGAGGGCATAATGAAATATTTACTTTGACACTCAAAAATTAGGAATTAAAAACCTGGAATTTTTATTATGGAAAATAACGTTAAATTTTATCTAAAGTAATCTAATGAATTTATTCAAGTGATGAATTTCTTAGGTATACTTGTGGATTTTTATATCATTCTTGAAATATCTCTAATAGCGATCAATAAACTAATATAATACTTCATAAAATAAAACTAATTAAATGGAGAAAATTTAAAAATAGACTTGTCTTGATGTTATCCTTAGAGACCATAATTTTATAGAGGGTTAAATTTTTACTTACCAAATGAAGAACTGATAACGCACTGGCAATTGACTGAGGTGCATTGAAACTTGGTGTACGAATATGAAACATAATATAACCGACCTGTTATGAAAAATAGAATTAGTGACGATGATGACAAAGTCACGATAATAATCTATTTGTATGGAATTATCTATAATTTATGTAATTGAACATGGATTAAAACAAAATGAGGCATCTTTCTTCAAGAACTGCAATTATAACAGCATTCAGTAATATATTTTAAATGGTTCTCTGCTCGTCTATAGTTAATTCTCAAGTCGTTTGTTGACCAATGTTATTTATCGAACTTCTAAAAAAGATTTGAATGCCTACAACGTAGCATTGGACTCAGCTGAAATTGCACTAAAATAACTTAAACGACTCAGATAGAATGATTTTTTTCTTAAACTTTATTATTAAATAACCCATACTTCAATAGTTTCAAGTTTTGTTGTTTAGAGTAAATATCTTCACGACGGATGAATATAATGAATATGGAAAACGCTTTATATGCATGACAAATCTTAATATTTAAATACACTTGATAACTAATGAACACTGTGTAGCACGTCGTAGTAAGGAAACTGACTTTCAAAACATTATAGGACTTTGATAACGGAGATTTTAAAATATTTCAAACGTTCAAATGTATATACTTGTTATGTTGTAAGTATTTTTATGAAAAGTAGATAATAATTTTCTTTAAAAAACAAGTATTAAGAGGAATCTGTTGCAACAATAATTGTGTGTGATTTACTTCAGATTTGAAAACAGTGTATAGTTACTAAAGTAAACATCGACTGGGTCTGTTAGGTGGCATCAATGCTTTCATCACCATGGTCTACTCAATCCACAAAACTTTTTATTTAGTTCTGTTTTGGCAAAGTCAAACATTTTCATATCGACTCTATTACTTTCTGGAGTCGAAAGTCTTATGATTAGTTTCATAATCAATCTACTTGAATTCAATGTGATACTAAATCCCAAATCTATATATTATTTAAAGAAAATAGTTTTAAGGGTCGTTACTTGATAGATCATCGATTTATTCAGTAGGTTTAATTTTGTTAGTGAATAAAATTACATTTCAAGTGGAAATTATCGTGATAGGTTACATTACATAAAAACTAGATTTGACTAATTGAAAAGAGGACCGTCATTCTTTCCCGTTCACATTAACTCAACATTCTGAAACGTACATCGTTACCTACGAAAATATGGCTGCCATCATTTATCGATTCTACTGTTTACGTGTATATTTTTACCTACTAAAGACATTATGTTACGGAATGGGTTTACACACACACTATCCAGAAACGGAAGTATATTAAAGTTTTAGCAAACCACTAGTCGTTAAAACTTCAGAATATAGGATGAAAAAATAAAAAAAAACAGTAAAACGAATATCATCACGATTCTCATTCTTCGAATTTAGTTGGAATTTACGACAGTTGGTGGCATCCAAAAATTCTTAACTTTCAACAGTTATGTGACTCGCTTTTTTGTTAAGTATAATAAAAATTAGTCAAAGGTTTTTCAACACTTGGTGATAAAAAAGTTCGAAAAAATACAAACACTCTTGTTAAAATATAATTTAAAAATATTATTCTTTATATCTATATATCTTAGCTTATCGATTCATAGCATTTTAAATAGACCTTATTAAACTTATCAATGGTGAGTACATGAACTTACTAAGTTATTGAACAGAGCATGTGCTGTCTGCATTGGTAATTCAGGTAACCGTTGAATCATTTTACGTAAAATAAATATAAGTTCATCTTTATTTTTTATGCGTGTGAGACGCTCGAATATAAAGCGTAAAAATAATGGTGTATCTTCTAGCAAACAATTAAATATCACATATTCAGCTATTGTATTTACTGAAATTAAACGAAATAAGGGTATTCCAATTATGTGCTCAGATTTATAACTATTTAAAGTGAAATTTATATCATTTGGAGAAACACGTAATGTACAGGGAAATATATTGACAGTAACTACAGTTTAACATACTAACCAGAAACCTAAAAAATATTGGAGAGTGGTCACTGGATTAAAACTGAACGATTATTTACTAAAATTTGTGTAAATTCTTAAACAATATTTTACAAGGTGAGGATTGTTGGTAATGCGAGATCTCCAGAAATCAGTTCGTAAACGTCTTATTTGTGTAATATTATTTTTGAAATTTGAATTTCTCGTTTCCGCGCCAATAGCACCCAGCTTTACCTTCAGATTGCATTCCTCACTTAGAATGACCCTAAATGTCATTAGTTTGTTGCATTTTTTTAAATACGCTATTTCGTGACGTTTTCCAAGGAGCTTTTTATGCTCTATATATGCTTGAGCTGTGTGCATGGTTTGTTCATGCTTCTGGCTGCTTGTGGAATATATATTTTCCTCATCTGAACCTGGTCTTCTCTCTTTAGTTATCAGGGCTGGAACGCATCGAAAGAGTTTAGCTTGTTGTTGTGTTGGTGATCCTTCGTTCTTTTCCTTGGTTTAAGTGATCCCATAATTTCTTAAAACACCAAACCTTTTAATAACTATATCAGTAATAAAATAAACTTAACTAAATCACGCATTTTAGGCTTTCATTTTGCACATAACTAGATTGTTAGATTGTACAACTTCTTAAAATTTGGAACCGATTAATGGAATTGGTAAAGTTTGAAATTGATTGTACTCAAAAAAGGATATAGATATATTTGAAGGAATAAAATATAATGAGAGTTACTGAGTTCAGTATAGAAATGCTGTCAATTACAGATGCAGTTGCTCACGAGGAATACCTGTTGTTCTTAAAGGTTTACGTTTTTCGTTTATGAAATCATGAAGATTCAGTGACGAATGTCAACGCATTCTACTCAATGACAACCTCTAGTCTTTTTCATGACTACACATACATATATATGTGTTAAATATGTGAATATCTTTCAAACATTAGACATATTTTCCTTTACCGTAATAGAAAACACACGATACATATATGAGTTGCGTGGTCTGTATAAATATAAAGGAAATCTATCAATTTTAATAATGCGTTTCGGAACCCTATGATGACGGATTTCATTTAAATAATTTACGGTAGCTTGTAGAGGCTGGTACCATGTCAAGCGCACATAGGTTATTTTAGCTTCTGGCTAGATGAATCTATTCGTTCTTTTCAAGCCACATTTTGACCATGTTAATTACTCACTTATCATCCTTGACTGTTCTTATATGAGCGCATGTGTTCGCTACAAAGCTCTGAGTTACGTTTTGGTCTGGAGTATTTTGAAACGCCTATGAACAAAGGCAGGTTTCGTCGAAGACAATGTTATACCAAAAAAGGATTTGAAATACAGTAATCACTGTTCTTTCATTTTAGTAAATCAATGAAAGTTGTTTCTGTGTATAAATTTATGCGTAATTCATAAAATGTTACGTAAGCAGTATATTCAAACACATTGAAAGAATGGGATTTATAATTTTGTCCGTGTATAGCATTTCAATGACTACGCAGCCTGTCACCTCTTTGAAAAACCATTAACGGTTTCACAGGTCATTTTTAAATTCCATGGTCAATTAAGTCTGGGAAAAATATGCAAGTTAATTGTCAGAGTAACCTTCTTTTCAGATTTTGGCAGAAGAATATTGTAGAAAAGACAGAGATCATATTGATCCAAAACAATACTGATAATCCTAATTTAAAGGCTTAGAATGATAAACTACTGAGGATTGAAAAAAATTTAAAATGAAGTATGTATAAAATTGCACCTAGTTGTCAGTGTTCATTAAAAGTTGAAGGAAAATAAAGTAACTGTTAAGTCAGCATAATTCGAATTATTTCAAGACAAGTATCATGAAAGTTATATGAATTACCTGCTGTTCCATGCTCATTTATCGCCGTATCATCTAAAAGATTAATCAGTAAAACTGATGCAGAGCATAGAGCAGATGGGAAGACCAACTGAGCTTGTTGCAATGGTTGTGATGGGAATAAAGAATGAGATCCACTTAACCAACGGTCTTCATCTATATGACAAATAGAGTAAAAAGTAAGTTTTACAAACAATGAATCTGTTTTACTTATAAATTACTATATCTCACTTTTAAATAAATGTCATTATTGAATTCACTGCTTAAATAATAAAGCTAAAATACATCGATCAAAGAAGTAAGTGAATGACGCATTGAAAGTCTGTTCACGCTTTATAATTGTTAACTAGACTTATCAAAAGATGATTGGCAGAAAACAATCAGAGTAATACTTATATTCCTATAGTGTGTACGCCTTGAAACAGAATATGTAATCTACTTTACGCACTTGCTACTAGATCCAATTCAGTAGTTATCAACAACAGATGCACTAGAATAATGCTACATTATAATAGCAAGCTACATTACGATTTCCAGTGGTTGTCAATTCAGATTTAAAACGATTTTTTAGGCGATCTACTAAAAAAATCGTTTAAGTCATTTGTTCAGATTTGGACAAACCAAACGATTCAACTGAGCGTGACAAACATTTGGGAGTTTTATTTGCCATTAATTAAAAGATGTAGGTTTCTTCTGTCCGGACTAGCTTTTGCCAACTTGCGTCATTTATGGCGTAGGCGAGATATCCGTCTATCAACCAAAGGACGTGTTTACTGCGCAGCAGTTCGTTCCGTCCTACTTTATGGCAGTGAAACATGGCCGGTAAGAGTAGAGGATATCCGTAGGTTACTAGTATTTGATCATAGGTGTCTTCGAAACATTGCTCGTATATCATGGGACCATCGGGTAAGTAACAAAGTTGTTAGGAAACGGGTACTAGGTAAGGATGGCAAATCAATTGATGAAGTAGTGAAACTTCATCAGTTGAGATGGCTGGGACACGTGTTACGTATGCCCAACGACCGACTACCTCGACGCGCTATGTTCAGTGTTATAGGAGTAGGTTGGAAGAAAGCTAGGCGCAGCCAGATCAAAACATGGCACAAGTCCATGAAGTCACTGACAAGTGGACTGAGTCATGTTGGTAGGTGTAGACTACCTGGTTGGGGACCGCGAGATGACAGCAACCGATGGTTAGAGACCCTGAATGACATGGCTCAAAATCGTTTGCAATGGCGCAGGTGCATCCACTCTCTGTGTTCTCCCAAATTCTAATCTTCTGAATTCTTCATGTCCCTTTTTTCCTCTTTCCAAATTTATTTCACTGGATTATACTCTTTAAATAACATCTCCAAACCCTAATCTTCCCGATTACTGCTTATACTCTTACTACCTCTACGATTACGGGATTTGAATCGACAACTGCATCTCTGTGCTAATGTGGTGTGGCAACTCGAACTGATGTACGTACGTACGAAGTTCTACGTTGTTACTGACTGACTGACTGACTTTTCTCAAATTATAAACTGTGTTCGCCTTCTTATTTTGCTTCCTCTCATGAAATTGCCTATAATCCAAGATACAGTTTATAAATCTCATGTTGTATACTTATACAACATTATCTGGTATATGGTAGATATGCAGTCTGAGAGAGTACAAGAATAGTGAAGATGCCGCTGACCTCTACATCTTTGGAGATAAAACAGACCGATGGCAATAAATCAGGTGATAAAAATGTATTCGGGTCCTTTCCTATTGACACTGATCTGACATAAGCAACAGTGTTGACTAGTTTTAACATCACCTTGATCTGCAGATCAACTTATGAGTGTCGTTGAAATTTATTCTGCAGTCAGATAACTCGCTAAAATATTGGAAATTAATTTTCTAACAATGCCTCAACAGATGCCACACATGTTTCCTTTGGCATAAGTCCAAATTCTTTATCTTTGTTATTTAAAACTATTTATCCTATTATTGGTATACAACAAACATGGGTTTTTTCCCTTCCATAAGGTACCTACATAAACCGTTTGCATAATGTGTTAACATGAAATACAATTTCGAATTCCAACTTTTTAGACAATTAAAACCAAGAGTAGCTGAAAAATTCAGTTTGGAGATCATATATTTCCTGATACTTTAATGTTGGCTTACCGTCATGGGCTATAACACTGTTCCGTAACCAAGGTATTGAGCTCTGACGCCACGATAAATTGCGAGCTTGATTGAGAACTGTACGATTAATTGGTGCAAGACTTAGTCTCCGAACAGCAGCAGTATATTCATCTTGTGTTGAATTGGATACTCCTATTTGTCCACCACCTGCTCCACTATTAAATCCTGCAGAATTTGCGATATCTGGGAGGAAAACGCATGGACAGAAACAGAAACAATTTATACGGATGTTAGATAATTAATTTAGTCGACTTTAGTATTTTGAAATTCGTATTTTTGGGTTGAGATAGGTTTATTGTAATGGTTTCTCGAGGGAATATACAGGCGAAGTTGAATAATAGAAATAATAAACATATCCAGTTAATAATGGTCAACAAATGACAAAAATGTGTTTTCATTTACGTCAAATATCCAATGCATTTATTTGTCTATCATATTTACTGCTACACATGGTTTACAATAATTATCCACCTGATATCAATTCATGCTAAAAACTAAACCCAATCACAACTAAGGCAAAATGTACTTAATTTACACGAAATCTGACGTGCATAACAATGCTTAATTTCAATATGGTGAACAAACATAACTCACTATCATCAATGTTGCCTTCATCCCTGTGTTCTTTGCTGAAAGCTGGTTCAATGGTTGCACGTTCCAGAACTGGGCATGTTGTTAAATGAAAAGACTGTCTGGCCTCTTTTCTTCGCATGGTTTCTGTTGCTATTGCACGAGCCAAAAGTTCCTGTTGCTGTTTACGCCTAGATGTTGAAGCTGTTACAAATGTTTTCTATAAAATAAATAGTGGGGAAATCTAGTTATATATCTGAAAGATTATATCAAGTTAACACAAAAACTGAAAATAAACTAAAATCAACTAATTTACGGAGACAGTGTTTCGGTAAATTAAAATGAACAACGAAAGAACAAAATTAATTCAAGATAGTCTGAAATATACAATCATTATAATTAAATATCTAAAGCATTTTATTCCTAGCATCGATAGGTCCACAGTAAATTTTATGAACCATTAGACAAACTGTACTCCTAATCTTATTATAAGCGTTTGAAATACATATGTTAACTCCCTTATAGATGCTTGCAATGAGGAAACAAGTTTAATGGAAATAGATTTTATACATTCATGTGACGTATGCTACTTTTACTGATATAAGTAGTATACAGTACCAATCAGAAGTGGGGTGCTTGGCAGTATAGGTTGGGAAGATAGAGTTGAAGAGAACGGAAACACTGAGTAATTGTTATGGCAATGAAGTAATGATAAAGTTTGAGACAATTGATGGAAGATTCGCAAATTAAATATTGAACGTATTGTTTTTCACATTTGACCAAAAGCTCTGTTAATTTGTATTAAAATACATTGGTTGTCACCACCTGTGTTTTCGTCCACAGCATTATCACTTTACGTTAACACGAGCAGACATTTAAACAAAAAAGCCATGTGATGTGAAAACGTTTTTGAATGTTTTCAGGGACGTTCACTCAACTAGAGGAAATATAGACTTCTTTTTCAATGAACTCAGATCGAAAGCTCAGTCATACGGATGATACCAGTAGAAAATAAAGTCGGCAAGTACTAACTTTGATTTTATTAAACAACAATTATATAAAAGCTAGAGCACATTAGGTTTTAGAAAGTGTGTAACAAAATAGTTTACAAACACATTCCTAATGGTGATAAATGAAAGTAATCAGGAGAGGCGCCTAAACCTTAATCATGTTTCTCCATCACTGTTGCGTAAAAAACTAAATATTCTTAAAGTTGTCTTTGAGAAATGTCATGCTTTCTTTGTATTCTGTATTCCCTTTCAAAACGCCTGACGTCAGTTTTTTACCAACCATTCAAATAAAAAATTTTTATCAACAGATTTTATTCAGAAAAATGTATAGTGTTAACTAAATGTTTCCACTGAAAACTTTGGTAAAATAAGTTAAAGATTTATTGAGAAACAACATAATGTTTAGGTGATAGATTAAAACAAAATAAATATACCGTAGCCTCGTTTTGTTTTAGCTGAACCTCTTCAGCCGATGTTCCTTTACGAATCTGCCAAACAGGATCTGGTGCCTCGAATCCAGGATAACCGAGTGTAGGTGAAGGCAAAACAAATTCAATAAAAGATGGAGGTACTCTTAATTGACTAGGTGCATTTTCTTCAAGTCGCGACCAAACATGAAAACGATGACACCACAAAGTTCTAAATCTAGGAAAAAAACAGAGAAAGTGCAGATTAATTATGCTTTTATAAACTAATTCTCAAAGACATTATTTGTTCATTACCAAAAAATATGCATAAACTAAAATTTGGTCCCACTCGATCATTTCAAAAACAAAAAGTAATGGTAATTTTTAAATCAAACACCCAATGTTTCATCACGAAAGTTGTTAAAACACTTGCTTTGTTAATTTAAACCCAGTGGATGTAAACATTTCATCTATTTCACACTCATATTATAATACTATCTCAGAATAGTAGACATTTCTTGTCAAATCGGAAGGACATATTGATATGAGGGAAAGAAAAGTCAAAATTCGATTGGTTTGCTCATTACGAGTTTGTTCAACATTACTTCCGTTCTGATTCAATGTAATGGTTACTTAATGTAGTATTCGGCTTTGTTTTCTCGAATGATATTTTATTCTGTATAATATACGATATTCTTGTATTCCATTGACATGAACTATGCTCAGTATGTGATTTGTTATAACTTTAAGTATTTTTCATGTATGTGATTTCATCCTAATTATTAATCGAAATGGGTGTACAATCAACATATAAACGAGTGTATTTTCTACTAGAGTCGTCGTCGTCGTGCTTTGGGATTAATAAATCTTCACTTACACCAGTCTTTGTGTTCTTACTTTCGCGTCATGGAAATTGCAGAGGTCCCTCTTTCCAAGTGTAAGTGGTAAACGTTTCCAACACAACAATCAGCAACGACTAGATATATCAAGTAGCATCCAAACCACAAGACATAACAGTAGCGACGGGGATCGTCAAGACATTCAGCATACACAATTGTCGTTGGTGTCCTTGAACGACATTGGCTGTTAATTTGTCCTACTGTATTTTCTATTACCGTGCTGATTCATACACAAACAGAAAATGGTTCTCCCTTCCGATTAATTACAGTTGCTATTTCAGCGACAACAGCAGCGTTTTAAAAAGAATCAGTTGAAATTTATAGACAAATTATACACATTGCTTCTGAATCATCCATGCTTTGGAGATGTGACCGGAGTTAATGAACTAATACCTAAATTGCGTACAGAGTTGGAAAATGATTGCAAAATGTCTGAATGTGTCAGTGAAAGCCTCCATGAATCCTTGACAAGCAGCATTGTAAGCGAAGCAGTAGCAGCCATTCATGATCTGCTCAGTGGTCCAGAAACGTCCATTTGAGACATGCCCAGTAGCGGGTTCAAAGCCCATTGTCCCCGAAACACAATATACAAACACGAACTTGTTCAGCTCACAGAAAGACGATGTCTTATTAAATGCTCATGAAATTATTGCAGCACCTGCCCACGAATGAACAGAAAATGAATCAAGCATCATAATGAAGACAGCTGCATCAGACGTCGGTTTCTTGTTATGTTTCCCTAATCTAATCATTAAAAAATGTGATTATGTCTTCATTTTATCGAACTAAGTGATCCTATTTTTATCTTGCCTCAGATGAGTGCATTTCATTTGAGGTTACAAATTAGTACACATTACCTTTTAGTGACGGGTTTCATTAATAAACAGGTAAAAGTTCCTAACTGTTTAAGTTAAAACGATACTTGTGATAGACCACATATTTATTCTTGTGAGTTATACATATATAAAATCACGACAGATAATAAGGAACAACGAAAAGTTTGAATCCCAAAGCCACCTATTATTTGATACCGCAATTATATAGTGCTAAAAAACCCAAGTATGTCATCTAGTTATCACTTTTTTATCGTTTAGAATAAGCAACGCTGATTATCAAAATTTTGACTGCCTCCGACCAAGCATCTAATTTTGGTGAAACACAGGGTTTTCATATAGAAAAGTGATATTATGATTATCATTACGGCTTTTACTGTTTCCAACTGTGAAAATCAACTCCAATTTTAAGGTATTCCATGCCTTATGTCAATTCAACGTACAGAAACATAAATAATAATATCTCAAAGTGATTATTAAAATTCTGACTTCAACTACCGTTTATGAAGATTCAAATGAAAATAATTGTTGATAGGTTATCATAAAATAGATACGAAATATCAGTGTTTGTTAGTGTTATATTTATCAAACAATACTTCGGAAAATACTATTGATTATTTATTCTTAGTTGCACTTGAATTTAGGTGGTATTTGGAAATATTAGACGGTTAGATAATTAACTACGTTCGGTTGTCAGTTAAACTTGAAACACTTAAAAATAAAATCTAATGATCTTTATCTTCAACTTCATTTTTACTGCATAGAGCATATTTTTGGTTTATGAACAGGACCTCAATACTCAAATGATAAATAATGATATGTAGTCAGCCGGATGGCTATGCTTACTTAAAAAGATAACACTAGTTTTAGTAAATTGATTGATTGTCAAATATAATAGGATATGTAGAACTCACCGTAGAATAGCATTAAATCTCTGAGAAGGTTTCTCATGTCGCATTTCGTCTAGAATCATTTCTTGAACGATTTGAGGGCAACGTACACCACAGAAAAGTATGAAACATGCTGTTCAAATATAAAAAGCGTTAAATCAGGAATAATATATAGAAAATATCTTTTATTTGTCCTTGTATATATATGCTAGTCGTTATTTAAACAAAAATGAGCAGATTCCATTATGGAAAAAGACTCGAAATTAAGAAGCATCAAGATATAACTTTTCAGTAGTGCCTACTAGTGACTTTTTATAAGACTGAATCTAGCACCCATCAGAAAAACATATGACTGTAGGAAACAACACCGCCAGTTCACTTCTAGCTAAAAATTTATTTTCTGTCGTAGAGTTACTTTGATCGACATTTAAACCATATTTTATTCAATCAATTTGTTTACGAGGATTAGAATTTAATTGAATAGTTGATTTAAAATAACGTTTGGAACATATCAAGACCTTTTTGTCTTGAAATGTCAGAGAAATGGACTTGAAATTCAATTTAATTGTTGTAATTATATCAAGATAACGAAATCCTGATTTTATCAAAAAGTAACAATAAAAACTATTATATTGCAGTGAAAACAACAAAAACGAAAAGCACATACCATAAAAGTGTTATACTTTACCCGGACTCTTTTTGTAAAAGATGAATGGATAATTGTTTTGAAAAAAAACATGAGAATTCCTTCAATCTTGAAAGTACGAACTATCCTAAAAATAAAATAGCCAAATCCTAAGTAGTACGAATGAATTTGAAGTAAGCGTAACTGAATTGACTGTTAGAAAAGAAAATCTTTCAGGCGAATTAAGTGTTCAAAAGTTACCATGAAAATGTCCCTAACTTTCCGAAACGTATTTAAGTTCTAATAACTAAGGTTTTATAGTTTATCTCTACATATTCCTGAATCGAATTTCATACAATTATTCCTATACCAACACTAAACGAAAAGCTTTACTCTATCCAATTAAAGTATATATAGATAATTCCAAAAATATTCAAGGACATACCTGCACTTGATGACAATTCTGTATCCGTTTCTAGCAGCAACTCCCAAGCCAACGGAAGCATCTTTGCTAGTTGATTATTTGTAAGTAGTAAAGCTGCTTTATTCAAAAGATTGAAACCACTGCTACAAAGATTTTTTACCTGAAAACGTAAGTAAAGACAGCAAAAAATGTGAATCCTCTTAGTAAAAAATTGAAAATAAGTCGCAGCAATTAAGCGATTTCTTATAAGGTTTGCGTTTCAAATCAATTGTATGTGAACTAAATGTTACGTACCTAGTTGAGCATTAAGTTTAATGATTCATATCTATGGTAAAATATTGCTAAACTGTCATCTTTTCATGAGTTTTAAGACAATAATATAACGGATAATATGACAAGATACATCACAAATCAACACTTACATGAGTATCCAAATAACACTGAATAGGTAATTCACCTAAATGATGTTTACGAAATCTAACAGGTTTCCTAATCTGACTTTTAACACCATCATCATCTTCAAAACCTGGTAAAGTTTCACTTGCTTCGTCAGCCTCAATCCCAAGCAGTGGTGGATTCAGACTTATACTTTGGCGAGAACTCTTCAGCAAACCCGCACCTGCTCCAGCCAACATACTCAGGTTAATTAATCCTGTCAAACCCGGTGTATCATTCTCAAACGAGCTTGGATTGATTGAACGGTTAAATGATTTCATTCGAATCTTGGTCAGTAGATTCATGTTTTCACGGCTTGAACTTGGTCCAAATATATTAGATTCCTTGTGATAAAAATCAGTGAAAAAAGGTACAGGAAGGCTTTATGGGAACTTTCCGATGATTAAATGCTATAAAACTAATCATAAATGCACCTTACTACTAGCAAGTAGTAATCTGTAAATGTAAAACATTTTAGACAAGGTAAAATTTTATTGTCATTGAGTTACTATCGATTGCAAACTGAACGTATTGGAGAGTATAAACTATTTTGCTAACAAATTAATTTCAGTGGATTTTGTTCACTCAATGTACTTTGGTTTCTAATTTCTATTTCACTACATGACAATCCTAATATTGATAAATATAAAATTGTGTGATATAATAATAATAATGCTTTATTGTGAGTACAAATTTTGTTACTGTTAGGGTTTTTCAGCCCCAGTTGTGAGATATGGCAATGAATTTTTCTTTAACATACAATCGAATCGTAATTAGTCAAAAGTTATAATTTACAAATTTTTTTTCAACAGTCAGTTTCCTTTACTCATCTTTAATGGTGAAAGCTCTTCCATCAGTTCAGTTGTTACAATTACTTTTTTCATTCATCAAGGATTAAATGCGTTAATTTAAATATAGGAGTCACTTGTTCTTTTTTTCAAAAGATAGACAAATAAGAGTACTAACGTTTCAGCCTGAGATTTTCGGTACAAAGAGTTATGATTAAATATGAGCCTTTCAAATTACCGCGCGAGTAGAAACAACTAAGTTCAAAAAATCTAGAACAGGAAGGTTTACTGGAACATTTGCACACTCGAAGAACAGTTGGCCCGAATGCCTCACCAGGCCGACGCGATATTGTCCTCGGAGAAATAGTCACCAAACGTGTAGAAAAATATTAATAAGTGAAAGTGAAATGCTTGAAAAATGTCGTCTGAAATATTTATTCAGATCGGTTAACATTTCTACATAGAAAAAAGGACCAGAAAACCATATGATATCTAAGATGTTATCATGTTTATTGTACAAAATACTCAATGAAAGAACTAACGTGGAACCAAGTAAGCAAGTCGTTCTTAAAATAAGTACTCTGTACAGAATAATAATTAATAATCGCCTGATCATACTTCAATTTAAGAGGATCATCATTAGAAACATATAGATTTTTTAAAGTTTCTATCTATATGCCACCACCTTCCAATAACTGGTGATAATACATACTCGAATATTTTAACGATATCGTTATTGTGTAAGTAATTGTACAAACTAGTTGTCAGAAAGTATTTCGATTGGATAAAGTTTGTTAAATGTTAAAATATTTCAAAAAGTATTTAAACATTCATCGATTATGTTTACTTTATCAAATATAACATAATGAAGTTCAAACGGACGAATCGAAAGCAACAGAAACAATTGAGAACTGATAATAAAATAAGATTAATTTACTTTTCTTTTTGCAGATTTTATAAACAGTTTTGATCTGGCTTTCCAAAAGTCACTACCGCTACCTGCTGCCAGTGCACCCTGTTGCATTAATAGAAAATTATTGACATCAAGATCGTTATCAGCTGATTTGCTTAAACCAGTTAAACTGTCGTTAGATTGAACAATATTTGATAGACTTTTTAGTGTGCTAATTTTATGCTTTACATGTCCTGGATTAACTTGTTGTTGATGTGTGACATCTGAATCGGATAAATCGTCAGTAGAGTCTAAATGTGAGGAATCTTGATCGGAAGAGTTTTCTGAGCGTGAATCATTTGGTCTATGTTGGCGAATTACATTAGACGATGCTGGTGAAGTTGTACCTGTATCACAAGTTACATTTAAACCACGATTAAGTGTTGCACTTGTATTTGTAGCGGTAGGCGTATTACTAACAGTACTTAGAGAATATAAATACTGACGATCAACAGATATAACAAATTTACTCTCAGTTTCTGATTCATACACCTGTTTCATTGCATTTAACAAATTTCGGCATTGGTGCTGTTGATATTCAAAGCAATTTGAAGCACATGAATTTTGATGATCACAATCAAAACTGGTACTGTAAAATATTGGAATAAACAAACAATTTATAGAAACATTATTTGTCACTCGGTAGTAAATTTAAATTAATATTTATTTGGTACAAATTCACAAATGAAAGAAGCCCATTGGAATTACATTGGACTGAAATGCGTAACGCACAAACTGTACGACTAAACACTTTACTTTCAAGCCAACATGTATAGTCTACCGAAAATACCAAATCCTAGATTATGAGAAATTAATTTAAAACCTAATCTGATTTAGGTGGAGTTTTGTTCAATGTACTGGATGGTTTGATCGTGAAACTTTTGTTATTCTTCTTAACTACATCATCAGTACAAACATCGAGTAGAATTGAAGTGTTGGGATTTCTTCAAATATGACTCACAGCTTGTCCTATCCACCTTAATCAATAGAAGCAAATCTAATCAAAATGTTAGACAACCAAATCTCAAGGACCTTAAACAAGCTTGTCAAACCAGGAAAAATATCAAAGAAGGTTCAATAGGGAATGAAATCCAGTGGACCACTAGTCCCTCGATTCTACGGTGGGCCGAAAATACACAAAACAAACATCCCACTACGTCTAACTGTATCACTTTCCGGAACCTCAACGTACAATTTATCGAGAGAAATTTCAAGAATATTTAAACATTTAATGGACTCATAGAATGACCCTATCAAATCTACCATACTGTTCTTGGATAAGGTTAAGGACATTCAAATCAACAAAGACCAACGAATGATATCCTTCGATGTAACAACCTTATTCATCTCAATTGAACTAATCTTAGCAAAGGAAATTTTATCCTTATTCATCACCAACGATACAAATCGCTCAACGTACACGAAGCTTCATAGTCAGAGTTTTCTAGAACTCGTCGATTTATGCATAACAACACATTTTCAATTTAATAACACAATTTATGGACTAACGAGAGAAACGCCGATGGGATCACCAATATCAGGATTTACTGCAGAAGCAGTGATGCAGAGACTGGAAGCCTTGATCTTACCAGTGATCACGCCATGTATAAAGGTCATAAAAGAGATTACAACGAGATTATTGAAGCCGTTTGGAATAGTTATAGCACGCAAACAGGCAAGATCATCTCAATCAATACCATGCAAACTAAAGGATGAAATGACAAAAGAGTAAAAATCGAACATCATCTACAAAATAAACTGCCCCAATTGAGAAAAACACTACAACGAACAAAGTGGACTCCCTCGTTACCTTCGTTAGCATGAATATCAATTAGCAGTCGAAAAACGTGGACACAAAAACGACTGAGAAATGTTGAGATCTTGAATAGAAGGATTACTAAAAGAAGCTTACCACTCGGGTCAATCAGAAATCAACAAGAAATTACAGATTGATAGCGATATATATTCAATGAAACACCAATGACAGATAACTGAAAAGTCATGTAAGGGATTTATATGAATTCTCTAGTACTCTTTATGTTATTATACCGTAAACGACGAAATGACATTTATATATGCAGTAATTATACTCTGGGAAACTCATAATAATTTGTTATCACGGTACACTTTTGAAAGATTTATGGAAACTCTAACTAATCTTGTCAATATATTAATCAAGTCAAATACTAACTTTGTGAAAATATATATCATCAAATTATACACAATAACTCACTAATTTGCAAATTCTATAACAGCATCAACCCACGGCATATGAGATGTGTAATCATCCACATGATAAGTCTCATTATCCCCAAAAGCTAAGGCATGATGGATTGTATTAGATTTCAAAGACTTCTTCGCAGAAAGGGCAGCTGATACAGATCGTCGTACAGATGTATGGGACTTGATCGTTTCATCGTATCTGGAATGATGACCTTGTCTTGGTTTTAAACGTAAGGGATTCGAGTGAATTAGACTTTTATTGACATGATTCATTTGCAGCAAATTTTGTTCTTCATGATAAACGTCTTGATTATCATCCTCAGAAACTGGAGTTCCAGGATTATCGGTTGAATCGTCAAAAACGTCAGTACAGATATCACCGCTACTAGTTCGATTCATTTGCCCCATAAGACTAGGGCGTTGTTCAAACACTAAAAGTCACAAAAGGTACAAATGATAGCATTAGCCTACAGAAAAACGTAGTAGATTAATTGGCGTGAAATACAAATAGCTACGTCAAACTGATTTTGTATGTTCATTCTGAAAAATCTACCTACCACATATTGTTACTGTGGGATTTTTCCGAAACCAGAACAGTTGAAATAAATAATGATTTAAAACGTAGGTTGTGAATAAAAAATCGAAGTGAATGAAACTTTGAAGATTGAACCGACTTGTAAATTAACGAAATGACTAACCATTAGATAAATCGGATCCGTGAGGAGTAAAATATCTAAAACTCCCAGAACCTCGATGTTTCTGAAGATGGCCTTTGCTCACTGATAAACGATCTGCCAAAACAATAAGGAAACAAAATACAATAATCACTCTTGAAACCCGAATAACTATAAAACTAAACAAACCCAGTATTTCTGCACCAGACAAATCTAAACTTGCTTATAGCTCATAATACCTAATCCTGATAGAAATTTATATTTAAAAAAAGAGATCATCTTGGCCTATTCAACTATAAGTTAGTGACTGACATTACTAATGAATGTGTATTTATATCTAAGGTGGAAACGCGGAAGATAGTTCCTATGCACGAACTTGTTATTGAAGATAGAGTTACGACTCTGAATGTTCAATAAGATTATTAACCAAAACATAATATAAAGTGCTCAAAAATGGAAAATCGCTATCAATGAAGAAGTATTTCACAGAAGTAAATGTTGTGAAATCAATTAAATTATATGAGCATCACAAAATGATGATAAATTGAAATAATTTCGAGAAACTTAAAAAGACTATTAAATATTAACATAAACTTCTCAGTTAGTTGAAATGTTTCTTAAAATCTCTTCTTATTAGTTTTCGATACTAAATTAATTAAACTATCTGTCACATAGAGTAGATATACAAAAATTTAGAGAAAAACTTTAGAATTTACGTTGCGATTCATTTGCTTCTAATGATTGATCAAGATAGTTCGCACTTGCATTTGTAGAATCAGTTATATCCTTAGAATCGTCCATTACGGCGAAACTGATACGTCTGGATGAAGTGCCCCGACGTCCACTGAAAGATTTATCTGTACCTAAAGAGATTAGTTAATTAAAAATTCAAAGTATATCTGAGCTGGACAGATTATCATAAACTGTTCATTGTTTCCAATATTATTAATCGTCTTTAACAAATTTGGCTTGATAAAACGAATATGTTCAAAATTAAAAACCAAACACAATCATTGCAGATAAGAAAACTATTTCTCTCTTTCAAAAACTTCAATTTTGAAAGTGGCATAGGTAGCATCACTCTAATTTGCGCCCTATATGGATCATTTGAAAAGATACTAAATACAACCAAGCTATAAATCAACCCAAGCTAATGAGTCCTCATATTATGACACTCATGATAGGTTCCTTCATTTGTATATATATATATATATATTTAAATGTTCTTGTGGAGCTGGTCACAGTGGTCACAATCGGAGAGGCTTATTCTAGAGCTCCTGCTAACTGTGCCAGGACTATTGGAAGAAGGGAACAAAAAACTATAAATAGAGTTAGCTAAACGATAAATATCGGTAATTAACCAAGAACATTTGAACTTTATTTTGTCATCCATCCCATCCGTCCACCCGTAGCTGGATTTCAAAACATTGACGCTGAACCATATTGTTAAATATTACGATTTAGATATATCTTCGACTAGTTTTCACGTTCACTATTATAACTAACTATATGATTTTTCTCATTCTACCTAAATCCAATTGTATGTACTTTTATATTTATAATACTTCCTTGATAATGGCCGCAGGATTCATTTATTTACTGAATTCTTAATCAGTAATAGAATACGGTTCTACACACGCACAATCATATTTCACATTCTGAATATATTTTACACCTAATGGCTAATTAGATTACTAAAAACAAAATCAACATTTAAAAATGATTGGATATAATTTCAGTAAATTTCGTTTTGCAAACCATATTTTTATTTTTGATAATTTTGATTACTATTATTTCTCTGAAGTAGTTCGCGTCAGTTTCCCAAGAAAAACTTTGAGATTTTTTCAAATTTAATTTTCAAATATAATATCTTCTATATACTCGACTGTTGAGTTTTGTCAAACTCATAGGTTGAATTTGACTTATGTATCTGTAAATCTTGAATAATGTATTGTCGATTCTTTAGTTTTATTTTTGGGATTCCATTTGGATGTGTTAAGCAACACCAAAAACGACAATTTGTCAAGTAAAAAACTTCAAGTTTGATTTTTATTGGACATTCCGTTTCTTTAATGAGTTATAAAACTCGGACAACAGCGATATCTGTGAGGGATTAGTAAAAAATAACTAATGTAGATATCATGAAATCTTGTACCTAAACAGGAATATATCAAGTACGATTTTCAACAATCTATGTCAATCTGATAACGTTTTAGAGTTACAGTGTAAGCACATGACTTTTGATATGATCCTAAACCACATTGAAAACGCTTTTAACTTCCCAAGCTCCTGAAAAAGCGCTTCACTATGAAATAAAACTAATGTGATTCTTCTAAAATAGTTCATTAGAAATATTTTCTGTAAAACAATAATGCTGTTACGTACCTTGATATTGAAAAGTAAGTGATTGATGAAACAATAATTTTGAATCCATAAAACTCTTTAGCTAAAAAATTAGTTTTATTGTTTTAATTAATTTAGAAAATAGACTACTCGTAAAAAAGAACGCCCGGATAAAAGTCCTCTGTTATTTTACCAGCATTCCTTTTATCGTATGTTTAAAATGTCCATTTGTGCTTAAAGCAATCATACAGGAATTAAAGCTTCTCTTTATCAAATTTTATCTTCCTTAAGTAGACGCTCAATAACAATATATTCTCATGAGATTTATGAATCAAAACGTTAAGTGGGAAATTTAATATGGTGATCCCTATGATTAATTTTCTATTTTGAATGGTATTATGTTTTGCTTAACTTAGATCAGTACTTGTTCTATCACTGAATGATAAAAAAAGTTTGATATTTAATAAAACTAATATCCTATTTTGGTGTCATATATAAGTTGACATACATACAGAAACACATAAAGCATTTTTTAACATATTTCGTTAAGAGTCTGGTCACTCTAGATGTCTTTCTAAATAATTTAATTCGTTCACCACTTCTCTATCCAGCTTTACCTTATCGAAACAAACATTTATTGATTTGGTCAGTTCCTTAGTTAGTTAAAACAGAGATTAGCAAAAAGCATAATCGATGGTGGCTTTTCGCGGTGAAGAGAGTCGCTCGTAAACGAGTTTACAGAGTGATATGACAGTTCATCTATTCTAATCAGTATTGTTTAAACAAGACAATACATAATTTATCTAGGCTAATCAGAGTTTGTTGAGGTACATACGTAGTTATAAGAGTATTTGAAGCAAAACCAACAAACAACAGTCAACAAGATGAAGGCCAAGATGTGTTTAGCTAATTAACTTAAACATTTATCATGAATATAGTTATGTAGTTAAATTTTGTGTTGTTGTTGTATTCGTTCCTTGTGGATATTTTCGTTTGTAAAGAATTAAATTTTTGTGCTAAATGATAAAAACAAACAGTGAATCACTAATCCCATGAATATTTTTGTCTCTTATAAAATAGCCCATATGACATACAAGTTGCTTGTGTAGGTTAATGATAAAACGAGGTTAAAATTTTTGTTCAATAAATAAAATGTCTGTAATTACAAATAACAGATTTCTAACATTATTTCAAATGAAAGAGTTTTCATTCATTGAATTAGTTTCACGATCACATAGAAGTTACTGTTGTCAATGTAAACTTACTGGTGGTTATTACAGGTTTTACAGTGGAAGATGAATGTTTTTCTATATCGTTTGCAATACCATCTTCAGGGCTGTTGTTACCTGCACTTCCAAATATCGGCATTAATATACTGAGACGTCTTTTAGCACCTTTAAAGGATGCTCCACTGCTACCTGAAGAATAGGTGTGTTTAAACGTATCAGTTTTCTTATCACCGCTTGCTTCACGTGTTAATGAACGTTTGATTACCGAGTTTCTGGATGAATGTTGTGTTGATTGACCACATTTCCCATCGTAGTTTGGATTGTCTTGTGGTAAACGTTGGTGTGTTTCTCTAAGATAAGTTGTTATCTCAAACAACAATTGAACACCGACAGTTAGTAAAGCATACGGGCAACTTTCTCCAGTTGGATTAACTGACGCTGAGATAACAATATGATTAAAAAACATACACCGGTTACGTTCGATGAAGAATAACGCTAAATTCTTCCCAGTTCATACTGCATCTCTTAAACTGACAAAAAAAACTAGAACCTTTTGTTTACACTACTTAAACAGACTATTATACGAATAACCCATCTAGTTACGCTAATTTTGTAGGTCTTCAAAAATCGAAAAAAATTTTAGAATTAAAATAAGAATGACTTCCGTTTTATGACGAGTAACAAATTTGAATTTCAGTTAGCAAAATATAACCATTAAGTTATTAAAAAAACCGGACAGATTTTTGACTGAAGGTTGCGGTATTCCTTTAAATCAGTGAACGTAAAGATGGTCACATGAAAAACCATAATATATTTCTTTCATTCTCATTACATTGAGTAATTCATCTGAATTCACACAATTTGGTAATCTGCATTTGATTCTGCAATAACAATTGCAATCCAAGTTTAAAGGAATTGAGTTTTTCAGGGTTGTTTTAGTATTTTGAGTGTTTGGCAGAATAGGGTCGTTCTGTCCATATCAGGCATCCTATACAGCCGAATTTCTGTTCAGAAAGACTGTCGTTACATTTTACTACTGTTTTGACAACTGAATATGCAGTTTTATGAATATTACATACACTCTTCCATTCTGTTTACACCTTATAATAATTTGTCTTTTGATTAATTAATTTTCTTACTTACTGTATTGAATAGATGTACAGTGTATTTCATAATAATACTTAACAGCTTTACCCATCACTTACGGTAATATTTTTTTAATAGGATAACTACCCAAGTCCGTCTCTTGAAAAGTGGAAATACACAAACTAACTCAGTATTACAAAAATAAGATAGTAATAGTTTTTCGAGCATACCATCATCCAAAAAGTTTTGTTCCATTTCGACATTTGATCGACAGTTTACGTCTTTGCTTTTATCACTTCCATAAACTTTATCACCAGTCGAATCCAAATTTGTAATAATGGATGAATTAGACGAAGACATTATTGACGTAAAATACTGCAACCTATGACCCAATGCCTAAAACATTGAGGGAATGAATAAATAACCAATGCTTTAAAGAAGTCTAAATTGTAACTATACACTAATGCAATATTCTTCCCTTATTATTATTGTTTGAATAACTAATGAAAATTTAAAAGTGAAGAACAACTAATTCACCTAAACTTCGATCGTTTTAAAGATGTCAATTATGTTTTACGGTATCGCAGTAATTGTATGGTAAATGGACGCAAATTATAGAGCATCCAAATATTATGGGATATTTACACCTTTATAGAGATGAATATAGGTATAAATATACTGTATCTTTGTTCAAGCAAATTATTACTTACACTCAGAAACCAGATTAAATTAGGAATAATTAGATTTCACATGCATTCTAAACCCTGTTTTAACAAGAACTTGTTTATCTACAAATAATTTAGTGATTTCCTAATACAAGTGACAACTAAAATGCATGATTCCCCTTTACGAAATTTTTCTGAAACCATTAATAGGGCACCTCAGACATATTCATTCCTCTTAAAAATGACTGGTCATCTATCTCCCTCACAACTCATTTAAATAAGACATCGATAATGATTCGTCGGATAGACCAAAATTTGGTTATCTTGTAGTTTCGAAAGCAGCTTCCAGTTGATAGTTAGGTCATCCTATAAGAAATGGGATGCATATTTAACATATAGTAGTAACTTATTGCTTACTTCACCCCAAGCATAGAATAGGTAGCCAGCTACACGTTTGATTTCCGATATATCCACCGGATGAATATTGTTATTATTATTTTCGTTTGCTTGTGAAAGATTATTGTTGCTATTAGTAGTATTACTACTAATGAATCCAGCGCTTGATCGAAATGAACTGGGTAGATTGAATTTCATCCATCCAGCCCATTCGCCTCGATTACAACGGTGGACTAAAAAGGCACATTCTAGCAGTAGGCAGGCCCGCGCTAGCACAGGAGCATCCTAAAACAGTGATCAAAGAAAAATAAGATTGTAAAAGAATGTAATTCAGAGCATATGCGACGACATCTAATGAATCTTCTACAATAGATAGACAGATAGTCTACAGCCATAGTGATGTCATGTTCTTACCGATGAAAACATAATGATCAAGAAATATAATATGATTAGTAGGGCAGATAACACTAAATCGAGACCACAAGATAAACTTTATTTTTGGTAAAGAATTTTCGATAGCATAAATTTTATTGGATCCTAGCATGATGTTTACGTAATACGTACGTCTCATGCTAAAGTTAAGAGTCCTTCATTTAGAAGGATTAAGTGTGAAACTATTAAAAATAGACCACCGTTCAATGAACGAAAGGAACTCATTCATTTCAAGGGGATTTGAAGCAGAAGAAATCAGCGTAAATACAATGCAGATGACTGATCATGAAGAAAAATGAGTAAAGTAAAGAAGGAAAAAGAGCTTACCGAAAAGTATCAGTTTAAGTTATTCAGAAAGTAAAATACTTTCCTTCAAGCACACGACATAGTTTTCATCCAGAGAATTAAAAACGTAACTAGTTGATTAGCCTGTTCCCAGTGTTAACGTCCCAAAACTTATTTCATAACAGCGGTCTTGGAACAAAGTCAAAGCTTGAAGTGTAGTCTAGGAACGCGCATCAAACGTACTTCTCACTGTATTTCAAACGACACCTGTGATGAAGGGCAACATCAGCATCTAACGTTCTTCTCTTGTATTTGTATGCAAATTGATATTCACTTAATTTATCCTAACCATAGCTTCTACCTTGACGTGGTGGTCGGGCGTGCCTATTGTGATGAGTAAAACGAGCCCTATTGGCTGTAACACATGTTCTTTTAGGTCTTAGCATGCGAGACAGTTTGATCAGAGAACGGTGAAAGTAAAGGCGGCAACTTAGTGTCCAAGGGCGAAAGCGTACTGCTGACTGTGGGGGCTGTGATAACAGTAGGGCGTTTCCTTCGGACAACCACCGTCTGCAGAGATACTGTCTCCCCATAACAGAAGGAACGGGTTAGAAAAGGTCGACCATAAGAATGTCACACCTCACATTACCCCATGGATTTCCGTCATCGGAAATAAGACCTTTCAAATTGTAGAGCGATCACATGAGCAATCCATGAAAAAGCCAGGCCTGGTCAGCCTAATGAAGTCGTCCCTTGGGCCCTGCCATTGCCCTCCCAAATCACTAAGTCCAACACTTGTCGGGCTTCCTTTTCAGGTCCCTCGCAAAAAATATTTTCCCATGGTGTGAGCAACCTGAAGGTGACAATCGCCCTCTAACCCGAGATCATTTTGTTCACAACCAAATCCATTCTTCATATGTTAATAATTCTCCCAACCCCACAACTGACTGATTTAATTAACTTAACAACTATTTTTATTTAGCCTTAAGGTTTAGTTATTGTTGTATGAGCCCCTTTAAAGAAATATCCCATTCATTGTAAGAGCTTTAGCTAATAATTACAATGTATAAATTCAAATTTGCTAATTTATCTGAAAAAACTGACCATGACCGGTCCGCTGTTAGAATTCATCTACGTATAGAGACCGCTCAGAACATACGTATCTACACCGTACATTAAAATATCGGTAAAGAAGTTTACTATAATGTTGATACCTTATTACTCTTTTACCAGTTAAGAAATTCGAAATAAGAGCTTACGTTATTTTGAAGATTTAAATGAGCAGTTTACAGCAAACATTCATGTTCAAAGCTCCAAAAAGTGACACAAAATAAAAGTGAACAATAAACAAGTGAGAAATTCCGTCAACTAATTGTGGTGAAAAACGATAAGTTCGATTGATTGGTGCGATGAAAATTGGCCTTGATGAAACCTCAATTGCTTCAAAATGGAGTATACACTTTGCTGACGTGTTAAAACCAGATTAACACCTAGTTTCACTGTTTCAAACGAACTAACATACGAATACGTACTTAGTTATCAAGTTATCTTAAACTATTACAGTTGTAGACAAGGTTGAAAAATGGTGGTCAAATAATGTGATATTTTTTCCACATACAGAGTTTTCATAACTAACTCGTTTATTATTCTCCAAGAAGTAAGTGAAAAAAAGGCGGAAAAACGCAAGTGGTTTATTTTTAAGGACTGATCTGGATTTTTAGAACGATCTGAATAATCTTTGTTAATGAATGGGGCGAAGAAAATGCTTTCACGAACTTCTGGGTTCGCCACATTCAGAAACACTACCAGAAGTCTTTAGATAAACGTTCAGAGACTGTTACTTTGTGTAAATAACTCATCCTGATGCAAAGCTAACGATAGGTATTATTTCAGACTTATTTTGATGTAAAAATAAGTTGATATTAGTTATGAAATATTTACTTAATGACTTGGAGTAATGTATATAGGTTGATTAATCAAACAATCTATCCATCTCCTAAAGAAATGAAATTGGATAATAAGCGCTCCGGTTGCGCTTATTTCCCTCTCAGTCTGTTTTATTTTGTTTGTTTTTTATCTGATTTTTTCAGCCCCGAATTTATCGGTTAGCTGATAATCCAGTTGTTCACTAAATCATATCAATAGCTAACACACACAAAATAGTATATACGTGCTTGTGTTATATCACTATTTACTTAACACATAACGCCCCAAGATTTACTTACTAAGTCAAACAGAGCTGCAATAAGTTGTGGTTCTGGTATTAAACCTGGTTCACAACAGTCTAACAGGAAAGCAAAATCAAATAGACCTTCTTTCAGCGCTGATAAATTAATCCACCGGTGTTCAATTATCATTTGACCTGTTGACTGATCAGTGGAAGGACATTCTGACTTAGATCGGCTAGGATATTCTGAAATGGAAACCGAAATAAGCGATTATATAGTGTTTTAACAATTGTGAATTAAAATATTAAAGAGTCCTAACGTTAAAATTAGAACAATACATATAAGCGAGCAATATTGTTTTCACTTAGATTATAATCAGGATTTACTCTAACATACACGTATATTTATGGGTCAGTGATCACAAAAAGTAGATTGCATAACTATATATAATAGGTAAAAGAATTCTGGATTATGCTCAAACAAATTATTTTGTAATGGTAGTACAATTAGATCAAATAGTAACAGTTTCAGTAATACAGAGCATTTGTGAAATATAAGTGGCTGCAACCACTTAGAATCCAAACTACAAAACCTTTAAATTTGATCATGATCGAAATCCTCAAGTTTTAGCTAATAATTACTTAGTTTTAGAATACAGACTGTTAGACATTTTTTACCTGTAACTTGTGGACAACTTCAAGTTCACTCTTCTCACTATCATATATTCCGTTTAGTCAGAAATATGGTGAAAAACAGATAAAAAGTTCTTGGTGAATAAAAGGTATTTGGAAAATTGGTGTGCAGAACATTGTCTAAACTTCAAGACATATTCTATAGATAAAAAAAATAATACCGATTTTTTAATAAGATAGAACTTAAACGGTCAATAAGATTGTAACTACTAGTTTTGTGACAAAATGTAATCAAACGATGAAGTTTACCTAGTTATCTAAACGCAAGTTGTTCCTCCTTTGTACAAAACGTAATCGGGTTAATTTCGTAGTTTAACAACAACGATACTCAGAGCTGTATAGATCTAGAAAAAATTATATAAAATAACCAACACTCTTCAAAATACTTTAGTAAGAATAAAAGGATTGATCTCCCTTGCTCTTACACGATTGTGTGAACAGATTAGGTTGTGTCGATAGCGACACTTTCTTAATTGAAGTCTCGTAGTGAAATCTCGACATATATCAAGGAACAACTATGTTACACCAAAAAGACCTCCTAACATTCCCATGAAACTGGTGAACTTACAAATGAAGTCAGTAATGGCAAAATATGCCATTTACATTGAATATCAGAGCAATAATAGAACTATCATAATAATTCGAAAAGTTTTCAACATTTGTAGAGAAAAATGCGTAAATTAAGCTAAATCTCACTTCTTTCAGATAAAAGGGATGCCCAAATATCCAACAAAAGTGAACCTTTTTTTAAACATCCATGTTTAAGATTAGAGGGGGATGGTTTACGAAGATTTTTGAATTTACAAGGTCTAAATCACGGACTGGAGTAAACTATGACGGTTAATCAATCTCCGCATACTCTTCAGTACTAATAACCATGTGCTCACTAGTGACGAATATCGAGAGGTAATCCCAGGAGTTCAAGGTTGTCAGGTGTGAAGGAGTTATACCCCCGGTACACTTGTAGATAAGTACAACTAAATTATTTCATACTGAGACGAAACAACCTAATGCTTCATGGTTTTAAATAAGCTTAATCGATTATGTAAATCATAAAAACCAGATCTAAATTGTTCGAATTTGACACCAGTGACACGCGTATTAACTGTACTCCTTCACACTGCAAATATCGCAGTCTCCTCAGATTCATAAAAGGTTACACATATTTTGTTTCACTATTTGACCTGAATAACATAACATTAGCGTGATCAGATTTGTGTTGATTATACTGAATATTTCAATTTTTTCTGTGTGACATTTAAACTTGTTTTAATTTCATTCGGTTATTTATTCTTTGATGAAGATACACTAAGTCTCCAAACTTTTGAAATTCAATTTTTTTCTTATAGGAATATCACTGAAGTATGATTATTTTATTATCATGAACAACCAATAAAATGTTAACTCTATCTCGTACTGAAACTACACATATTAATACACAGAATAACATTTTGAAACGACTACGAATATACTCTGGTACATTATTTAAAACCCACTAAGTCTATTGTCAGATGTGCAAGCTACATTGTGATAGGACACGATAAATTTCTTTTAATGATAATTTAAGTGAATAACGATTGTTCATTTGGACTAAGATTCACTTTATTTTGTCCTTTGAAATAATATCCTTAAGACTTGAGGTAAAACTCTGATCAAGGAAGTCAGTTTTTAACAAATTTCAGTCAGAATAATCTGAAAGTTTTTGATGAGTGTCATAGAAATAAGTCGTGGTATTTCAGATCCCTTGAATTAACACATTTTCGCTATAAACCCATCATCACCTATAACTCAAATTACTTGACTTGTGGTGTTTTGGGTGACAATTAGCTGGAATCGAGAGATACTCTCAGAGGATATTAACGATGTGACACAACAATGCTTAAAGTCCCTCAAATGAGATCAATCTTGAGTGCTAGTTTAAAATTTCATGTAATCAGGGAATTGTTTCATTAGAATTATATTCAATTAGTTAAATCAAAAAAACTGTAATATGATGTGCCTGATAAGAAAATCGAATTAGATGAGATTTACCATTTCATTAAATAAGTATACTTCTCATCATTCATAGGGCAGTCCTTACGAACGGATTAAATATCCACTTTATTTAACAACTACGGCCCTCAATATTAGTAGATATGATAAGACTGAACATTAGAAGTGAACTTGATCAATTAGTTTTTCAGGGAAAATTAATGTAAAATAAAAAAAACCAAAATGCACGTATGTTAGCATAATTTATGAATTCCTCAGAATAATTTAAAAGCTTTTAACATTTAGATTATCTGCATAAGTATTCAACACCACTACTACAAACTATCCCCTTTCTTGGAACCAAAATCCTAACCCGAAACCCTTACTACCGATTATAGCTCCCAACCATGACACTTTTTCGTTTATTGTATTAAATGATTCAACCTGTAAAGATTAGTCAGTCATATCAAAACGAATTGAAAATTCTCATTATATTAAAACACTAAAAATTGAACGAAAGAAGTTCCCTTCGGGTTCTACGGTTAGTTATACATACATATTAGGGTAAAAGAAATAATAATGCAATTACAAATTCGATCAAATATTTAGTGAATGACTATAACATCTATAAAGTTGTATGAATCTAGTAAAACAATAATAAATAAGTACAAAGATATATGAAAAAATATCGAAGATAACGAAAAGTTGTATGTACATTAGTTAAATTAGGTCATTCTCTAATTAAGGTTACTATTGATTTTTTCTTTGAACATTACTATTACTCACTCAAACACGATCCATTTATTTAGCGCTCTCTCCATTTCATGATTTTTTACTGGACTCATACAACTTTACACGATATAGCCATTCACTAAACATTTGATCGAATTTGTAATTGCATTTTCATTTCTCTTATCCTGTAGGGTCCATATTTATTCTGATCATTGGTCTTACAATTTCCTTGACGTATAAGCTTATTCAAGATAAATATTCATCTCAATGTAAGCAATCTTTTATTGAGACCACTATTGAAAACCTGGAAACACTGGATTGACATTTAGTCCTAGTATGAAACTTTTCAGCAGTGCGTATCCATGGTGCCGCATGGGGGACATGAACTCAGGACCTTCAGTTTTGCAGACGCTTAACCTCTTCCAGGTTTTCAATGGTGGTCTAACATTGATAGTTTCACGATATATATATACAATAAAGTTTAGAGCCTGGAGAGAATTCATACCAAAAAAGCTTATCCACCCCAGTTCCCTATTTTCTCTATTATAAATCGTCTTAGAACTAAACACAGTTTTCTGATTGGTTGACAATCTATTCAAGGTCGACCGTAAAGTTTATTACTATCACATAGTCTTGCTGGCGAAATGAATTTCTTTGTCCCGTGATTCGCTTAATCTATGTTATGCTTGTTGTGCGTATATATATATATATATATATATTAGGTTTGCTCTGTTGCCGAAATATCGTACTCGCTGTATCGAAATGAATCGATGAGCATGCATATATGTGAGGGAAAAATTTAGAAATTGGAGGATTAGAAAGCTGCTAAAACCAAGATTAATAAATAGAATGAAATAAAAACACTACATATTCATATAGAGATAATCAATATCTTGAAGATTTTATAACAAACACTGCAGTAGTTTGTACCATTTTATTCTATCCGATTCAATATGTAGTATGTATAGGAATCATTATTTTCTATCTTTTCTACATCGTCGTTTGTCAGTATTTGTAAGCTTTTTCATTTATAGTTTAACGAGTTCTGATTCAACAATTTAATACTCCAATATAAGTTAAAAATGATTTTCCTAAAAAGCTAGCTAGTGCTACATCGATGTTTTAGTCAGTGATACCACTATGGTGAAAACATTCGTCTACTCAATATCATGTCAAACTGTTAAGTGTCCAGTCAGAAAGGTTTGTTGTGGCCTCGATCAGAATACGTTAACTAATTTACTGTCGTTCCTTATCCCTTTAATTTATCCAAACGCTCTTGATTTTGCTACTCTTAAGGAGTAGAGCCTTAGAGTAAAGCCTGATGATGATCTAATCGAAAACAATATTGTTCGCTTGTATATCAGTTTCACTTTGGAAAGGACAGGAGGCTTGATGGTCTGTGTTAGTCTAAATTACAATATCACTTTGCATTAACGAACTATGCAGCAATTTTAAAGCCTATCATATACTGATATACAGTCAGCGATAACCAATAAGGTCATCAAAATAAAAACAGTTCCAGCTCACAGTAAAGATAATAAGAGAACTTATATGACATAGGCAAACAAAAATAAGGCTGAGATAATTAAATTATTGGTAATAGGTTTTATATGAAAGAAAACAGAAATATGCTTGTTTAAATAATGCTATTAACCAAAAGATAATGTTAAATGGTTTGCAAATAAAAACACTTTGAAATTTACCCTAGTCATAAAAACATCGAAAGTTTATAACATTTTCTTTGTACCCCGTATTTCCAAACACTAAAGGTCTACTAGTAGTTAGCTTGCAGTAGTGAATTAAGTGGTGCCTGTTGAAATATAGCCTCTTCATGCAAATTTCTCGAGAATGTTCGCACTAGTAACTTCATTAATTAACTATTGGTAGGGAGCAGAAACTGAATTCAGGAAGTTATTTTACCTTAATTCCCAAGACGTCACCTAAATTTATCAATTGTTAACAGTAAGCAATCCCCTGACTCCATACAAAAAGCGTGTGTATCAACAAAAATTGACAAATTCCATTTTGTAAATCGACAGTCAAAATACCCGAGCTCTATTAATGAAAAAATACTCATTAGGACATTGAATATCGCTGGGATACCTGAAGTGATGCATGTTGAGTTACTGCCTAAATAAGTAGACAAATTCACTAAGAAGAAGGTATATATATAACACTAGTTATCAACCTCATCACTATGGACATTAAATGCACAAGTTATAGATTCAAACTATACTTCCGAAAACTTACCGTGTTGTATTTATCTAGGTGGCTGGTAACCAGCAGTTGAATAATGTAGTGCTTGCAGAGAGGTTGATAGACTGTCTTGTCGATTATACATGAGGTCATGGGTGTATACCAGTCACATACTAACCAGGAAAGTTTAATCATCTAGTGCTTTTTAATTCCATTGAGCACATTTCTAAAAATCACCTTACTATGGATAGTCAGTGCACCGATGCTAAACAAGTCATTGTTATCTATTGTAATCAATCGATAACAAATAAAATCCACTACTATGTGCAATATGGAAACCATTTACAAATTATTTTGTTTCAGTCCCAAAAATAACAGTTTGCAAATCCATACACTTTAATGATGAGTCGCTTCTCAACCATTAGTGTTGACTTATAATTTCAAGTAATTCCATGATAAACTTCATATCAGATTATTTTGATTTTCCCTATCAATGAATCTCAGGAGTCATATTTAGTCATTTCCTCGGCTCATCAGATGCACATAATGGAATCTCGTTTTGATAATCTTGGTGAGACTTAAACTCAGTATCGACAGTCACAAATGCCAACGTATTATTCACAAAGTAACTGAGCCCTGATAGACATTAATACTTCCAGAGAGCATGGAATTTACTGGCTTCCAGACTTAGTGGTATTCCAATGTAGAACTAGAATTCTATGTCTTAGCTAGAAGTCTTGAATTCCACTCGTGATCAAATTTCAAGATATCTAATAAAGGTATAAATATACGCGTTATCAATGCTTCCATTTAGCAAAAATAATGTTGACAGAAAATAAACAAAACTCAATTTTGAATCTCAGCAATGGCGAAACGCAAACTTATACTAACAATAAACGTTACATTATTCAACGATTATACATTTTTAAAGTAAAATCTTAGGGGGACAACAAATAATGACTGTTGGATAAATTACCATTTTCGAATGACGCTGCTATTATTGATGAACTTCCATTACTATGTATTCTTACACTTCTTCCTGCAGTCGACGGTCTACATAACACATTGTACAATGAACTTTCCCTGTGACCACTTGAATAGCTTTCTGTTTCTGCCAAAGGATCAATAAACACATTGAAAGTTGAACGCCTTTTGTCGTGACGAGGCACAAGCCACATAGAGTTTCTTGCTGACCTTTAAGAAAAACACAAAAATTACCTTAGGAAACTATTACACTTTCGAATCCTGTAGTTACAAATTCATAAATACCGTATCATAACAGACAGTATAAAGCATATGCGTAAAATTTTTGTTTGAACTAATCAGTGTTATACATTGATAAAAGTGCATTTCACATCAGCTACCAATTTAAGACCTAGTAAAGGTGTGATTACATAGGATCTACTCAGAAAAACCTATTCATGAATATTCGCAAACCTGTATCTGCACTGTTTGGAAAAGTGACTAAATCTACAACTAGAACTGTGCTTTCTCATGTGCCAAATAGAGAACATATCAGCAAAAGGAAACTTTTTTGACATTCAATAATTTACTAGACGATTGAAGATTATACCCCTTTTAGATACAGAAAGTTGTCAGAATCAACTCAAAGAACCAAAACTGTGTCTGGAAAGGTTACATACATCCTGCTTTTTCCTTATCGACTGAATCCCGAGTCTCTGAACCTTTGTGAACTTTGTTTCTGATAAAAATAAAGACATAATAAACTAAACAATATTTAATGTTAATTCAATAGATTGGCAAGTTATTAGTCATGTAGAAATATTCTTACAAATGATAATTTTCAACACTTCTAATGTGAAAAACCGGCCAGTGTTTTGACAGATTTTCATTATTTGTTACCACAAGGAAGATTTCATCCGTTTTTATCGTGAAAAAATGTGAACTTTCAAGTTTAATCACGCGCGTCCTGGATTCCACTGCTAGCCACTATCCATCATTGCTTATAATGCTTGTAAATTAAGGCAATATCGAGGCATACGCACAGCATGCACATATGCCAATAAGAAACTGATCAATTTCAGTCTTAAAACATCAATGGGAAGATTCAAGTAAAACAATACCAAGTGAATTAAACTCTTTGGATAGTTTTGATTTCTGACTAGATCTACATAAATGTTTTGCAAATTTCGGTTTCCTAATTGAATGAACTTATTTATTTTTTGTATTTCAGCAAAAGATTTGAATATGTCAACTGAAATTGATTATGTAAGCTCTCTTATTAGATGACAATTTAGCTTTAATCTTCTGATACCTGTTACTGTTGAACATTACCGACTTACAAGTCCCAACGGAAATTTTACAACTGACTCTATCAGTACCATTCATTGTAAAAATTACCTGGTGAAAATTTCATCACTAAGAGCAGTAGCTGGGTTATCCTCGACTGGCGTCGTTTTACAAAAAACCTTTTCCCTCATAGATACTAATCTTCCTTTAAGTATGATTAATAACGTCCCGCCAACAAATTTTCACAGGAGAGTGAAAACTTTTAAAATCAACAATTGATAAATAAAGACGCACACATCAACTCCCACAATTAAGAACACAAATAACTAAATCACTTGTTGATTGGATATTTTTCAAATATCGTTGAATCAGTTAAAAGAAATATTGAAACAGGAAAACGGACAATAGTAAAGAATGTATGTAATAAACGAAATGAGAACTTTCGTTTTTCGTATTCAATACTGACGAGGAAAGATTAGTTCGTTTCATGTCAGTTGTAAGTTGAAAATAAGTAATGAAATTTTTAATGAACACCCCTGAAGTCAGAAAGCCGAAACAACAAAAATCGGATTTGCATTTCAATTTATGATTGTAAAAGTAAGGAAGAAAGATTGTCTACAAAATAATGAGAATTTGCAGACCAAAACAAAACTATTTGTTTACATTTTAGAATGCTGTTTGATTTTTCACTTGTTCACGAGGTTATTCCACAGGACCATGAGAATTATAGACCGCTTTGAATTTATTGTGCTCTACAAATTACTTGCAGATTTACATTTATGATGTACTTGTTATTTATTTACAAGCAAAACTTTTTGGAATAATTGATTTTGTGCAGAGAACGAACCTAAATGATCATTATAACATCTACCTGACGAGCCACAAATGCATTCAATTAAGTACAATGATCAACAACAGTATGACCTAATTAATCAGTATGTTTAACGTTTACACATAGGGGCCCAAGCTGATAATTGTGCAATCAAATCATTCCTTTTTGCACAATAAGAATGCTGTTAATAAAACTTTAATGCACTTACATTCTCGGCAATGGAGTTGAAGGTTTAGGAGTAGTAATCTCACATATTCTCTGTACTGGACACAGTAAAGCAACTAACATGTTTTTCCGAAATGTACTGCCGTGAATTTCACGAATATATGTGAATAGTTGTCGTATGTCAGAAAATAAAGAAACATTCTCTTGACTGCTCAGTTCACGTCTGCACCTGACTAAGCGCCGGACAAAAGGGCCGAACAAATAAGATACAATCAAACCTTCAGCTCCACGTGTATCTTGGCCAGTATCATTCTGCCCAAAACTATTTCCATAATTTAAATAAGATTTTCTGTTTTGATCTGTGTAAAAAACAAAAAGAAGAGATAACAACTCACCACATACACCATAACTTTTAAATTACCCATATATTCAAGGTTAGTTTATTTGATTATGATCTACAATTAAATATGCTTATCATAGCAAAACAATACGAAACTCAATAAAATAGGAATCTTTAACAACTGCTAAACGAAGAGTACATATAAGGAATGTTTGATTGTAAAATAACATCAAATCGATCTTGTTCAAAAGAAACATATGGATGTGAATATCAACAACACACCCAGTGTAACCTTTTGTAGACTGGGAAAACGTGTGGACGCTTCAGAAGAAAAACTAGCAACTTCTCAATTGAATAATTAGGTCTGAGATATGATAACATTGATATAAAATGTAACTTTATACTATACCAATTATTAAGGCTTTACGTGCTGTTCAAGGCTAACGTGATTTATTTCTGTCTTTAATGAACGCGTGGGTAGATGAATCGTCTATTTACAAGAAACTGAAGCCATGTCAATAGTCTGATCGCTTTCTTAGATAACGAACTATTGAATATACAACTCAAATCAAAATTTTCTATTGGCTTCATACATGGTTTATTGCATGGTGCCAGTGACTACCCATTACATACTGTTTTAATTTGGAAGTGATTATAACTTTATACGTCTTTCCTTATACAGTAATATATTAGTGTTATATCCCGGTGAGAATAATGAATGGTAACTGTTGGAATCCGTTTATGGAACAATACGATATATATTTTTTTTGTTGTATAATTATTAAGTAACTAAATGATGCATATTCATACTTCTCTTATCATAAGCTCTATTTTGACCCATAGACTATTATTATACGATTTACCGATCTTGGGTTATGCCCAGTCTTCCACATTCACAGCCACATTTGGCTAGACTTTGTACAAATTTTATTTCATATTTTGTGGTACAATGTGGTCTGTTTGATTTGTATATAAACCCAGTATGTTCGAAATACATGATTCATATAGAAGTGGCTGAGATTGGTGTTCTGAACTTAATAGGCAGGGCTATGTTGGAAGAAGGACCGATAAACACTCCAGAATGCTCGTACGGTTTTTATGTATCATTGGACCGGTCGATAAATCACTGTTCTCTAACTGATGGTATCATTACGTTATATATTAATAGGGAGCAAGGCTACAAGTTATAAAAATTAGTGTATCATCTTCGTAGTAATTAAGACATTTGAACAATTTTTCTATTACTCAATAAAATAATATATGTTGGTATTTTTAATTTGAGTCGACTATTTGACCATCAACAGGACAAGTACCCGAAGTTTTTCAGTCAAGACTTTAACTAAATTTATTATTATAACAAAAGAAAACTAGGAACAAAATGTTTTACCTGAACGTTCATAACAACGTGTGACTGGATCTAAACAAAACCCGGTGAATGAATGAAGTATTTCAACTAAATCGGCAACAGTACTTGAAGATACAATTCGTATTATCACACGTTTAAACAAATTAGGATTTAATCGGTGTAGATAAATAAGACAGTCATGTGCAAGTGACCGGAAATGGTTGCTTGGATCTACAGAGTTTTCGTGCTGCTCTTGTTGATGGGAATTTGTGAAATTCGATGAATTATTGTGCCCATGTCTACATCCAACTGAACGAATAATTCTAATGTACAACAAAATACATGAAAGTCCAGTTTACACACACGAAAAAAGTCAAATAAAACTGCGTTAACAATGGAAAACAACCAAACATTATGATTTTGTGGTAAAACTCTAACAAGTAGTCTATGGATAAAAATCAAATGGTACCATCGATAGTTTTCAACTCCAATGGCTATTTTCATATCTAAACCACACAAAAATATGTGATAAATGTATAAAATACTGATATCTTGACTGTATAGTCAATGAATACAGGGAAATAGACTATTTCTGCCCATTCTAATAAACGTATCGGAATAGTCTTCATTCTGTAGGACCTAATGAGTCCAATAAATATCGAATAATAACAATGTGATTTCGTTTAGCTTGCCAGAAATATTTAATTTCTACTTTAATGAACACTTCTAAAAGTTGGAGTGTCAAACTTTTCACTAACAATAATTTTTTTGGTTTGTTTAAACAGTGAACACTAAATGCTTGTCCTAAACATCTTGGTATTCGTCGTGAAAGTCCATCTGTGAATCTTGAAATGGTCATTTTTATCTAAATTGTTTATACACCCAGGTATGAACGTTCAAAGGAGTGAAAGACATATTTATAGCATCATTCACAACGTTTTCAACTAGAATACACGTTTATATATTCAGGCGGTATGTACATTCGATTTTGTCAAAAAAGTTTAAATGAAGGTAAAATATGTAAAGTAATAAATGCATCAAGTTTACCTTATCAACATTTCAGCTGCTAAAGTAAAATGCGTACGGACCAGATGATTAGAGATATCACAGCTCATTCCTCGTTTCTGTTGAGCACGAGACTTGAATCGATATGCACTTTTAGACACTAATTTTTCGTTATTACGCAGCCTAGATTGAATATTTCCTGACGATTTTATCCAACGTGGCATTGAACAAGGATCTTTTTCGAGATCTATAGATGATTGAGGACTCCCAAGTGGGCTGAAGTTTTTTGTGCAAACAGAAGCCGCGATGCCGTCTTCGCTTATCAGTGATTCGTTATCAGCTCTATTAGAAAATTGCCTTTTTGATCCTACATCAGCGTCTCCATCATCCCCATTTTCACTTCCATAAGACTCGCTGCAAATTCCGACAGAAACTCTAGACGAACTTAAGTTTGAGGAAGAAAATCCTACACTCTGATCATGTAGTCTCACTCTACTGCCTGAATGTAAGTTTGAGCTATCATATCCACCTCGATTGTTGAAATTTGGGTTGGTGTGACTTTCTCTTGCCACAAGTTTATTGAGAATAGGTGTCTTAAAGGATTTCGAACACTTATTTCTCTCACATTGATTTTTTTTTCGAAATCGTCTGAGATGACCAGGTTTTTCAAAAGAAACATTTTTTAACGAGCAGGCTCCGGGCTTCATGTCGAAGATTCCCAAATCAAATAAAGCACTCAAACAGCAAACCAAATTGAAACAAACACGACTTGATGTGTGTACTGTGCTACACCAATAAAGACTTCTCAAAATAACAGAATAATCTAAATGACCATTAGGTGTAATGTAGTATGCAGCTCCTGGAACTTCATCTACCTGCAGATTGAATAAAAGTAATAACCAGATGCTCAAGAGCCATTAAACTATTAATGATGGCGTAAAAAGTAAATGGGTTCTAAAATCCTCAAAACAGGCCCACTGAGTTAGGTTTTCCGATGTTCAAGTTATTTATTTTCCGTAAAATCTCAAAAGGAAATCGGTAAGACAACTTTTTACATTCTTCAAATTGCATGCGTCTTTTCAATTTTACTTTAACCCCTTAGTACCTCAGCCTTATATCCACAAAAAGAGAATAGTTCATATCAAAAATCATTTCTTACTTAATGAGCAACGTTCGTAAGCACGTTGCGTATTTCGTAACATCGAAAATTTCCAGACATATGTGCCTGTGACAATTAACTATGAAAATATTTCAGCTAGTTTCCTTATCTATCAGCAATATGTAATTCAGTGCTAGTATTATTTACTTATTTCAATAAGTGATTTCATTATTTTGTTTATAAAAGTATAAAAATATTTAGATAAAATTGTTGATGGTTAGAATTTTAAAGCAGATTTATCTGATAACAAGTGGTTTTTCACATAAGATGATTGTTTATAATAAATCAGGGCAGTAATTTGCAGTAGTTCTGTTAAAATTCCAACAATTAATAATTCCATATCAGTCTATGTAGTAGTTTTAGTGAATTTGTAATAAAAATACTTTTTTCTTAAGAAATTCAATTTATCCGTCATTGATGTAAATTAACTTTTCCCTAAATTTCACTTCAGCTTTACTTAGTAATTGTCAAAGATATTCACATTTATGAAATTAAGAAGCTAAAAATAATCATCCAAAATATAAAATTACCTTCTCTGAGCTATGATATATTATATCTGAATCAGTAAGACTGCGAGGAAGTGTCTTAGCAAATAACTGTTCATCATTCGAAACTGTATCTGTGTTATCAACTGGCTTAATAGCCACTGCTATTGAAGGTGTACAAGGTGGTAAACCAAGTTTAAGTCCACTATGAAGGGAAGAAGCATTGCACGAAACAGGTGGATCACGTTTATTAGCTTCAGAATCATTACTTGTCGTGTCGAGTCCTTGAAACGGTTTTTCATTTGGCGCTAGCCGTAGCTTTTCACTTCCTGTTTGAGCCGATCGTTTTGTCGGCGTGTAGGAGACTTGTTTTTCCCCAGTCATTACCGACGGCTGATCACATTCTGCAGCAACAAAGAAAACCAACAAGAAGTTATTATTACAAAAAGTACTTATTGTAGGAGAATCGAAAACACTTACCGCTAGAATTCGCAAGCAAAAAAGTAAAACAGTATTTCTACCTCAGTAACGGTTGACATTACAAATGAAAATACGAAGTTTAAATGATAAATTCCACTCCTAAACTACAGTCAGTAGGAAAAAACCTCCATTCAACATCAAATACATTGTTTTGTTACTTTAAACCAGATCAGTAGTATGGCTTTTAGTTTGTAACGAAAACCCAAGCAAATTTACGGCTGACCTTTAATATTTCCGAAATAATATTTAAACGCTAACATACTTTTACGCGTGGTGCACATAGGAAATTGTTAGTGACATAGTAATTAAGGTAGATCAGTTTACATTCTGTAATAATAAAAAGAATCATTCATTACTGATAGAACTCAGATTTACTTTATCTGAGCCAAGTTAGTTAAAATCCCTTGAAAAATGTGTTTCATTAGTCTTCAAATACGCCTTATTGATGAGGTTATTCAGTGAAGAAAATCCCAACAGAATTTAAGTTTGACTTTTATTTACTGTTTAAAATCTTTGTGAAAAATAACCCTGAACTGTACTGCCTCTGACTAAAAACTTGAAATAAGGTAAACAGCTACTCAGTATTTTGTAAGAACATATAACTCAATTATTGAATCAACCTGCAAAATCGCTTTTGTTTTGGTCTTGTTTTCATAGTTTGTCAATCTTCAATTCAACATGCATTATTATTGTATGGATATGAAAACATACCGATCAGGTTGTTTATGCTAGTCATGCCTGGTGCTTCAATAGAAGATAAAGGTTGAAATTTCATACTTGCATCCCCAGATTTGAACTTTGACGCCCGAGTAAAACGTTCCTAAAGTATCAATAAAGAAGATGATTTTCATTTTTCATGTGTTATATTTATTCGTGAAGAAAAACAATATTTTCACGTATTAGAATGCAAACCAATGGGTTACTGAAAGTGCACGTAATAACTCATTTATTTCTGTAAACCAAGTGAGTACGCAACATAGCGAGCCCTAAACTTTGCAGTAATTGAGAGGACATTCCGAAGTATCTGAAGCAAGCAGTCATGTCAGAGTACTTTAGATTCATTTTTCTTACTTATTATCATCTACAAGATAAAATTATACATTTTTATAGATTTACGTGTATGCTATTTCGGTGCTTCTTGAGAATCACAATATACCTAGGTTTCATCAAAAGACTACTCGTGAGTAAACAGTCCTAACAACTCCTGGGTTTTTAAAAAATTGTTCAAAATACTCTCTACGTTCTAAGGCTTATGTAACTGATATCGATTTTTTACATAAAGACCTTACATTTTTATGAGTATTCAGTGGTACTGATATTGCAGAATTTATGTGGCAATATGAATGAATGGAATGTTTCCATCTCTTAGTAAACCCAATGAATGTTTATGTGGAGAGTTCACAAATGATATCTTAGTATCCATATTGTTCTCGCCATTTTCGCCCAAAAAATGTGGAAAACAATAAATTTTAAACTTAGGTAGAAATTGTAAATAATAATTAGTAATTAAATCACCTTAATATCAGTAATTCTTGAACGTTTAGAACCTCTCCAGGCGGGTTGCTGCTGTTGATTTTGCTGTTGCTGACCTCCAAAGTTAACAATGGGCAGTGGGAGCGTAAATGATGAATCACTGAGACCAATATCGGTTAGCAAAGGACTAGTATTAAGTTGCTGTGGCTGCCATTGTTGTTGCTCTCTATCTTTTGGGCATTCTAATTTCATAAGGTTAGATTCAGACTTATCAATATTCAATAAAGATGAAGATGATCCAACTATGCAAGATATACCTTTCCGATTTAACGATTCATCCAAATGACTTGATATAGTGGAATGTTTGATCGAGGAAGGGGTACCACTGTTCCCAGAGTATGACTGGATGAAGTTACTGGTACTGTTCGACTGAGCTTCACAAAGTTCTTCCTGTTGTTTCGTATGCTTATGTTGAGTTAAGTCATCTGCGATTAGAAAAAGACTATAGTTTATAAACTTTGAATGAGAAAAATCTTATTACTCACAGTAACTACATGATGTTACAATATTGAGTATATACCTCATCTAAGATACTAAAATTTACTTATTTTAAATCGCATGAAATTATTTATATTTTGATATTTATAAAGATCATAGTCTCCGAGATGTAATTATTTTCATCCAAAAATTTATGCACAATATATCTTCAAATATTTTTATACAATGAAGTAGATTCACATGTTTGCGAGGTTTAAATCTGGTAAAGAATGTAAGCATTTATCGAATTCTTTCATAAGAAATATAAATACACTAACTTCTATTGGAAAGTACAATCTAATACATATCATGAAGCATCATTTTTAGAACTGTCAACGAGAGCAAATTTTAAAGAATAATGAACATTAATTGTCTGCCGATAATTTCCCCTGAGGATCAGTTAATTTTAATAGTTGGTATGAGACGAAATTCTGGATTCTGAGTTTTCAGGGTGATTCGCAGTTCAATGACCAGCAATTTCACAGTTGCTTCACATGTTATAAAGGCCAGCCATCCAACTACCTGTTGACGACTGAGTGTCAACCAAATATTTAAATACTTCATAAGTACACGGACATTTAAAATACCAAGTTTGAATGAAAAGTCGTAGATGTGTTTTAAGGAAATTAGATTATAAAATATGATGTATCTCCTCATTTCTAGCTGATTGTACATATCTTCTACAACTTATCTGCTTGTGCTAAGAAAGACATTCAAACAAAAATACCCTAGTGGAAATAATCCTTTCTTTTTAAATAAACTAGGGATAAAAGGTAGTAAACACATCTGAATATTATAAAAGTTTAAACCTGTGTGACTTTTCATTCATAAGAATAAATAAAAATTACAATGGTCACAATTATTAATACAGAAATAAGAACGTTTTTTACTGTTCCGAACACGTAAATTTTATACGTTATAGTCACATATAAATATATAGAACAGACAATAATGAATAGTATAAGCATATTATGGGATTCTTGATGTTGCCTGACGTTATATCTTTTTTGTGTCTAGTAATTGATAATGTTACCACCCAGACTTGAACGCATGAAACAAGTAACAGTCGTCCTAAAATCAAACCTCAAAAATATTGGCTAAATTTACTGTTTTTACTGTCTTGTTCAAATTCTCTGTTGCACTGTTCAGTTGGATTATGCTGACAAATACTTGACATACACCTTGACGATATATTAGGTAATGATAGACTCCGAATTTCCTTCACCATTTCTCCAGTGATATGATTTATCCTTGCTTGATGTGACGATGCTGCTGACCACAATCCTGGTATCCATTTAAACAAGTGTTCAGGCGGAAGATTGCCTCTGCGTAACCTTAGTAATTTACGGTTATTCGGTTTAATTTTGATCCATTCTGAGCGTATTTGCAATAAACGATTGAATAAATAGCATAGCGACCAGTAGATACCGGATTCACACCATTCAGGACAGAATAAGCACCGTATTACAGCCAGGTCACAATGTGTAGCAAACATACAATAAGTTCCAACAGATGGTTGAATGAATTCACTGTCGGCCACAGAATATTTTAACTTTTCAGATAATTGTTTATACGGATCCGTGAATGAATTTAAAAATTTTTGAATGCGTTCGAATCCTGGAGCTACATGTTCTTGTTCCTAGTAAATAAATAAAATGAATTACTGTTAATCTACTAAACTAATTTACATGTTTAGTTTTTCAATCTGGATTTGTGTATTCATTTATTTGAAGCGCATATATGATGGGAACTTCCAAAAAGATATTTATTTACGTACAGTTAAATAATTTCACTGAATAAAATGTTATCTTGTGTCACAAGTACAAGTAAGAATGTATTTCCACGAAAACTAAAAATATCTTTTTTAGTAAGAGTAAAATTAGAGGCTCAGCGTACTTCCTTACTCAAGAATAAGTTTCTTTTTCACACACCATAACATGATCGTTTCTTTAACTAAAATTCTTCATTATATTATTAAAAATGACTTTGCAACTAAACATTTACGTGCTTTACCAAAATATTTTACGTTTCACAAAAAGCACTAACTATTTTTTAATTAGGACTCTTGCCATAACAACCTATGTTTATTTTAATTCGGAATAGTTCTCAAGACACAGACCAATCAATCAAAGTTTAGTCATTCATAAGAATCAATGAAATGAAATTAACAGCCTTACACAGTACACGAAATTGATATATTTAGTAGTGACGAATATATGGAAACCCAATGTTAGATTATGAAAGTTAACTGCCAAAAATTCATGTGCGTAAGTCATATGCGGGTTTGTTCTCATCAGAAAGTTTTATTCAGAATCTTAGGAGAACCAATGTACCATTAAAATTCTGAACTCACATCACACGCTAATGTAGTCATGAAGTTACGACAAACCCAATCTGGTCGTAAATGATATTATGTTGGAATAGCACGATCATGACAACAAGCAACTGAATAATAAATAATTTCATATTGTTTAGTCCTTGGTGCTGAAAGAAATCCATCACTCAAGCTTCCCCATTGCTTTCGAAAATCAAACAGATTCCACGACAGGATTGACCAACATCCCAAACATGTTTCAAAGAAATCAACCCTTTATGATCCTCCTTCAATAAAAATCATTCTCTCTATGGTTTAGTTGGACAAAAGTGAATCTCAAAAAAAGGTGCATATATTCAGAAAGTTCAGTAATATATTAAACACTGATTTCTTGTATGAGATTTTCCGATGATATCCACGAATGCACTTCGAAATTCATAGCGGTTTAGTTTAATATCGATTATTTAAAAGCACTATGTTCTTTGTTTTGCGAAATATTTAGCCTACCGATCATCTTATTAATCTTAAGCTAGTGACTAGAATCTAGAAACCTTGCTAACTTGTGCATCCAAACAATGCGTGCATGAAAATGTTTGTATCACAAACAAACCATTGTGTGACCTATCTTTAAGAAATTAAGGTTCTGTTGGTGATAATTAGATGAGTCGGCTATATCACGAGTGGTCGAGTGAAACTATCAAGCTAATGCTGTTAGACATTCCACTGACTAATAACAATAATGCTTCAAACTTCGATTCAGTGTAAACTACATGCGCTAGTGAAATGAATGTATGTAACTAATATCTCGTTAACAACACAGTTTATTGTATGTCTGAATATATCAATTTTCCACGACAGTTTTCTTCCCTTTACAAACCCATAACATTCTATATTGCGTGCATACTTACTTGCTTTGGTGGAAAGACATCTGGCACAACTGCCGCTGTAGCCGTCGTTCCTGTGACTGCAGCTTCTGAAATGGATTTTTCGCTGAATTCTTCCTCATCATCCAGGTATTCAGGTGTAGCTTTGGGGGGTTGTAAATATAAGATATGCCCAGTTGAGTTATGCGCATGAGTCAGTGAAGGCTGATAGTTATCTGGAATATTTATTGCACTGCTTACTGACTCCTATGTAAAATATAAATATTTAAATGAATAAATTATCTGTTTTGTCAAAGGGATTTCAAGAGATAGAATGTGAGATGATTACGAAAACTTCATCATCATGGATAGATTGATTGCACACTGACTAGTTATCAACATCACGTTCGTCTAGTACTTACAGCTAATGAAACTCTATCGATGATGCTTAAATGTATATATTAGCGTAAGTAACTGGACATCGAATATCTTTGTGTTGTGTGGTTGTAAGTAGAAGATAAGAAGCCGTGAATGTAGGCTTTTCGCTAAAAAACAAACGTCTAAGTGGCCTGTCTTGGGTCCTGATTCGATCATCTCTCCTCTCAATATTTCAGGTATCCCTTGAAGCATGAAGGATAACTGTTCATTAGATCACCAACCAGTATAATAATGAATATTGTAAGGTTATATGAGACCTGTGATTAGAATACATGACTTATGAGTTCTAAGTAATTGTATAATGGGATTAAAACATAATAGTGTTTTTGCATGTGTGGTTTCGTACCAATACAATAAATTTCAATGCGAAAAGGATAATGTTGAGAATCGTTTATTACAAAACATATTTGTTTCAACCCTGGGTTTTTCACTCATAAAGTATTCCTTTCTAGCACAGCATTCGTTGAAACAATGGAGCTACTACTCTACATATAAAAGTTGGCCAATGAATAGAATCACAGGGAAACCTTATTAACACATGACACTGAAATTCGCCGGTTCAGTTGGAATTTGAGAACCACATGTAAATTATTGACATATATCAATGTTGCCTTTAACGAATTCATTGACGATATATCGAAAAAAGTGCTTATTCGTGGAAACAGTTCGGTATTTCGGAAAAATGATAACAAGCAATGAAGAGAGAAACATAATAAACAAACAGGTGACCAACATAATTTTATCAGTCCTTTCTACGACTCTTTGTCATCACACTTCCGTAATGGATTCTAAAAATGAAGTTTTCAGTAACGAACTTTTACCCGTTTTCGTTCAAACGCATAAATCAACAATAGATACTGTATACCTTTTTCAAAAAATTATGAAAGACTATTCCAGATAATTTTGGCTAGCAGGTCAACTTATCAATATAATCACAATAACAATTGAATTTAAAAGAAAACAAAAATCGAAGGATAATTTGACTCAGAGATCTTCAAATAACTTAATTTCTTTTTCATCTTAACCATATATAAAACCACAACGGAATTCAGTAACCATTGATTGAAGTTTCATTATTAGCAAGGTTTTTTTATTTCAAGCCATGGTTTCATTATCAAAATAATTTCTATAATTTCTATGCAGCAGTCATGACCTAAAACATTTTTAGCCTTATACTCCATATGAAGTTATGTTTTAAGTATATTTACAATCTATGAGTACTACTCTTCCCAGGTCATACTGAATTCCAAACCAAAATAATCCTTATCAGCGTAGAAGTTCGTGGACATTATTAAATGTCACTAATATCACGAAATAATCTAAACTAAACATCCATCGGAAATCAGGGATTACTGGACAGCTATTTCGTCCTAATACGGGACTCTCCATCAGTGTGCATCCGCGCAGAACTAGAATACAGGGCTAAGCCTTTAAACCACTGAACCATAATCCAAGTCCGCAGATATCCTTCTAACTTTAGTCGATTCGCGATATTGCGTGACCATCTTCCAGAAATAACATTCAATAACCTTTACAAACCTCTATTCTGATAATTAGCATATACCAGCTAATGACTAATTTCAAATTGTAATTTTGGGACTAGTGATAAGCTTTGACAAATGGCGTTCAAATATGTCGGGTGTGAGGCTGTTATCCATCGAAGACAATAGTTAGTTCATGATATCAACGAAACAACAGTTAGTAAAATTTATATAAACATAAACCGATGAGCACACTAAGAGTTAAAACTGATACATATTTTAGCCTGTGAAAAATAAAATTTATGAATAAATAACAAGGGGACTTCTCAGAATTAAACACAGAAAATGAAATGGAATTTAGATTAAGCATTATCATAAGAAGTGAAAACATCTACGCTACTTCGTCAAATAGAAACGTATTCACCATTTGGTCCACAGCTGATTATGTGTACGATCATGTGTATCCGAGCGTTTTCTGTCGCCAATGATCTACAATGTTGTACACCCAATATTCATGATAACGTGAGTTCTAAACTGAGTAAAAACTTTGAGTTTATTTTCATTTCTAATGAAATCTGATCACTATGAAACAAAACAATTTCGACTACTGCTAAAGTATCAACCAATAAATGGTTTCTACGAACTACGATGATATTCTTTTGAAACAGCTCTTTTATAATATGGCATAAAACCTCTGAAATAAAGTATATGTTAGAGCACGGTTTTCAAAGTAACCTAAAGGTTAAAAACAAACTACTAGCTAGTTTAAATGAATGATGCTAAACGTATCGTAGTATTTAGTAGATATTCGTCCCGATTGACAGACTAGTAATTTGAACGCTATGTATATAGTGTTTTCAGACAAGAGATATTGGAGTTGATAAGAGTTTAAGCCAATGTGTAGTTCTTTTACTATCAAAATTTTAACCATCTATTTATAATCACCAGATTGTACTTTTATTTAGAAAATGAAATATGAGCAATTACGGCAAACAGTGAAAAACTCACGTCTGAATTGGCTTCAACATGGGGGATGGAAGCACTGTCAACTAAGAACTCGAATGATTTCACAGCTAATGGTAATTTATGATTGATTTCGGAACCCTTATCCGATATATTAACAGTATGAACATCCGAAGGTATTTCTTCAGAAGTTTCCAAACTCGAAGATTTCCTCTTAATATAATCGTTTAAAATGGATGACGTTTTAGGACTTTCTATTCCATCTATATTTGTTACAACTGGCCGAGATAGTATATTTGAATCATGAGTAAAAAATTTAACAGGTGATGATAATGTCCCACGATTTGGTTGACAATATTCCATTAATGGAATCCATAAGCGTAATCCTGCTTCTAACTTGAGAGTATCGAAATCGGTTGGCTTAAGTTGCTCAATAATTGGAGCATATAAATAAATGAATAACTGAAGTGACGCCAAGTCGTGAACATAACGATCAGTTGAATGTTTGGGTATGGAAGCTTTTTTGTGAGAGAGAATAAAAAGAAAATAATGTTAATTCTTTTATACCGATACATATTTGAGAGAATCACCGAGTCATAAATATTAAACAGATCCAGAATTAGGTAAAACCTAAAACCTTGAAAATTTCTTTTATTAACTATAATTTATTTCAAATATCATTTGAAGAGGTTGTTTTCGCTAACTTATGTGAATGGAGGACGCTATGAAAGAAATTTAAAAAAATATTGATAAGAGTCTTAAAAAAGAAGCTTCCGCTTAGACAAACCGGTTACAGTATACAATACTAACTTCTCACTAAATCAATCAAAAATAGTTCATTTCAGATTTCCTTTTGCTTCGTTTACAGACTTGAACGTAGCCATTGGAGAAAGTTAATTAGAATTGCTGAAGGAAGGTCAAACGCCTCGACAAACATACTGGGATCGAAGAACAAAATTTACAGGTTAAGTTGTGTCATACCTAGCGAATAGTTTGCGTACAATGAATATTGCTACCACTCTTGAGATAGCAAGCAAACAAAACAACTTCAAATCAAACTCAATTCGGAGAGGTTATTTTCATTAAAAGTTTCAAGTTTGACTATTATATACAGAAGGATAGTGTGGTTTACTTGTCTTTATTAATGTAAGTGAACTAATATGTACGGTAGTTTTTAAGATAAGCTGATTAGAAATGTTATCCTGTCAGGATACTAGATATAAATCATAAAATCTTTTAATAAAATATATACTATTTGTGATATTTCAGTGAGTTGAAAATTGCATTTTAGACGTTTCGTGAGAGTAAATAAGCCATTCTCTACTCATTGGGATATCACAAATAGTATATTTATCATTTACTTTCTAACCAGTGCTCAGTTTATTTGAGACTATCAAGTCCAACCTTTGCACCGATATCTGCGAACTCACTATAAAATATTTTATCACTCTATTCACAGTTAAACATCAGGAGTGAGACATTTTTGTAAGAAAATGTTCATTCTCAGTTTAACCTCTAATTACATAGATGATAAACTTATATACAAACATATCTGACTATTCGGTCAACGAACAGTGACGGTAGAGCCTGATGAAGTTTCGGAAAACGATCGTTCGCTCTGATACTCTTTGCTTTTAAATACTGTGCGGGGATTTTTAAATATTTTCGTCCAAAAACCTTGTTTATGGACTTGAAACGTGGCTCGTTTATCACCCTGTCTCAACATATGTCCATAAGTCTATATGCCTAAAAATTGATCTAACTGGATGCATAAAAAAGATGAATAATTTAAGATCAATATTTCAAAAAACAATTAGGTTAGATTTTCCTAAATTTGCTTAGTAAATGATGTGTTCCTTGTAACCGCTGGTAGCGAAATATGTGAGCAAACGTACTTCCAATTCATTTAATCACTTGTTTATTCCTTTTCATGAATTGGATAGATTTTTTTCAATCTCTTTTCTCTATCTTTAAAGGTTAAGATTTGATGTCAATAAGAGATTGAATTGTAACTTAATTCTCTGGATTTATAATTTGAAATAGGAAAAATCTCCATATATTTCTATAGCTTAAAAAAGTATATTCCTTGAAGAAAGACGAAGAATAAACCACTGAACCGGGATAGTTCCATTAGAGCAAGCTTACAAGCACATAAAATCAAGCATGTAATCTAACCTCACTACTTTGAAACACGTTATTTTGCATTACTCAGCTCATATGTTAGAGGATGCACAACAACATGATGATAAACTCTTCAGCATCGGCTGAAAACTGGATAATTGACTCAAGGGCATCAGTAGAAGAGGCATGGACTCTTTGCAGGGAGTTAGATAATCAGTTAAATCAAGCGTATATACCCTGGACAGTCCCAAAGAAGAAGAAGCACGGTCATCCCTGGATAGACCGGGATATTCGACGTTTACTAAAACGTTGCCATCAGTTTGGCACAGCAAGTACGATGGGACGTTACAGGTTGGTAAGAAATAAGTTTATAATTAAAATCTGGGAAGCTCAGAGAAAATATGAAATGCAGTCGGCACAATCTGCAATCAAGCATCCTAAGATACTATTCTCGAATATAAATTACAGAACGAGGATGTAGCATTGGATTCCCAACCTAATTACGGAAGGGAGAGGATCTAAAATGATAGAAGATGATCAGGAAAAAGCAGAGGCTAAGACAAACTATTTCAGGACAGTTTTCACTCAAGAGCCTCTTCTAGACGAAGAAATAGATCCAAATACAAAGTCAACAAACCGTCTTCTCGCCGTGAACTTTAGTTGAGATGACGTGCTTAAGACCATTAGTACTACAGGCACGGAAAAATCAACAGGACCTGATGAAATAAACCCCGAAATCCTGAGACAACTTGCATAATATATTGCAGCCTCACTAACTGTGATACTCAACATGTCACCTACCTAAGGTGTGTTACCTACGGACTGGAAAGATGCAATCATTACTTCAATACTTAAAACAGAACCAAGATAACTTCCAACAAACTACAGACTTATCAGCCTCATAAGTGTCGTAGTTAAAATGCTGGGAAGAATAGCCAAAAAGACACTCGTGGAAACCAACTTGTTAAACAGTGAACAACATGGTTTCAGAAAAGGTTTATCGTGCACAAAAAACCTCGTTGTAGCAAAGGGAAATGGATAAAGGCTCTAGACAATGGACAATCAATGGATTTTGTCTACATAGACTTCATCAAAGCATTCGATAAGATACCAACAGTTAGACTTCTCTTGAAGCTAGAAAACTAGGCATTGCCGGACCTAATATATCCTCTCTTTTTCATCTCACTAGATCAGGACATCTCAGAGGACATAGCAGGCGAGTAGAAAATCCAAGAACGAACAAAATACCCATGGCATACAGGTTTGCACACCGAGTCATCAATTCTTGGAACCTGTTACCCAAGGCAGTGGTATCCGCACCTTCAATTGACTCATTCAAGAGAAGACTAGACACTCACAGAAGCATACTAGAACAGGAATAACATAGACCGTAAGCCTTCTGTCCTTACTACACAGATGTGAAACCAGTTTTAGATAATGTAATTCACAGTTAATTTTTATTCAAAACGTTAAATCATTTTCCCTTTGATCAGCTTCGGAAATATAAGCAGATTACAGGGATTATAGTATAGTTTCAAAGAACGGCCACCGTAGACTACTGACTAAGCTAAAGAATTTCAGAACCAACAATAAGGTAAGATTCATTCGTAATTTTTTAAAATGTGGTTTATTTATATGTGAACAAATAAAGTCAATACAACACTTTAATTACTATATATTTTTACTGCTATGTGGAGCAAGCATGAAAGTCCAAGTAACACAATTATGATTGGACATCAACGACTTAGCTGAACTGGATGAAACATTTCCAAAATATTTTAGTTATGTGTTTAGCCTGTACTTTTTCTATTTATAAACACTGGTGGTAGTCGCTAAGATGTAAAACCACGTATACCAGAATTTCTTGTTCGATGGGACTCATCAGTAAAACAAAATAGTAACTTGGCATAAATCCGGTTTTGAATGTCGGAAATCTGACGTTTTCAATGAACACTAGGTAAAAATGTAGTTCAAGTGATCATACAGCATATTGTATTCGATGACTTGATTTCATCCGTGTAATTAACCTTTGATATCGGCAAACGAAAGCTATATTCAAATGAAGCAAGTATCAAAAAGATCGACGAGAATATTGTTGAACAACTTCATTAACTTATATAACAGTAAATATTTTTATTCACTTTTCGACCTGAAACATATTTCGATCTAAATTTAAATAAGTGTAAGAAATACTGAACCACGTCTCATAAAATTTCACACCATTTGCAAGTGAATTGTATTTACCTGGAACGCTGATTTAATTCATTCACTCTTAAGTTCAACTTCTTTTTTGCTTTGAATCACGACGTAAGAAAGTGCAGATATTTCGCGAAAACAAGTAGATTAAGTTAGCTCTATCCAAAGTGGCTTTACAATTAAAAAACCTTTTAATAGTGACTCCATTCATCAATAACAGAATCATTCTCAACTTTATTCAAAACAAACACTAAACTGCATCATTACCCGACATAGATTTAATTGCAGTAATATTCGAGTATCATAAAAAATTGGTGACGTTTGGATAAGCCTAATTTTCAGCTTTCAATAAATATTGGAGATAATTAAAACTGTAAAATATAGGTATTTGAATTATACTTCATGCTGAAGGTGAAAAGAACTACTAATTATGCGAAACAACATTTAAGTTGGATTATGAAATTAATTACAAAAATCAACTCTTTTCTTCTCCGACCTGCTAGATGGACATCATCTCATATAGTAACATAATTATGATCAAAAACAAGATCTAGATGCGAATTTTTCATCATTATATCACTGTCATGGAAAATACATTTAGTATTGTTTTGTTGGGAATAATATCGAGGTATTATTAAGATTTAGTTTAGCTTACTTTGATCTAGATAAAACAAAACTTTACCTGGATGATTAGAAGCCTCTATTTCTGCATCCTCACACTCTGAAGCGGCATCTAATAGAATCCAGTGAAGTGTGTAGAGCAACTTTGTTTCTGTCTGACTGAAATTCAGTCGTGTTCGATCATGAGACAATCCGCAACTGTTTAATGCATGTTTTTGATGAGGTAGGTCTGCATCAGATTTGTCCCGTAACTTTTCTCGAAGCATTATAGCACCACAATGAAGTACATGAGGCAATGCAGCCTTCACAAATTTCCATCTGCTTATTGAGTGTATAGCCTCGCACAGAACTATTGATCGACCATGTAGTATATTTTGTACTAAAACCTTCTCAAAAGTCTGTATTATTTAAAAGTTAAAAAACATTAGTACATAATTGTAAAAAAAATCGTCGTTTAATGTACACTGAAACTCAAGATGCGAAGAACTTTTGAAGAAGCTTACTGTGATAGAAAAAATCACTATATTTTAAAGACCTTGTTCAAATCATTACGTTATCTTGAAATGTTTGATTGTACGTTGGGTCTTTCACTACGTGGTGGTCGCATTTGAATGAATTTCTCGTTCAAAAAGCAGTTTGTAAATCGACTTACGTTCCGTCCATCCAGTTACGTTATGTGGAAAATTTATTTTCAAAATATTTCATAAGAATTTTCATGAGAACAAAATATTATTATCTTACGACAAAGCTTATCTTAGAAGGCTGGTTAAACAAAAGTATTTCTACAGCTAAACTATTTGAAATAATGAACAAAAACTTTCTTTATGTGTCTCTATATAAACATGCAAAATGATTGATATTATCAGACCATAACATTTATGTTGAGATTTGATTAAATATCATATTAATTTGTATTGTTGTACTATTTTTTCAATAAAATATTTGTCCGTATTCATTTGTATGCACTGTTGGTTATATTAATTAACTGGTACTCCCATAAGCTACTTATTCTCTCATGCTTCATTTCAATTTGAATGTTATAGAACGCGATCAGGCAAGTGATAATCTGAAGCAGCGATGGGATAATATTTCCCTTGTCCGATTATCTAACTTAGTGATCACCTTATATTCCTTAACTGAAGAAGTGAGGATGACTCTAAAGTACGGAATCGGCTTTGACATAATGTGAAATTAGTCGATGACTTATATCTAGTAATCAGTTTTCTAAACTGTATACCAATTAAAATGATGGTTCTACCACTGAATCATGTTTAATTGAAAATGTACTTGTGTATTATCCAGGAGCCCTAATGCCACTGTTTTAACATAAGTTATTAACAACTATGAGTAGAAAGTCGTCTAACATCTAAATAAAAGCATACATAAATATTATTTAACTTTTTTAAACCTCGCTTACTACTGAAACCAGTTAGCAACGTCTTAGGCTTCATCCCTTGAATTTAACCAATTTGAAATAACTGTGAGATGAAGGCATCCTCTATCCTGAAGAGCATTCTCTATACAAACCAAAGCCTGCGTAATATAACTTTATTCTGAATAGTTTAGTGTGAAATAACTTGAAGCTCAACTAGAACACAGAACACTTATTTCTGGGTCAAAAACATCGACGAATATTTGAAAAATATTCAGCTCTTTTCCTGAATGATTCCTTAATATATTCGTTATGATAATTTTTAAGAAAAATGTAGCAATCTACAGCCCAGTCAAATGAAATTTATAGACTATAACTGCTTAGAGAAAACTAATCTCTACCAAAACAAATTTTATTCATCCTCATTACTTATATAAGAACTTTAAAAATGGAAAATAAAACTTCAGTGTTCTTATATTCAAAATGGAAATTGCTTTGGATATTTTTTAATGACAAGTATATAAGTATTTATAAGGAAAACATTATCAGTCTTACAATTCCTTACTAGTGTCAGTCACAAATCATTTTTATAAACGTATGGGCATGGAGGAATAGGCAAGACTTAGTGGAACTAAATGAATTCTTAACATGAACAGAAAGTTTTTAATCGCTGAAAAATTCCCATTATATTAAAACAGAAGTGTATGAACGAAAAATATTCTTTTCAATAATTTCTCATTATTATTGAAAATGAATTGAATATTCTTCGTTCATATAATTGTGTTATAAACAGAAAGATTAAACAGCGTGTAAAATCGCGAAAGAAACCCACTGGTTAATTTTGAGATAATTTGTCCCGTTTCAGAAAGAACAGTTCATTAAGAGAAGAAACTTGCAACAAAATTAAAAAACGATAAATTTTCAAACGCGAATGATAATTTTATGGTGTTGTTTACATTGTGTCAATAAAGATGTGAAACCATGCTACTGATTCATCGCACTTTAAGAATCTTAAATTGTAAGTCTTAATTCCCCAATAGAACTTATGGATCCTTTTGGTGGTTGTATTTGTTCATTTTTTATTTAATTTTATTCATATCAACATCTCATGTTGAGATACAAATTGGCTTACTACGTCCAGCATGAGAACTGAACACCTCAGCTACTACAAGTAGAACGCGTAAATAATCAATTTACTTCTCTTTATTTTTCAAAACTTTCTAAATGATTGTTATTATCGCCATTTACTAGCTTGGAGATGCACAAACAACCATCTAGATACAATTATGATCGAATATCTGTAAAACTATTATTTCCTCGACTTATAATAATTTAGAGTAGAATGGACTGCCGTGCAATTAACTTGTATTCTGACACTCGTCCAAGGCTCTCATCGATGGAGTAGATGATTTTAAATTGAGTACTTAGTAAGTTTCCGTATTTGTCCGCATTTTGCTGTTATGCCAATCAGCAAACAAAAGTAAAATTCCTCCAATTAAATGGATTAAATGTCTATGAATGAGAAAATGAAGGGTTTTACACAAAACAATCACAGATTACGGGCAAACGTTTCTGAATTACCAAGTTGAACTGTATAACTGTAAATTTACGGTTTTATTTTGTTCATGATGGGCAGATAATAGCAAGCACTTTTTGTACCAATGTCATTCGCTTCCTGTTACTTCTTTTGAGACTGCACCGCTTGGAATTTTTGTCCTCTGTGAGCTATTCATACTGTAAACAAACCCCAGACAACTTCCTGCAATAGCACTACGTATAAACAGCTGGATTCATTGAGTCTGACTGTTTTAGTGATACAGCATCATAAGAACAATTATTTTCAAATCTATATTGGTTGATATAATTTGAAGCGTTAGTAATGATACGAACTATTTTCTTAAATATCTAATGATTAGATTAGTGAGATAAAATATGAAAAAACTTGTTACCGACCACCTAACTTAACACGTCTTCTCTTAACATGTACAGGGCTGCTTACTCGATAGTTTTCAGAGGTGTAATAAGTACACAATTGAAAACGGATGGTAACAAGCGTAAAACGTGCATAACAAATCCATCATAATTGACTTCTCTAAACATCGATAGTGAAAAATCAAATTGTTACTGTTTTAATCTTGTTGACCTACTTTTATTTATTTATTTTATTTCTCAAAACTTTTTAGCCACTGCCAAGAATACATTTAACTTTTCAAAATGTTTTTGAACACATTAAACTTTATACTGTGTTAGTCGAATTTTTTTAAATACAGTAGATATTGTACATTTGAAGACAAATAAAAGGAATTATTTCGAAACATTGATTGATCTTATATCGTTCTTTGACATCATTAGACTCCCAGTTTAAACATGTAATCACACACAACAGTTTAATTATTAAGTTTGACATCCATCTAAAACAAGAAGAATCCTGGTCCCGTCAAAATTTTCGACCGTACGACTAAAGCGGGTAGAAATCAACTGAACACCTAAAGATCCTTATATCCTTGCCGTTGTTCGGTGGTTGACCGGTAAAACGCTTTTATTTCGAATCCATAAAATACGTAAGTAATGTTCACCAAACAATTTATAACATAGATTTCATACAACGTAATGACTAATAATTCTGACAAACAAATTTTATAAAAGAAGAGTCAGATGAATAAAAGCCAATACTGGTGCCAAATTTAGTTTTGGTTCAGTTCATAATTGTAAACAGAACAAAGAAAAAGATTGCTAGCCTACTGAAGCTTTCTACTCTTCTTGAGACAGGCTAGAGACCTATTCCCGTTTAGGTCAAAATCTACACAGTACTTTAGGAACTAATTTTTCGGTTTGCTAATGAATTGATGTTTTTTATGCTAAACAACATTTCTGATCCGCATTTGTCATAAAAATACTCGTTTGATAAAATGATTAACTAATCATATAAAAGTTAATTGTTTAATTGGTAACAAACAGATTAAGAAGAGGAAAAATGAAGAAAGTATTGAGTAAAAAAATGAGATAGAACAATGAGCAATGTACCAAACACCAAAGGGCCCAATATATCTAGCAGCTTGACAGAAATGTGTGTCTATATTTGGCCAAAAACACTTACAAATACGTTTAGATGTCTAAAATGTAAGATAAAATTGAAATTAAATGGAATCGGTCAGTCAGTAACAACTTGGAACTTCGTACGTACGTACATCAGTTCGAGTTGCCACACCACATTAACACAGAGATACAATGGTCGATTCAAATCCCGTAGTGGTAGAGGTAGTCAAAGTATAAGCAGTAATCGGAAACATTAGGGTTTGAATATGGTATTCAAAGAGTATAATCCAGTGAAATAAATTTAAGAAGAGAAAAAAGAGACAAGGAGGAATCGGGAGATTAGAATTTGGGAGAACACAAAGAATTGATGCACCTGCACCATTGCAAACGATTTTGAGCCATGTCATTCAGGGTCTCTAACCATCGGCTGCTGTCATCTCGCGGTCCCCAACCAAGTAGTCTACACCTACCAACATGGCTCAGTCCACTTGTCAGTGACTTCATGGACTTGTGCCATGTTTTGATCTGGCTGCGCCTAGCTTTCTTCCAACCTACTCCTACACCAGAAAACGTCACACGTCGGGGCAGTCGTTGGTTGGGCATACGTAACACATGTCCCAGCCATCTCAACTGATGGAGTTTCACTACTTCATCAATTGATTTGCCACCCCTACCTAGTACCCGCTTCCTAAAAACTGCGTTACTTACTCGATGGTCCCAGGATATACGAGCACTGTTTCGAAGACACCTATGATCAAATACTAGTAACCTACGAATATCTTCTACTCTTACCGGCCATGTTTCACAGCGGTAAATTAGGACGGAACGAACTGCTGCGCAGTAAACACGTCCTTTGGTTGATAGACGGATATCTCGCCTACGCCATAAATGACGCAAGTTGGCAAAAGCTAGTCGAGCCTTCTGTATCCGTGCTGAGATTTCGTCACACACCAGACCACAAGGGCTGATGAGACTTTCAAGATAAGTGAAGCGATCGACACGCTCAATTACTTCACTCCCTATCATTAGTTCGGGTGTCGATGTAACCCAATCCTGAAGCAACATTTTGCATTTCGAGGGGGAGAACCGCATCCCGAACATGCTTGCATTGTTGCTTAGAGTGGTCAGAAGACTCTGCATTTTGTCAGCGTCTTCACCAAATAGAACTATGTCATCGGCGTATTATAAGTCAACAAGTGAATCTCCCGGTAGAAGTTCAACCTCTGCAAGTTTAGATGAGGAAAATGTCATCTTTAAAAGCATGCATACGATAAAGTTAAACAAGACTGGAGAGAGTAAACAGACCTAACGACCACCACTTGAGGTAATCAATTCTGATGACAGTTCGCCATAAGCTCTCACTCTACCAGTTTTGTTCGAGTAGAGAGCCTTTACAAGGTTAATGTACTTCTTTGGTACTCCTTTCAGTGACAAACACTGCCATAGAACCTTACAATCGACAGAGTCGAATGCCATCTTAAGGTCGGGAAATACTACGATTGTGGGGCGTCTGAATGTGTATCTATGTTCTAGGATCTGACGTAGTGTGAATATATGGTCTATACAACCACGTCCAGGTCGAAAACCAGTCTGGTTTTCTCTAGTCTGCTCTTCACGAGCTTTAGTTAGGCGTGGAAGTATTATTGAAGCTAATATTTTAGACACTATATTAGTCAAACTGATTCCTCTGTGATTGTCACAAGAGGACTTTTGTCCTTTCTTATAGACTGGCACAATCAGTGATTGAAACCAGTCAGATGGGATTACGTCCAGTTCCCAAATTCTACCTAAGACTTCAGTTAATCTCATTGCTAATACTGAACCACCATCCTTAAAAATCCCAGGGGTAAGCCTGTCGGGGCCCGCTTCTCTCCCTCGCTTCAGAGTTGAAAGACTTACATCAACTTGCCATTCAGGTAGTTGGAGATCGTGGGAAACCGAAGTGTGGTTGAACGCCAGTTGAACTGATCCCTAAAGTGTTCTGCCCATCGATCCAATCTCTTGGATTGAGAATGTATAATATGTCCATATTTCTCCGAGATTTTTTCGTTAACAGTCAGGTTCCTAATACCGGTTTCCTTAATAAATCTGAACAGTTGTCCACTGTTACCTATTGCCGCTGCCTTTTCCATCTCTCTTGCTTTCGCTACTCACCACTCTTCACGATAATTGCGTAGGCTTTTTATCAGCTTGCGCTTAAGCTGACTCCGCTCTTCGTTATGCTCAGAGCCAGATGGAATCAGTTTTTGAGATCCATTGTTTCTACGTAACCTTGTGGTTTACAGTACTAGGAGATATCACTGCAGTTTCCAAAGCTTTTCGGATATAATCCCAAGCTGCTTTGGGGTGGGCATCATTTACATGGCTGTCTAAATTTTTCTAATTGTTTCTGAAATATATTCTTAGCTTGGCAATCATTAGGTAGAACCCTAAGAGGTTTCCCTGTAGCGTCTTTCCTACGTCCAGTAAGACGCAGAAAAATACGCGCTCGCACTAAAGAATGATCTGAATCGAAGCATGTGCTCCAGAACGAGCGACAGTCTTCTATCGAGCCCCTCCATTCGAGGCCGATGGCGATGTGATATAGTTGGGTCCAACATTGGGATGAGTTCGGGGGTTGCCATGTCAAAAGATGTTTTTCCTTATGCTTAAATAAAGTGTTTGCTAGAAACAGGTGGTTATCTGAAAATAGCTGCAACAGACGATCGTCATTATTTGTTCTTTGAACCACGACACCATAAAATCCACCTAGGTGTCTTTCCTTTTCGCTTAGTTTACCTACTTGAGCATTAAAGTCACCAGCCACTATTGCTACATCAAAGAGCCTAACTTTTTGGAGGTCAAAAAGCTTTCTGCATAACTCATCTTTTACCTCATCTGAGCTGCAGTCAATGGGAGAGTATGCAGAGACGACGAAGAGTGTCCCTATCTTCCCGAGTCCTTACCGTTCCGTTTAGTTGGACAGCGCACAAACGACTGTCTACTAGGATCCATTCTAAGAGAGCTAGTTTTGTCCTAGGACTCAATGTTATACCTACATCAGCGAGGCCACGGGAAGCAGAATCAGGGCTTCCAGATACACGAAATAACTAAATTGAATAAAGGCAAATAATGAGATTCAGAAGCTTAATGAGTCATAGGATCCCTAAATGACTCAGGAAACGAAACATTTGTTGAATCAAAGTAGAGTAGGCTGTTATATACATATATCGTCTTTCTAATTGGGGAACAATACTGTTTAGCAACTAGGTAAAAATGTACGCTCTAAGCTACAAACTACATTCCATTTGTTATTACCAACCTTATACTGATAGGTGACTTGACAATCAGACTTCTGGTACCAAAAACAATAAATGGAAGTTCTAAGTTATCGGAGAGCTACAAGAAGGACTTTTACGCCAGTATAGTCAGATTTTTCACAGGAAAACCACATTTTAGTTCTAACTACCAGTAATCCACCGGATTGAAACATATTTTCATTATAGTGAGTCCAAGGCAAAAAAATATCGGATTAAGACAGAAATATTGGCAGTAAACTTCACAGCAATTTGTAATGTGCCACAAAAATAATGCAGATCCTGATGGCCTTAGAAGCTGTTCAGTTGATTTGATTATCATGTTCATGTATGTTTAGTAAAAAATAGCTTACAATAAAAAGGCTATATATCCAAGGGAAAATCAGGAGAATAGTTTGTGATTTTCGTTAAAATGTTTTATTGACATTTCGCAATAAGTAACCGCCACTGACAAATCGTCAATATGACTTTCAAATCTTTTATGGAAATAGCTTTTACACTTATAGAAATGCCGTGACACTTATCACCATCTTCATGTTCGAATCCCGATGGGTTCGAGGCTTCTATTAAAAGTCGCCAGACTTTTGTCGCAAATCCAAACGCTCGTACTTTAGCCTTGAGGAGGCTTAGTCCTAGGATTTCAGATATTTACAAGTTACCAACATCCCTTCATTCCCAGTGTTCACTCTACCAATCCCATTATAAGACAGCAAAACGACAATTCACAATTTTCGATTACACACAAACATCTATCCTATAGACGGGTAACCAATATATTTAAAAAGCCTTGAATCGTTCTTAATGGTATTAAAAGTTGTGACAAAATGAAAACTTGTATTGTAAACAGATAGTAAAATAAGTTGTTTTCAGCATGTTTTCGAAAGTTAGTATTCTTGGTCAGATGAAATCTTAAACTTTCACTACATACCGGCACTGTTACTAACATTTTTGAAGCTAGATTCTCTTGATGTAATTAACATGTACTTGTAGTGGGCCTCATGTCGGCACACACTCACAAACAGCTACTTAAAAAAATGGAAATATGACATCAGATAACTATAAAGTAATGTCTTGTGTGTATCGTGAATTAATTCCAAGTTTTCACCAGTAAGATTCATTCATAAGCTGCTCGAATTGCGATCTCAATGAAACAATACACACTACCATTCACCATGACTTTCCCTGGAATCCCATCAAAAAACATTGTAAAAGCTTAGAATCACTGAGGTTCTATCCACACTTCTAAATACAAAAACATCATTACTCACAGTACAGACCCCGTCCCTTGCCGAGGGTTTCTGCAAAAACGAACTGTAAAAATATGGCACATAGTTAATTTGTGACCTACCATGTCTGCGAAAATAGAAAGCTTTGGATTGGGAGTGGAATGTGAGATGATGAAGACTTGTTCATTGATAATTCACACGAATAGAACAGTTCATCAACTCAAATAACAATGAGATTTCAAACTAAGTCAATTCTTGTACCGTATTAAGGTGCTTTGTGTACTGTAGAAGTATCCACAGCTGCTTATACGTAAGAATCTTGAGAAAAGAGAAAAATCAAAAGCGATCCGAAGACTTCATAGGTACATACAACCCATCTGCGTTTAATAATGAAGACAATCTATAACAATCATTGATAGTAGTAGCCTGAGATTAGATGGTCTAGTTATTGAAACACGGAGTTGGCAGTGGCGTTTCGAGCGAGCGGGTTATAAGTAAAGCATTTGAAAATTTGCCATTAGAGGGTGATTAAAATTTTACACCGTTAAACAATTCCAGAAGTATATGCCAAAACATATTAGACAAAATAGTAGATAAAGTATAACTCCTCTTGGAGCCCCTTTAGGGCTACTGCTTTTCAAAGCCCGGATAAAGGAGGAGGTTTGGGCGTGGGGTTAGCGACCCCATCCCGTAGAAAGCTAACCCGCTAAGAAAACGTTAACCAGAAAGAAAATATATTCAAACCATTGAATCTCTGCCCTGCGAGTCAGAAGGTCTTCATCTAGAATAGTTATGACGCCTCTTGATGAATGCCCAGTTCCTTCGGAAGTCATGAGGTTGATGTCTCTTCTGACGACCAGACCGACCATTTATTTAGGTACATGGAATGCTCGTTCAATAAACTGATCATAGGCGGCACTATATTCCCACTTTAAAGCCTAAACAAAACCGAATGAACTGCACTGGGTCACATTACGCAGGACCAAATTGACCATATCTGCATCAACAAAAAGTTCAGGAGGACAATGAAAAATGTGAGAACCAAAAGAGGAGCTGATATAGTATCAGATCATCACTTGCTAGCCGCCAAGATGAAACTGAATCTCAAGAAGCACTCGACAATGAGGCGGACAACATCACAAAAGTTTAATGCGGCTTTTCTTCGGGATACTTGTAGGATTACGATCCACTTCCATATTAGTACTGCTCTAATAATAGACCTAATTCCAAAACTGTAGATTTGTTGTGATGCAACTGCCTAATCTATAATTTGATGGTGCGCGAAATTTGAAACCGGTAACTGTGGTTTAGGACTTCTTATATTAGTTCATTTGTAGGGTGTATTATACGGAGACTAACATCCTATCTTGTACACCGGGTACATTTTACCCTGAAAACATTTTCAACGGACACGTACCAGTTAATATTATTTCTATCACAGACTTAAGTATTAAATAGATCTGGAATTTATTATATACTCATAGTCTCTGATCCTAGTATTAACCAGGTAAATACTTGATAACAACTAATACCCAGATATTATATTTAATTCAACCAGCTCTGTGCTCACCCAGTTTCAAATCATGGTCAATTACTCCAGTAAAAGAGGAATTTCACCAAATTATAAGCCAAATAAAAGGTCCAAATCTGTAACCTCTACTACTGACGACTAAGTACCTGGCAATGTCGAAACTTTAACTACTGAACAATATGCGTATTGCACACAAATGTCACTATCATCACCTGTTTCTACATGTTATAAACCCTCTATCTCTACGTGCAGTATGCCAACGGTAAGACTGGTTGACATACAAGACACTATACCGACGTTAATGGAAAAGTCAACACAGTCTACCAGACAGTATGTTCTACCAAGGCCTGAATCTAAAATTTCAAAAATTAAAGAGACCAATAATTCATCTCATACACACGAAAATACTGACAGATATAGTACTGACATCAGTCAGCTACAAAACTCTCTATCCGAAATTAACGACAGACTTGAGCAACTAGCATCCCTCACATATATGTGGGGCCTAGACACTGATAGAAATCTTGGGCAACTCACTAAAGCTGAGTGTATTTTGGAGTTTGTGGCTGAAGAAGTGACGAAAAGGGTGATGTCCTCCTTCAGTGCAGTTGTGTATAACCTCCCCGACCGCACATACCAGTCTAAACTAAGGGATATTTGTCTTAGAGCATGCGGTATGCCGGAAGTTAACTGCAAAGTCATCCGCCTTAGAAAAAAGTCAGAAAGATCAACTTGTCCCCTCCTGTTTATGTTTGTCTGACGTAACGACGCTAAGCAGTTTATTGATTCAAGCAAAAATATTAGCTCACTAATTCCATACAAAAATATAAAAGTCACTCCAGACCTTACGCCCTGTCAACGTCGTGTGGGAAGACGTGAAGCGATAGGGCTGCATTGGAGTGTTACAGTTAATAACCAGCCAGAGAAAGTTCGTAACACAGTGAGTAGATTAAATCACATGAACAATAAGCATGACATCACTCTATAAACGGCTGATCACTTTGTTGATCTAGATCAGTCTGCTGATCAGAAACCTTTAGATAAAATACGGACCCCAACTGACACCAAAAAGAATAACGATATGTCTAATCCCGTCTGTTCGCTTAGTAATGTACTAAGACGTGAGTCGTGTGACAACACACATCCAACTAAGCCTATGCACTTGAAAATTTGCCCTCCTAAAGATGCCCCACAAGTAGACTTGAATGAACCTAAGTTCATCTCACAGAGACAACGAAAGACTCCAGCTCTGAAAATAAAGGGTGGGAAGACAAAACTCATGATACTGAATAGGGAAACACGTAAGATTGAACCCAACTGCTCTATAGGTATCCCAAGAACAGTGAACAGGTTCTCTCCACCTCTAAGTTGCAAAACGGGTGGTGGGCTTCAGTGTAGCAAGCCTTCTTACACGCAGACTAACGAAAACTATCAGAGAACTGGCCACCCAAGTCACCCCCTGAAGCCTAAAACCATTAATAAAAATGTTAATAATAAGTTTCTCACTCCACACCCTATCTACATTCCCCAGGATCACAACTGCAATTACTCTCAGAAGGAAACCTTTTCGCACCCTTTAGTACATACCCATCACATAAAAACGGGCTCCCATGTATAATAGCAGTCGCAACTCCTTCCAGTTACGCTCAGCAGACCCCTCTCACATCCCAATCGACTTCACTAGCTCATTTGATACATCTCCCACTAACTCTACCTATCAAAGTACCGAGCTATTGAAGAATATTCAATCCCTCACTTCAAACTCATCTGACTACCGCGACGGTTACGAAGAATTTATCCGAGATACTCTCACCCATTTTAACTTGGTAGGCCATTAGTTTAATATATGTCTTATCAACGCTAGGTCGATCTGCAATAAAAAGACGGATTTAGCCCTGTTTGTATCCATATATCAACCATCACTTCCTACCCAGTAATCCTATTACAAGCAAACTAGACAATTCACTAAAATACGTAGCCTGCTGAAGACCTTATAAAATCTACTTAAAAAATAAGAAGGCTCTAATAGCGATCTCAGCAAGTGTGATAACTACAGAGGCATCACTCTTCTCTCAATACCGGGAAAAGTCTTCAACAGGGTATTGTTAAACAGGATGAAGGACTGCGTAGACGCCCAACTTCGTGATCAACAGTCAGGATTCCATAAGGATAGATCATGTACAGACCAAATCGCAACTCTACGGACCATTGAATTCATTAACTTCATTGACTATGAGAAAATATTTGATAGCATTGGCAGGACAACACTATGGAAGCTTCTTCGATACTACGGCGTGTCTCAGAAGATAGTCAATATCATACAGGATTCTTATGATGGATTAAACTGCAAAATCGTGCATGGAGGACAGTTGACAAAGTCGTTTGAAGTGAAGACCGGTGTTAAGCAAGGTTGCTTACTCTCACCCTTTCTCTTTCTCCTGGTGTTCGACTGGATCATGAAGACGTCAACATCTGAAGGGAAGCACGGGATACAATGGACATCTAGGATGCAGTTGGATGATCTAGACTTCGCAGATTATCTGGCTCTTCTATCGCAAACGCAACAACAAATGCAGGAGAAGACGACCAGTGTAGCAGCAGCCTCAGCAGCAGTAGGTCTCAATATATACAAAGGGAAAAGCAAGATTCTCCCATACAACACAGTATACACCAGTCGACCACAGTTGACGGAGAAGCTTTGGGAGGTATAAAAAGCTTTGCATATCTGAGCAACATCATTGATGAACAGGGTGGATCTGATGCAGATGTGAAGGCACGGATCGGCAAAGCAAGAACAGCATATTTACAACTGAAGAACATCTGGAACTCAAAACAACTGTCAACCAACACCAAGGTCAGGACTTTCAATACAAATGTCAAGACAGTTCTACTGTATGAGACGGAAACCTGGAGAACTACGAAAGCCATCATCCAGAAGATACAGGTGTTTATTAACAATTGTCTACGCAAAATACTTCAGATCCATTGGCCGGACACTATTAGCAACAACGTACTGTGGGAGAGAACAAACCAGATCCCAGAGGAGGAAAAAATCAGAAAGAAGCGCTGGAAGTGGATAGGACACACATTGAGGAAAGCACCCAACTACGTCACAAGACAAGCCCTCATATGGAATCCTCAAGGTCAAAGGATGGAACTAGAAAAGAAGGCCCAGAACAGAGTGGGTTGGGGAGTGCTGGTCAGCGGCCTATGCTCCATTAGGAGTAACAGGCGGAAGTAAGTAAGTAATAGCTTCAACAACAAAAAGATAGCCAATTGTGTATCATAGTGTTGTTTTTAGCACTATATTTTATAACTACACATAATCCCATACTCTCAGCTCCTTTTTGAACCACCTCAGATTGTCAGCTGTTTATCCACTCATACGTTGTTTATACTTATTTTCTTTAACCCATTACAATACCTTTGCTAAGTAAATACTCTAATAAAAGAAAATTAGACTGAGTAGCCATATTCTAAATATTCTTTCATGAACATTGGCTGCTCTGCTTCTCGCCCTTTCTTTTACTTGCTCCTTCTTTCAGCCCCCTTGAGATATGGAACGAGTGACTTCATCCTGCACCATCCTTAAAGCCTTAGATATTCCAAAGGGACATATTATTGCGAGTTCTAGAGGCTCCCACCTTCAATGGAAATATCCTTGACCATCAATCGCACGTCGCAACGCAACTTCCATGAAGCGCGCCAACATTAGTACTGGCTAAAACCCTCTACATTAATATCTTTTTAATTAGCAACCCAGATGAGTAATTTACTACAGTGAGTATTGTATCATTTGTAAAAAGTTGATCTTGCCTGTAAACTGGCATGCCTCATGTAACAAACTGTTATTTGAGAATAAATTATTATTATTATTATTAACACTATGATCAATTCATTAACCCGATCAAATGGAGGTAAGTGGACGGAAATGCCAAATAATCTGTTTGTAGAACTTTATTTTCTGGTTAAAGTTTATACCCGGTCACGGCTAA